TGTTTAATAGCTGATATTAATAACACGTGTCTTACCCACAAGGATGATTGCTCTTTTCAGAAGTTTCTAGCAGGAAGTTACTTTTGAACGTAGCCTTAAGTGGCTCAAGTCTAGGCTTGCTCCAATAGTAGACTCTTAGAAAGGAGACTGTTTCCCAGAAATGGTTCAGCTCCACCTGTACAGTGGAACCACTCAATTCAAACCTTTGCATTTAAACAGGCAGTTAAAATGCTCCAAGCTGGTTCTCAGACTTTGTGAGCTTACCTGCATCATTTCCGAGTGGTAGGTAATGAGGAGGGTGGTGTGGAACTCCAGCCAGTTCTTACTGCTGACTTTAATGCTCTTTGGCTCATTTTCATATTCATGGTCAATTGCCTGTAGCTGCTCATCACATCAAAACACAACAAATGTTTCTGTATTTCTTTTTGAAAAGAAAAAAATAGCATATTACCTTCTAATTATACAATATTTCACAAAGTCCTCCTACATCCAGTCTCAGATGTTCCTCTGCTTTGGTATCCTCGCCACCTCTTATGTCATCGTGTATGCTTGCGAAGTCCGTCTGCGGCAGATTGACCAACTCCTGCTTTAACTCAGAGCAGCCAAAGTGATGTTTGTATCTTCTACCAAACAGAAAATTAGGAAAACACTATTTTGTATTTAAAAAAGTAAAACTTTTTCGTTCTCTCTCATCATCCAGCTGCATGTCATAAATAAAGCAGAGCAATGTTTTCAAGTCTGGAATTACTGATGACAGGAAGTGTTGGCAAAGATTAGGACAAAAAAAATGCTAAATGTCGCATTCTTACACGTGTTTACAAACCAAGCCCCCACAATGCGGCTCAAAAATTGAGGCCAACCCGGAAGTGAAATAAATTGCAGTTCCACCCTCATCCACTAGGGGCTGGTGTCAGAAGGAGCAAATCCTCATTGACTCCCATGTTAAAAATACCAATTTCACAGCAGAAATAAACATGTTTACAGCCTGGTAGCAAAACATGTTTTTGGTTTAAATGATCTAGTTTACACTCATGACAACTCTGAGGGGGGTGAATTTTTTTCTCACTCTTCTGTTTAAGTGTATTAAAAGCCTAAAATTCTGTATAATTAATGAGCATCAGACCCACGTGACCACAGAGCTAGCTCCGTGGAAAGGCCTCAGTAGAGCCTCGGTCTGGCCTGGAAACTGCTCCAGGATTTTGAGTCTCTGTGTGTGTGTATTCTTTTTTGGATATTTTTTGTGCAATTGTTGGACAAAATGACTTGCTGTGGCATTAAATGCACTAATAGAGCGTCCAAGGAGTCTCCACTTCATTTTTTTCTGTAAGTAAAATTATATTTATGTATTTTAGGTCACTGCTGAGCTGAGCTTAGATTTTAACATGTACTGTTTAACCATGAAATTTAAATGTAATAGGGTAAAACCCAGTGCATTTAACATAATGCTGCACTTTAGAAAATGGGTTGAAATATAACATGTTGGTGGAGCTGGGTTCCCACTGTCGGCTTGTGGAACTCTCGGAGACCTCTGTGTTCCACCCGGTTTTACCCAGCGGTCAGCCCGGCGTATCTCTGACTCAGAAGCTCTGGTGTTGTGCACAGTTAACTCCGGTTGTAGCTAGGTTGCTACCTCCATTAGCTTAGCTCCCACCTCCGTGTTAGCTTTGGGTTAGCTTCAGGTTAGCTTGTAGCTAGTTCGACCGGGTGTCGTCAGTTGATCCCAGCCTTACAGCCCCACCCTCAGCTCCACCTCTCTTCCCTTTTGTGGGATTGTCTGGGCTTGACGGAACCTGTGACACGCTCAAAATGGCGGTGGTGGCCACCTCCCATTTCCCCTCAAAAACGTGATATTGGAGCCTATGGAAACCCATTGTCCAATATTTATATGTCGATGTTACAAACCCTAACATAAAATACCTCGTAATGAAAGTTTCCTGATCAATATTGATGAGTTGTGAGCGCAGATCTTTCAATACTTGTTTTATATTTTTCTCATAAGACTTGCATTCATCGTCCCAGAATGAGTACAGGGATGCTGCCGTCTCCTAGAAACAGATGAGAAGAGGAACACGTAAAATAGAGGGAAGGTAACTGGAAACGATTATTAAACATATAAAAACAGTTTAACCTCACATTTAACCAAGATTATCTATATCATGTAAGGAGGATAGGGATGTCTGTGAAGGTTCTCAGTCATCCAGGTCATTGTAGTCTAAGGAGCTTTGAAAGAAAAGCGTCTGGACTTCTTTGAGTTGCTTGAAGATGTTTCACCCCTCATCCGTGAGGCTTCTTCAGTTCTAAGGTCAAATGGTGGAGAGTCCCAGATTTAAACCCCGTGGGAGTTTCCCCCCGAAGAGGGAACAAAAGACCCCCTGATGATCTTCTACATAAACACATGAGCCCAGGTGTGAGGGTGGGTGTGGGTCCTATTCAGCCAGAGTTTCGGGTGAGCTCATTGTGAAGCCTGGCCCCACCCTATCATGTGAATTCCTGAGGTCAGATGGCCCAGGATATGTATGGGCATTGAGGCATCTGGGAAGGGATCTCAAAACTGGATTATAGATGGCAGACAGTTGTGGTTTACGACACCAACTGACACCAATTCCGGCTGCCGGCTTCTTCGTCAGAAGCCGGCAGCCGTCGGCGAAACGTAGCGTCAACAGGTAACAAAACCGTTTCTGTGTTTTAAAAAAGAACGACAACATGGAATTAGAACGACACAGCAAGAACACACCTAAGATGTTCAAATGCTAATGCTAATGATTAGCTTCTACTAGTTGAGACGTTCTCTGCTGTTTCCTCGACCCTAAACCAACAACAGCCTTCCTCGTCACAAGCCAAGATGGGTGAGTCCATGAATGTTAAGTGACGGTGTGACGTAGATCTGTCAGGATTTTCTAATTCTAGAGTTTCACCGTCTATATTCTATCAGAAGCTAATGCATGAGATAGAAGACGATTTTTATTCAGTGACCAATTATAATCAGAACTAATAATTAAAAAAAATGTTTTTTTCTGTGTTCCACACCTTTAAGCAATAAACATCAACTCTTATTGAGAAAACATTTCAAAGTAAATTTCCTAACATCCACAAAACCAGGAGAATATAAACGTTACTTCCTACCAAAGGAATAGGGTTCTCCGCGTTGGGCTGAAAAAGTGAAGCTGGGGTTGAACAGGTAGACTCTGACTGGTTCTGGAGGACCCCCTGAGTGGACTCGAAGCACACTGAGGAAAGTGACACATTTCCAGACAGCTCTGTTAGTTAATCATATAAATGACGGCGGCGGTGCAGTGAGTCGCGTGGAGAGAGAGCTGGGTGAGACAGCGGTGGACGGACAAGCAGCACATCAGCTGCCGCAATAACTAATCAAGCCGACCTGCTTATATTGACAAGTCACAGGGGACGACAAGTTTTTCCCCTGAGGAAGGAACAAGGGACACAGACTGCAGGATGCAGCCAAAAGCAACAATACTGTTAATAAAACTGCTGTGGCAGCAAGCCGTGTGTGGTCATTTGTGTGTGACTCGTGTCTGATGTGAGTACTTAAAGGGCACTTTTGATACATTTGTGATGCAAAACTATATGTGGCAAGCAGTGGTGGTGCCAGGGGGGGCACTAGGGGGCGCTATAGCTACCCCTGGATTAGTCATTGCACCCCCAAGCAAATATTAGATTTTTTTTTACAATTTAATTTTAATTGAACGTGTGGATGTGATAATATTTAACATACAAAACAAAAATAATCAGTAAATTATCATATACATAGTAAAAACTTAAACCAAAACAGGAAATTGATGTTAACCTTTGATCTCATTTTCCACCTGCGAACGAGTGAAAGGTAGAGCTAGCGAGTGATAAAATGGATCGGTTTTTGTTGCCCACATTTCCACGGGTTCAGTCAGAAACAAATGAATGTTTGGAAGTGATCTCAGACCCACAAAAACCTACGGATCTGGATGAAGAGAGTCAACCCTCAACCGCCGCAGCGGTCCAGGGTTTTGCAGCTAGAAATGCTAACGCTAATGTTAGCTAACCTTGCAACACTATAGATGGTTTTCTGTGTGGCTGTATGTGTTTATGATTTCATGGAAAAGTCAGCGATTGTTCATATGTTTATGATGTATATTAATGATTGTTTCAGGTGTTGTTGAGGTGTTGTGCACGCATGTGTATCTGCTAGTGTTGAAGGTGTTTTAGAGAACAATAGGTACGCATGACCACTTCCTTCATAGCACCCTCAATAAAAAGACTAGCTCCTTCATAACACCTGCAGAAAAACATTTCAGGAGCCGCCACTGGTGGCAAGGTGGAGAAACGAGGGCCCAGGCGGGATTCGAACCCCAGACTCCCAGGTGAGAGTCACGCGCACAAACCAGTCAGCCAAAGGGACATCCCGCTTGGCCAAGTAGCCAGGGTGCATGATCAATCAGGACGCTGTGACAGGATGCTCACACTGCCACATATAGTGGTAACCTACTTTGAGGTTTTCCCTCCTTAAAGCCGGAGTAGGATTCTGTAGGGACACGCTCCTCATTAGGAAGAGTTGGTGGTTGGATTGCGTGAGACGAGGAAGTGCCTAAAACCTCTGTAGAGTCAAATACCACATATATCTCAGGGGATGGTAAAATCTGCAAAAGGAGTATGTTGCAATGTTGGGGGTAAATATTTAGCTTCTGCTTATGAAGGCATGCAGGGACAGAACAAATTCATCAGCGTCTCAATTACCTTCACGCTTTTTTTGGATTGCTTGTTCCAGGACGGACTTCACCACGCTGTAAAGGTCCCCTTCATCTCCACCGACACGGAGCAAAATGTTTTGCTTTTCACCAAACCATCTCTCCAGCTCTGGCCAGGCTTCGTGGAAAGCTGCAATTCTTTAAGAGGACATCAGGTTATAGAAACGGGAATTTAAAGTCATGGAGCAGATGTGTTGCATCAGTTCCCCTCATGTTACCTGCTTTGAATGTCAGAGAGATACAAAATCTTCTCTGTGGGTTGGGAGATTGTAGCATCTGAAGGAAGAAGGGTCTCGTAAACACAAAACGTACCCATGCGCACACAGTCAGTGTGTGCATGCGTTCACGACATACCACCATGGCTGTGTGCTCGTCTGACCGCACACTCATCAGAGACATCCAGCAGGAGAGCCAAGTCCAGAATCGGTGCAGGGCACGGCGGACGTTCGAGTGGATCTGGATCTTCAGCGAGGTCCGCTGTTTCATCCTCTTCATCTACAGACCCTCCGAGGGCTTTCTCCAGTAGATCAGCCTGGACGATGTTATACGGAAAGCCATCCAAGATCCAATCTGACTGGGCTGGAAGCTGACTAAAGAAAGACAGGAAATATTTATGTGTTTGTTTAATTGTTTTATTTTAATTTGACAAATATATCGTAGGGTACTTTATGGCAGTACCTGACTGCTCGTACCATAACGTCTACTAACAGCGCATCTGTAATGGAGCTTTTACACAGCTATATCAGACACACGGATAAAATTGTTAAAACGTACATATGTGTATAAATTCATGTTTTACAGTAAAAACTAAACTATAACTTATTTACCTCTTCAGATTTGTAAGCCTTCAGTGCCTCTTCGATCAGAGTTTCAGCGGACAGGATGCAGATACCAAGTTCTTAAGAAACAGAAGACCGATTGGTACGTTTTCAGTAAAGAAGGTGACATATTCTGTTTGATTTCTTCTCTTTTTTTTCCAATTCCACTTCCAATTTTATTTATAAAGCACATTCAACAAGGGCTTACAACCAAACAAGGCGCTGTACACTAAAAATGTTAGTTAATTAAACCGGCGTTATACAGTCATGTAGAACAGAGATAAAAGATAAAAAGGAAATACAACAAAATTCCTAAAACCAACAGTTAAAAATCAATAAAAGACAGGGAGAATAAAAAATAAGAAAAACATTTTAAAAAAGAACCAGAATAATACGGAAGTTGATGTTGTTAATTCCATTTTTAACCAATGTAGTTGTAAGTGAGGTTCATAATTATGTGGTATACGCTAGGTTGAAGTAGTGAGTTTTCAAGCGTGATTTAAAAATGCTAGCTGTTGGTGCTAGCCTCACTAGCAGTGGTAATGCGTTCCACAGCTTGGGTGCACAGACAGAGAAAGCCCTTTCTCCACGGCTTTTTAAACGTGCATTCGGTAGATTCGGTATTAGAGTGGATACCTTCAGCGATCTTGACTAGGCAGGTAGTCTTGCCTGAGAAACACTTGCCCAGCACACAGGCCTTGAAGGTGACGTTAGGTAATAAAGGTGGGGTTGGTTCCACAACGGGTGGAGAAACAATCTCCTTGAGCTTCTGGACAACATGCTCAACACAGTATGTGTGACTTTGTGGTAAGTTTGGCGTCTCTGCCTCCGTTGCCAAGGCCCACTCCCCTGACATATTCTAGAAAACAAATTGGGATCCATTTAGAAAAGAACAAACGTGTTGGTGTTCGTAGCTTAATTGGTCTATTTTTGCATTAGCATGTATGCTAAATAACAGACACGACTGGTTAAAATGATTGTACCAACGGGTCATACTCACAGTATATTCATCATAGTCCAGGTTGTTGAGTATCTCCTGTTTCCTAACTTCTACAGAGTCCAGTGAAGCAGAACTCTGGATCTCTTGTTGGCTGCCTTTTACTGGCTGATAAAGAGGTAGACCTCTGATGAATAATTCCATCCACCCTTTCATCAGCTTATATGGAATCAAACTGGACATGAAAGCGTGCAAAATGCAGAAAGTCAAGACAGGATTTAAATTGTGGGTAAATGAGATCACAGATCTGAACGAGGTTTGCACACACTTTATAATATCTGAGGTATTACTGTGTGTGTTAAGTGCCATCGGAATAAATCTCTCCATTTTATAACCACACATGAGTGAATGACAGAAATATTAAGATGCACACACGTATACCTCAGCCTGCCTCGCTGAATTTGAGATTTGGAACATATATACTCAAATTCACAACTTTCAGATGATTACATTTCAAAATGTTTTAAAAAAATACAACATATTGTAAATAAAAAACACAATTAGTCATTTACTGTCTGAGCGATAGGTTGAATTGGAGGTCACACCGTTTGTAGGTGTCTGATGTGTTTCGTAAGAACATATCCCATACTTTTCAATGAGCTGACGATATTGCCCCACGTTGATTGCCAAGTCAACTATCTGCAACAAAAGGTCCTTAAAGCCATCAAAGTGCTTCTTCTGTCTTCTTTGAGCATGCTCAGCAGCACTCTTGTGAAAGAATTCAATCGTCTTTCTGATTTCTTCTTCGCGAGCCAGCTCCGCCTGCTGGGACAGAACCTACACCGGGCCCAGGCACAAAGAAGGAGTCTGTGAATCAAGGCTTGATTTAAATGTTCTTGGATTTATTTTCAGTTTTAACTAAGGATAATAAACAACATGAATAATGATAATACTAATTGATTAATGCACTAATTTATTTAATTAATCTAGCATTTTTCTTCCCCCAAACCTATTAACTTCAATATCTCTGTAGTTATGCTGCTATAGGCTTAGACTGCTGGAGGATACACAGAACACTTTTCACACTCTACTGCTTTCTTCTACAATCTGCTCTTTAACTGTATTATTTCCTGCTATTTCAGCTGTTAACTTTATTTTCTCTCTAAGTGTTTTTCTCCCCAGAAGAAGCAACAACGATGTTCTGCTGAGCTGTGGTGGCCTCATGGAGGGGGCCATCGACTAGCACACTGCTGCTAACCACTAAAACGTTCTCCCTCTCCTGATAATAACTTTTTGCTTTCCTCGACGTTGGATGTGCTACTACTAGTTTACCCGTTTAATTATAGATTCACTAGGATAAATACAATAAAGTTTATCTCTCACCAAATAGAATATTTACTAAGAAATCACAATGTAACCATAGAAACATTGCTTTGTGTGTGTGTGTGTGTGTGTGTGTGTGTGTGTGTGTGTGTGTGTGTGTGTGTGTGTGTGTGTGTGTGTGTGTGTGTGTGTGTGTGGTCGTGGAGGATGGCTGCTTATACTGAGCCAGGATTCTCTGGAGGTTTTTTCCTGTTAAAAGGGAGTTTTCCTCTCCACTGTCGCTTTATGCTTGCTTAGTATGAGGATTGCATCAAGTCACTGACACTAATCAGTGACTTGATGCAATTTGCTGGGTTCCTTATATAGGAAACATTATTTCTGATTGGCTCAATGAACTGACCTGGATTGGAATGTTTATTATGTGAAGTGCCTTGAGACGACTCTTGTAGTGATTTTAAATAAAATTGAATTGAATAGCTTTCTCACCATTTCCCTGTGGAGAGCTTCCTGGGCATCCTTTTCCCTTCTCTGCTGACGCTGCTGCTCTCCATATTCACTGTGATCCTGTATCACCTGCTTCTGCCGGTGGACCTGCATCAGCTGAGAAATTAACCGCTGCTCCAGTTTAGAGTGTCGGGTCAGGCGCCTCACAATGAGCTCGTCCCGCTGAGCCTCCTGCAGTAGAAGAAGAACCTTGTTCATCTGGTTAAGTGTTAAGATGTCTAGTCTATGGTTTTGGTAAGATCATGGGTGTAGTAATGGTAAATGGCCTGTATTTGATATAGCGCCTTCTACAGTCCTGGAACCCCCCCAAGGCACTTTACAACACATTCAGTCATTCACCCATTCACACACAGTGTAATCTTACTATTTTTTTAATCACATGGCTTTTCAGAGGATCTTTCATGGATGTAAATTCAAAGAGTCGGAGTACCCGGCCTAGAGGGTTACCGGGGTCCCACCCTGGAGCCAAGCCTGGGTTGGGGCCTGTAAGCGAGCGCCTGGTGGCCGGGTTTCGCCCATGGGGCCCGGCCGGGCCCAGCCCAAACCGGATACATGGGCTCTTCCAACTGTGGACCCACCATCCGCAGGAGGAACATGAAGGGTCCGGTGCAGTGTGGATCGGATGGCAGACCGAGGTGGGAGACTTGGCGGTCCGATCCCCGGACAAGGAAACTGGTTTTTGGGACATGGAACGTCACCTCGCTGGCGGGGAAGGAGCAGGAGCTTGTGGCAGAGGTTGAGCGGTACCGGCTAGATATAGTCGGACTCACCTCGACACATAGCATTGGCTCTGGAACCCAAGTCCTTGAGAGGGGTTGGACACTCTCCTTTGCTGGAGTTGCTCTGGGTGAGAGGCGTAGGGCTGGGGTTGGCTTTTTGTTAGCCCCAAGACTCTCTGCCTGTGTGTTGGGGTTTACCCCGGGGGACGAGAGGGTAGCTTCCCTGCACCTTCGGGTCGGAGAACGGGTCCGGACTGTTGTTTGTGCTTATGGGCCAAATATCAGTTCAGAGTACCCACCCTTTTTGGAGTCCCTGGGACGAGTGCTAGATAGTGCTCCACCAGGGGACTCCATTGTCCTGCTGGGGGACTTCAATGCTCACGTGGGCAATGACAGCATGACCTGGAGGGGTGTGATTGGGAGGAACGGCCCGCCTGATCTGAACTCGAGTGGTGTTTCGTTATTGGACTTCTGTGCAAGCCGCAGTTTGGCCATAACGAACACCATGTTCGAACATAAGGATGCCCATCGGTACACTTGGTACCAGGGCAGCCTAGGTCGCAGGTCGATGATAGACTTTGTAGTCGTTTCATCTGATAAGAAACATTGATAGTCGAATCTCAGATAGAGGAGGAGCAATGTGGTTTTCGTCCTGGCCGTGGAACTGTGGACCAGCTCTATACCCTTGCAAGGGTGATGGAGGGGGCATGGGAGTTTGCCCAACCAATACACATGTGTTTTGTGGATTTGGAGAAGGCTTATGACCGTGTCCCCAGGGGCACCCTGTGGGCGACGCTCCAGGAGTATGGGGTGGGTGGCTTTCTGTTAAGGGCCATTCAGTCCCTTTACCAGAGGAGCGTGAGTTTGGTCCGCATAGCCGGTAGTAAGTCGGACCTGTTCCCGGTGAGGGTTGGACTCCGCCAGGGCTGCCCTTTGTCACCAGTTCTGTTCATTACCTTTATGGACAGAATTTCAAGGCGCAGCCGTGGTGTGGAGTGTGTCGAGTTTGGTGACAGGAGAATCTCGTCTCTGCTTTTTGCGGATGATGTGGTCCTCCTAGCTTCATCAAGCTTTGACCTTCAGCTCTTGCTGGGTAGGTTCGCGGCCGAGAGTGAAGCGGCTGGGATGAGGATCAGCACCTCCAAATCTGAGACCATGGTTCTCGACCGGAAAATGGTGGCTTGCCAACTCCGGGTCGGGAGAGAGGTCCTACCTCAAGTGGAGGAGTTTAAGTATCTCGGGGTCTTGTTCACAAGTGAGGGTAGGAGGGATCGGGAGATCGACAGGCGGATTGGTTCGGTGTCTGCAGTGATGCGGACGCTGAGCCGATCTGTCGTGGTGAAGAGGGAGCTGAGCCAGAAAGCCAGGCTCTCGATTTACCGGTCGATCTACGTCCCAATCCTCACCTATGGTCATGAGCTTTGGGTAATGACCGAAAGAACGAGATCGCGGATACAAGCGGCCGAAATGAGTTTCCTCCGTAGGGTGGCCAGGCTCAGCCTTAGAGATAGGGTGAGGAGCTCGGACATTCGGGAGGGACTCGGAGTAGAACCGCTGCTCCTCCGGATCGAAAGGAGTCAGTTGAGGTGGTTTGGGCATCTGGTCAGGATGCCTCCTGGACGCCTCCCTGGGGAGGTGTTTCGGGCATGTCCTGCCAGCAGGAGGCCCCCGGGTCGACCCAGGACACGTTGGAGAGGATACATCTCCAATCTGGTCAGGGAACGCCTTGGGGTCCTGCCGGAGGAGCTGGTGGAGGTGGCCGGGGAGAGGACGGTCTGGAGCGCCCTAGTTGGGATGCTGCCCCCGCGACCCGGACCCGGATAAGCGGAGGAAGACGACGACGACGACATGGCTTTAGTTAATAGAAAAAAATGTTCATTAAATCAAAAGGCTTCCTTAAAAAATATATGTACATTTGTTTCATATTTAAGGAGTGTCATTTCAGGTCGTCATTAAATGAAACAGAATAAAATTTTAATTGACAGTGTTTCTAACATATACAGCAGCAGTAGCTCAGGTGGTAGAGCGGGTTGCCTCATGATCGGAGGGTCATGGGGTCCGATTCCAGCTCCCGCCAGGGGTATCCTGCTGTTGTGTCCCTTGGGCAAGACACTTCACCCAACTTGCCTGTGTTAGTGGTGGTCAGAGGGGCCGACGGCACCAAATGGCAGCCTCGCCTCTGTCAGACCTCCCCAGGGCGGCTGTGGCTACAAGTAGCTCACCATCACTAGCAGTGTATGAATGAGAGTGTGTAAAAGCGTCTTTGGGTGTCTAGAAAAGCGCTATATAAGTTCAATGCATTATTATTATTATATGCTGAAGCAAAAATTGAGTTTATAAATGAACTTATTTTCAGCGGCATTTATTTGGCCCACATATTTTTGTATTAGTCAGTTCTGGGAGGGACACGCTACGGCCTTAAGTAAGACATAAACGGGTGTAGGCCTATACTCTATTACAACATTTTTACTTTAAACCCTAAAAAAAACTGAAGCAGACCACATTATACTGACTCAATCATCTCATTTAGGGGTAATTTTTCATATCAAATAGAATAATGCTGTTTGACCTGTCGAGTTTCAAGTGCCTTTAACTGCTGCACCAGGAAGTTGCTTATGTGTTTTTCTCTCTGCTCAGAAGCAACAGCTTCCTCATCCAGCCTGTGTCGGATCCCCTGAATGTACTTGGTATTAAACTGGAAACTCGACTCATTCCCACTTCCAGGAACTTTACAGCGCTCTGTGATGCCACCACGGAAAGCATCACGGAAAAGCCGATCACTAGAGATAGATATAAAATTAGGTTAAAGACATTATTAAACAGAAGAAGAAATAAATGCAGTATTTGTTTAGTGAGATATTTATTTCCTCTCACCTTGACATGGAAGCAGTAGCACCTAGCTTCCTCTTACTTTCCGCAAACTGGACTATTTCAGTCTGAACTTCCTGTATAAAGCATCATCAGAAAAACAAAACAAAAAAACACCAGAATGAGATCAGACATGAAAGGAAATCTGAAATGCAAGTGTTTGTTGCATTAAGATAGCCTGCAAGCATCCTATATATGTATATAATCTGGCCATGACCCATAGACAGAGCTCGGTCGTGGGGTGGAATCTATGATTGTCTTTCAAACTGTCTCCACGTAGCCTAGAAATCTGGACAGACAGTCGCTGAAACAAAATGATTTTGCTCTGCATGTCGGTCTAGCCCCACAAGCATCAGAAGGCCCAAACAGTCTTGTGCCTTGACAGTTACAGCTCTCTATCGATTTGGTGGGCGGGATGTTACTGCGACAGAGCGAAACAACAAAGATGGCGATGGCTTGTTTGAAACGGCTTTGGAATCAACTTCGGACTATTTAGCATTGGGCTTTTCTTTGAGTCAAGAGCAGATAGAGGTAAAGTAAAAAAGTTGTGTATGCGTCTTCTTCGACGGTGTATGGAAGACTGAGTATGTCACGTTGTTCGTTGTCCAAAAGCATGTGGAGAAAATTTGAAAGAATATCATAGATCCCGCTCCACCACTGAGATCTGTCTTTGGGTCGTGATCAGACTATAGGAACCAAAGTCTCCTCCCCTTCTGGTCGGCTCATGGGTCCATGGAACAACGACAAAAACGAATGCAAGTGAACCGGGCTATAAGAGCCTTTCTCTAGTCTGATTTCCTCTACACCTGAATCACACATATGTTGTACATTAATTTAAATGAAAATAAATTCTGGGAGTTTCGACTATGTCTGCCACGTATTTTGAGATTTGTTAGTTTGTAAAAATTCACAAATAAAAACACTACAAATCAGAAGTGGCATGTATGATGTCACCGCAGAATCTCACTAATGGGCCATTCCCATCTGTACCGGGTCGGCCCGGGCCGGGTAGCGTAGGTTGTTTACATATCTGGGTGGCCTGGTATTTTTCCGGGCCAACCAAGGCTCATTCTCAGCCCTCTTCTCGAGGGGGTCTGCTTCAGGCCGACCAGGGCCAACACACCCACTGCTGACAGCAAATCCACACCTTCCATTAGAGCAAGCCTCTGATTGGTGGGTAGAATCAGCCCACATGGGCTTAAGGACGTGTGGAATCAACCGGGCCAGGCTGGGGCCGACTGGGGCTACCCGGCCCGGGCCGACCCGGTACAGATAGGAATGGCCCATGAGTTACCACACGGCCAGATTGTTTGCTTTGGCGTTCCCCACATTTAATTCTCCTTCTGTTTCGAAGCTTGCAAAACTCACAGCCGTTTTCTTCTCCGTGTCTGGTTTGACGATGTCAGTATGATGAGACACATTTGTAGTCCAACATGACTTTTCACACAAAACCTAAATTAACTTTAGTTACAGTTTGAAAATAAGCACTTTGTTGGCTTCAAAATGTGTTTTTAAAGTTCACAGACATCGGATGTGAAATCCATGGCACACATCAACCGAGATTAGAAATAGCTGTTTTAGCCCCATTGGCTTGCATTCCTCTTTTCTTATTTCCAGGGACCCACGGTCCAGAAGTACATGGGCGTGTCGTAGGCTCCCTACGTGGAATGACTCGTCAGGCTAGTCTCTTTAAGCAGGGTATCTGCAGGTTTAAGGGAGCCAAATGTAAGACTTTTTAAGACCTTTTTAAGGCCATTTTGACCAAATTTAAGCTATTTTTTAAATTAAATTTAAGCTATAATTTCCAGCTATTGCCTGGAACCGATGCTAACCACGTCGCCAACGTGGAATTAGCCATCCAGTTACCATTAAACTTGCACTTCCCCATGGCGCAAGCTCCCACTAGCTTAACCAGCTAATGTGCTCATCTAAAAATAGCCCCCTTTCCCAACCAACTGAATGTGTACGGTTCCGCTTACGGCAACATCGTACACAAAAAATGCTGAAGACTAACTTGAAATTCACAAAAAATTTATAGAAAAAAAAGAATCTTGTTTATTGGGTCTTTGGACATTTAAGACCTTTGGAAACTGTATTTAAGGATTATTTGTCATTTTTAAGGATTTTTAAGGCCTTAAATTTGGAAAAGCAAATTTAAGGCTTTTTAAGACGTTTTAAGGACCCGCGGATACGCTGTTTAAGTTATTGCATTTAGAAACAAGTAACACTGATTTAGAGTTACGCAGATTTGCACACATCATCAAACTATAAAAACGTACACCCTGATGGACATATGACTGACTGATCATGTATAAGACTAACAATGCTTTAATACCTTTTCTTTTCTTTTCATTCCAGTCTCATATTGTATTATGAGTGGTTCCCTCTGCTGGATCGGTGGAATCACAGATTTGTGTTCAGTTTGGTGTAAAGTCTGTTGCACTTTTTGTGTACTTTTCATGGATGTCTCATCTTGAGCTTTGAGTGGTTTCGTTTGCTTGAAGGGTGGGATCAAATTATTGAATTCAACTTGGTGGCATTTATCCTCACTGGGCTGGGACAGTTTTGGAAGTTTCAGGCCTGCGTGAGGTTTCACCTCCTGTGGAGGCTGATATATATATTTAATCACATTAGTAGTCATCATGACCAAATGTCAACTGAAAGCATTGAGTAAAAACTAAAGGAATATCAGAATCACGAGTACTTTATTAACCTTTTGATTAGTAGTAAAGACAGAGGGAGTTTTCATCACAGCACTACTGACTTCAGCGTCCTTTTCAAGTGAGGCGTAGAGTTGGTAAAGAAGGCGTGTGGCAGCACCTTCCTTCTCCCGCATGAGGTCTTCAGCTATACTTGAGTCAAAGGAGATCCTCAGCTGCTTTAAGGTAGGCTCAAGCCGTCTGAAGTTGCTCACTTTGGCAATGGAGGTACTACATAAAAAAGTGATTAGCTATGAAAATAATGATCACTACAAAATTTGTTGCAGAATTAGGACTTTGTTTTGTAGTGACAAAAAAAAGAACAAGAAGAAGTTCCTTCAAAAAAAGGACAACTTACTTTTTCTTCAAGAACAAGTAAAAATCATCTTGCATCCCATGTTTATGAAGAATTTCCCCAATTAGGTAACCATTAGAAAAATCCTTAGCAAACTTTGTGGACTCTGTGAATAAACAAAGCATTTACCATAGTAAAGGCAGCTCTTACCTCAATGATATTTTTAAAACTTTTCTCAGTTTTAGACACAAAATGCATCATCATGATACAACAAAAGCAACAATGGACACTCGACATCAGATATGGGTACTAGTCACTAGTTACAATTACTCAGTTACATTTATTTGAGTAACCTTGTCTCGTAGTTTTACTGCAATTGACTTTTAATTTTACTTGAGTAATATTAGTGTAAAGTATTCTTACTTTAGTACAATCTCTGGTTATTAGTACCAGCTACTTCACTGACTGAACACCAGGCAGACACACATTTACAGTTTACAAACAAATCTACAGTAAATAGTGCAAACAGAAGAACTTTGGGCGGTTCTAAAATACTGTGCTGTGCAAAAGTTTTATGAAGGTATGAAAAAAGGCTGTAAGAATGATTTCAAAAATGGAACGATCAATATTTTCACCAATCACCAAAGTATTGGATTCCAAAGATTTGTTGTGAATAAGAGCAATTAGGAAGTGTGTTTCTTCTGACTTCCTCTGCTAGTTTATAAATTATTTACTTTTACTTCCTTCTTTAAATCACATGAATTTAATGCTGGATTTCTTTATGTCGGATTAAATCAAACAAATCAAACCAGCTGTCATAACTCATTACGTGAGTAGCCATTTACCAAACAATTTGTCTCATTTGAGTCATTTATGTCTTAACTTTTTATTTTTACGCGAGTAAAAAGTATATTAAAGTAACTTTACTGTTGGCCACTACTCTGACCCAGCTCTGGTCATCATTAGCTAGCGTTAGCTTAGTTAACGAGGTGATAGCATTTGTTCCGTCACACGTACCTAAAGCTCTTGACAAACGCAGCTTCTGGTTCATCCACCTGCATAGCGACTCCGACATAGTTTTGTATCAATAGTCACCTCTTGTATTACTTTTTATTCATTAAAAATGCCTAAAAACGTGTCAAACACTGAAGAAACGGCGACTGTCTGCTGTTACCATGGTAACAATCAACAGGGCTACCCAAGGACTTCACAGGGGGCAAACTTCTAAATAAAAATTTACAGTAAAAATCCAATCCAGATTATTTCGGGAGGATTGAGGCCACTGGTAAAACAGAGAAGCAAAATAATTCTGATTTTTAACCTATGAGAAAAAAAAATCGGGATTCGGAGATTAAAGTTAGAAATACCCCCCCCCCCCCCCCAATCTTCTTCCACAGGTTACTGATTAAACTGAAAATACGTTAAAAGAGAAGAGATGTTGATCAAAAATGTAATTTTAAAGAAAAACCACAAATTTTCAAGACAAAACTAATTTATTGCCTTTAAACAGGTAACAGCAATTTTTGGTATTAATGCTAATATTTTTGTGTTCAATCAGAGACAACAGGTAGTCCGTTCAGTTCATTAATAAAATAATCTTAAAATTATTCTACATTTTACAACACTTCAAGAAAAAAAACCCTTAGGTCATGTTATCATGCAATGGGTTAGTCAGTGTTAGTGTTTTAAAGATACATACTGTAGTGTAATCTGTACTTAAACCATTGCTTTGTAGCAACAGCTTAGGCATCACATTCACATAAATACGTTGGGAGGAAAGACATGTAGACGTTACACAGCGTTTTCTTTGTTAAACCTATTTCCTAATAGTTAAAAACAGAAAATTGCAAGAAAAATTACTTGGGTAATGAGTACCTGGCCCTACTTACACCATCTTTGGCAAAAGATAAGTCTGTGATATGACGGCAATAACAAGTGGGAAACAGTTTTAATTAATTGTAGCCACATGATGGTTTTTTAGTAACACTTCCTGTGTTTCAGCACATCATGAATGTACATTTTGATACCAATAATTACATTTGATGCAAAATCATTTGTTGGACAAAGAAATCAAGAAAGTAAACATAAACAATTAATTGCAAAATACAAAGATTTAGGGAAAAGTGAAAAGGTGCACATTTGTTTAACCATTTCTACATACATTCTGTAACCCAGTCTTTAAAGTAATGCTTGTTTCCAATTGCACACATTAGAGGAAAAGACAATCTGCAGTCATTTAATACCCTTTACCCTTTACACACTCTTTACAACTGGATGAAATAAACTACTAATCTCATTCAAAACATTTTTTCTCTTTTCTTTAATAAGTGTTAGTTTCTTCCTGATTAATAAAACATTTACATGAAAAGAGATGTCTAAGTACATTAATTGCCCATATAATGTGAAGAGATATATTAGTTTATTGTCATATTTTACGTCACAGTATTTTTAAAGCTTGTCGGCTGGAGGCACTAAAACACCACAGTCAGCTGTGGCAGACCTCAGGCTCAACTTTCGACATACAACAAAACAAATCCAGAAAATTAGACACCATTTTTATTATAATTATCCTTAAAACGTAAAGTTTACCAGAGATGATGAAGGACGTCTGTCAGACTGGCACGCTTTCCCCTTGGTCCCATTTCCCTAAACAACTAAAAACGTAGACAGCAGACTGAAAACAATTCAGAAACATCAGAAATAAGCCACAGTTTCTTTTTAGCTCCCCAGTGGAAGTTCAGTCCCATACAGTGCATTTCTGCTTTTGCTGTTTTAACAAATAGTTAGGGCTAAGGCAGTAAAAAGATATGGTGAAACATCATTGGAAGCATTATATTATAAAATCAATCAGAAATCATAATTAATAAAAAAAAATAGTTTCCCACCATCAACAAGTTGATAATGCTCTGGAAGGTATACAGAACAACAGAAAACACTGGCCTGAATGAGAAAATAAACACTATGGGTTGAGGAAGACAAAATAAAAATACTCTAACCGTTGAATGACAGTTTATGACGTTCTAGCTTATATCGAGTGCATATCTGTTGGGTTTAATCCCCACAGAATTCCAGACCATAACAGAAAGCACCATTCCCGTACTTGTGTCACATAATAAGTGCATTTTAAAATGAACAAGTTTTAGACAGTAATTAAAAAACAGCCATTCGGAGCAGAAACTACACCAGTACTGCTGTTTTATTTTCCTTTATAATGACCTGACGTGTTGTCTTTTTCATCAGCTGACAGCAGGCGTGAGGCTCCCAGTGATGGAAGCCATGAATGCTGTAATGGGCACTGGCGCTTTTTTTTAAGGCGACTCTGGAAATGTCAGATTTTGAAAAGTGGAAATGATCACATGACAACAACCTCCAACGGCCAGCTAAACATGTGCAGCGTCTATAGAGCAAGATGGTAAACAACATAAAATGTAGTGTTTTATGTCACAATGAGTTTATGTTTTAGTACCTACCCATCCATCCATCCATCCATCCATCCATCCATCCATCTTCAGCTGCTTATCCGGGGTTGGGTCAAGGGGACGCTTGTTTCAGGAACTAGCAGAGGAGAGCTTAACACGGCAGGATTTGGAGTCTTATTTTCTAATATTTGGACATCTCTCCTCTGATTGACCAACAGCAACACGACTCTACCACTGACTCATTTGTTTTGTAACAACGTTTTATCTCCACAAATAACACAAGCCTGAAGGAGTTCTGCAGTGTTGTGGAGCAGCTAATGCTAATGGTTAGCTTCTGCTAGTTGGGACATTCTCAGCTGCTAAACCAACAACAGCCTTACCCCTCACAAATCACAAAGGGTGAGTCAATGAATGTTAAAACGACAGTGTGACATAGATCTGAGGCTTTTCAAATCCTAGATTTTCACAGAAGCTAATGCAGGAGATGGGTGTAGGAGACTATTTTTATGTTCAGCCTGCATGAAAAACTCAAGAGTGACCAATTATAATTGGAAATAATAATTTAAAAGTTGTTTTTCTGTGTTCCACACCTTTAAACATATATGAAATGTGAGCTAAAACGCTGACGCAATGGGGCAAATACACATTTACCATTACGAAACGCCCATTACAGCATGTTACAGGACCAGCTTTTAAAGGAAGTTCAACAATCACCGTGTTTCCTGACAAGTCAGAATAGATTTTTTATATTATATATCTTTATATCCATCTCTGGGTGAAAACAGGAATTTATAATGTGATTGTTTTTTTTTAGTAACCAACCTCCCAAAAGGTATTCCTAGCCTGCAGTCAAAGTGCTGATTGTAACGACGTAGTGCTACATTGTGGGAAAAATAAGGATTCTTTTTCTCCTTTCTTGCCAACACACGACGCTGATAACAGAAAAGAATGGGACCCTTTTTCCTAACCCTCGCTGCCTGCCTGCTATTAGCAGAAATGGGACAAAATCACGGTCTTGAGGATGACAGCAGATTGCTGAACCACGTTGTTGCCGACGCTCGCTTCTCACCTTCGTGTTCCTCCTCTTCAGGGAGGAGGAACTGTGTGGAAGCAATGGAGACGGGTGATCCTAGACTGTTGTTGTTTCCACCAGCCTGAGTAGGAGAGTCCAAATGCCAGGAGTTTTGGGGTTTGTATCCCCCAGAGCAAGCAGCCTGGGGGTCCAGCAAAGGCTCAGAAGAAGCTGGGCCACTGGTGTCACCTAAAGTTGTGGGGTGCATCTGGGGCCAGTACACCCCTCCTCCACCCCCACAGCTGTTAGAGTGATGCTGATGGCCCTCCGCTGAGCTCTGTGGATCCAGTTGAAAGACCAGAGAAGAACATGATGTTTGGATCCCCGTGTATGTCACATCCGTGTTGGCTGAATCCACGGAAGACGCGGAAGAAAAAGAGGAGTCTGGGAAACGCGGCCGTATGGGGCGCTCGTCTACTGCATCGTTGTAGTAGCGTAACGACTGTGGCTCGTCTGTGTCAACTGGCTCGTCTCCTACGGCTTGATCTTCGTCATCCTCATCCTCTTCAGGAATGATAACGAGAGCATCCTTGCTAGAATCCCGCTCGGGCCTTTCTACAATGTGGACCATACTGTGGAGAGATGGCTTCACATCCAAAGGTCCCTGAAACAAAGAGGAAGGAAACGGTATCGAGTCAGCGCCTTCACCAGAGACGAGCGTCAGATTTGATCAGTTTAGACTGGTGACGTACCGGCGTCCTGGACCAATCACTGGGCAGTTTGGGCTCGGGTATGTCTGGGTAGAAGGCATTTTTTACCCTGGAATAAAAAACAAATTGCATGTTCCTAATTCATGCAAATTGCATGTTCCTAATTCAACAAAAAACATTGCATGTTCCTAATTCATGCAAATTGCATGTTCCTAATTCAACAAAAAACATTGCATGTTCCTAATTCATGCAAATTGCATGTTCCTAATTCAACAAAAAACATTGCATGTTCCTAATTCATGCAAATTGCATGTTCCTAATTCATGCAAATTGCATGTTCCTAATTCAACAAAAAACATTGCATGTTCCTAATTCATGCAAATTGCATGTTCCTAATTCAACAAAAAACATTGCATGTTCCTAATTCATGCAAATTGCATGTTCCTAATTCAACAAAAAACATTGCATGTTCCTAATTCATGCAAATTGCATGTTCCTAATTCAACAAAAAACATTGCATGTTCCTAATTCATGCAAATTGCATGTTCCTAATTCAACAAAAAACATTGCATGTTCCTAATTCATGCAAATTGCATGTTCCTAATTCATGCAAATTGCATGTTCCTAATTCAACAAAAAACATTGCATGTTCCTAATTCAACAAAAAACATTGCATGTTCCTAATTCATGCAAATTGCATGTTCCTAATTCATGCAAATTGCATGTTCCTAATTCAACAAAAAACATTGCATGTTCCTAATTCATGCAAATTGCATGTTCCTAATTCAACAAAAAACATTGCATGTTCCTAATTCATGCAAATTGCATGTTCCTAATTCAACAAAAAACATTGCATGTTCCTAATTCATGCAAATTGCATGTTCCTAATTCAACAAAAACATTGCATGTTCCTAATTCATGCAAATTGCATGTTCCTAATTCAACAAAAAACATTGCATGTTCCTAATTCAACAAAAAACATTGCATGTTCCTAATTCATGCAAATTGCATGTTCCTAATTCAACAAAAAACATTGCATGTTCCTAATTCAACAAAAAACATTGCATGTTCCTAATTCATGCAAATTGCATGTTCCTAATTCAACAAAAAACATTGCATGTTCCTAATTCATGCAAATTGCATGTTCCTAATTCAACAAAAAACATTGCATGTTCCTAATTCAACAAAAAACATTGCATTTTCCTAATTCATGCAAATTGCATGTTCCTAATTCAACAAAAAACATTGCATGTTCCTAATTCCATGCTTTCGTTCTTTTTAAACACAGAAACAGTTTTGTTTACCTGTTTTGTAGCTACAGTTTCGCGAAACTGTAGCTACAAAACAGGTAAACAAAACTGTTTCTGTGTTTAAAAAGAACGAAAGCATGGAGTTAGAACCACGACACAGCAAGAACACACCTAAGATTGCATGTTCCTGTTTTTTCAATAAAATACATCATTTTGATCAGAAACGGATTTTTTTAGACCCTAACAAAAACTGCCAGCTGTTTATTTTTGGTACAATATTAGCATCAATCTTACCATTTTCTCTTCTTGAAGCAAACAACAGTAGCAATGACCAGTAATAGTGTCACCATCCCCAAAGAAGCCAAAATTTCCAGAATCAGATCGTCAGCTGTTAAGAAAATACGAAACGCCTTTTTTTAAAACAATCATAACTGAATAAAGTAGTTTTTCACATTCTCTAGCTGTAAATACTGACGGAACAGATTATTAAAGGTTACACAGGGCTGAACTAAAGATTCACGTACTGTCCTCCATCTTAATAGAAACGGTGGTGCCGGAATCCTCGCCTGCCGACGTGTAGGCCTTGACTGTAAATTTATAGGACCCGACAGGGAGACCCTTTACTGTGTAGCTCCTCATTCCAAGGTTGGAAAGATTGGCTGTTCAAAGAAAATGTGGAAAAACAACAAGGAGAATAAAGCAGATGATGGGATGAGGGAATAAATTGGTAGTTCTTATTTTTAGCCGTTTAATTTAGCACCTCACTGGGCTGCGGCTAACAACAACTAGTACGAAACACAAAATTGCAAGAAGATACGCAAATATTTTAGCTGGAAGACCGTCGCTTTTATGGATGTCTAAAAAAAATCCTACAAAATTTCTGAAAGGGGGAAAACTCCGGACTGCTACTTTAGGAGTAAATTTGGTTCAACATCTTCCAAATGTAAGGCTCTCAAGGAAGGTGGTGACCCAAGTAAACGTTCACTATTTGCAGGGTATCTGCAGGCTTGAGGGAGCCAAATTTAAGACTTTTTAAGACCTTTTTTAAGGCCAATTTGACCAAATTTAAGCTTTTTTTTTTTAATTATTTAATTTAAGCTATAATTTCCAGCTATTGCCTGGAATCGGTCCTAACCATGTCGCGAACGTGGGATTAGCCATCCATTTACCATTAAACTTGCACTTCCCCATGGCGCAAGCTCCCACTAGCTTAACCAGCTAATGTGCTCATCTAAAAACAGCCCCCTTTCACAACCAACTGAATGTGTACGGTTCCGCCTACGCCAACATCATACACAAAAAATGCTGAACACTAACTAGAAATTCACGAAAATGTCATAGAAATAAAGTAATCTAGTTTATTGGGTCTTTGGTAATTTAAGACCTTTGGAAACTGTATTTAAGGATTATTTGTCATTTTTAAGGATTTTTAAGGCCTTAAATTTGGAAAAGTAAATTTAAGACTTTTTAAGGACCCGCGGATACGCTGTATTTGGCAACAAGTCACAACCCAGTGAGATACGAGCTTTACTGGAACAGATCTACGGGTAAAAACCAATCAAAAACACACAGAGAAGTGTGAGCTGGAAGCCATTATTCATGTAAACGTTGTAGCCCCGGAGATAGCCTCTTCTGTCAGCCAGAGGAATCTCATTCCAGGTAAGGATGACGTCGGACTTCTGCTGACTGACTGACAGATGGCAGGAACTGGACGGGACTGGGAAGGTCAGGGAAAAAAAATGGAGGAAACAAGAACAAAGACAGATTGGTGATTTAGCACACGGGAGCAGAACAAAGACGTTTCAACCCTTACCGAGCTCCTGCGTGTATCCCTGCCAACGCTGAATTAGTTCTGGGGCGTCTGACGGACAGCTGTAGAGGGAGAAGTTGTATCTCACACCTGGCTGGAAGTTCTCTGATGGGAAAAAGAAAAGACAGTTTTACGCGTTAGACAATAACATTCCAACTGCACACTTGTGAATGAAAGCGCACCGCTGCAAAGGTGAACAGCTTGTTCAAATCGGCTTAAAAAAAATCCACAAGCCTGCATGCCAAGCATACCTGACTCGATGGACACATTGGTGCTTCCAGCAGCCAATGGGATCCAGTCCACAGCGCAGTCACGCATGCACAGGGCATCGTACCATTCAACCAAATAACTGCAGGTGGCGCTGGCATTGTGCTCCCAGTTTAGACGGAAACCACCGTCGCCATAAACGACTCTGGAAAAAACGAGCGGCTCCACGTCTGGGAAGACATTTTCAAAAACAAACAAACTTTCCTTAAATGTGAAAAAAAAAAACAATTCTATTGCAAGTTTAAACACTCAAGAGTTGAAAGCTTTTATAATGCCTCAGGTCTCACGTACCGATCAAACGTAGAGGAACCTTTGAAGGTTCAGAGGACCTGTCCACGTTGTTTGCAACGACCTTTGCTTCGACCTTGTTACCATCGCTGAATGAAACCATTTGCGAGAGGTTGAACGGCACAGAGTAAGTGTCTGCTGGCACCACCTGAGTGTGCAGCTTTTCTTCAAGGTTCCAAAAAGTCACGGTATAACTTTTCATCCGACCTCGGCTCTGCTGTCGCGTTAGAGGCTGAAGGAAACGAAAAAGAAAACTAAATGAAGAGGAATCAAAGCAGTTTTAATATCCGAGGTTTACGACGGATGGTTATAAAAAAAAAAGTTCAATCAATTCCAGGAAAATAACTTCTATTATGTCTTTAAATAAAACAGATTCAGAGAAATTCACCTTCCAAACCACCATCCCGGTGATGTCCCTGTTCATCCACATCCACACATCAGGGGGATTGGGAACTAAAACCATACAGCATCACCAGTTCATGATCCAACATTCAGTTAACCTTTTGAAATCATTGAATTATCTGGAAAAAGTACTTAGATAATTACAAATAAACGCCTTTACCATAGGCTCTGGTTGTGAACGAAAGGACTTGGCTCCAGTTCCCCCACTTCCAGAAGTTCCTCTGGGATCCACAGCGAATGCGGACTCTGTAATGTTCATCAGGCTGCAGGTCTGACAGAACCACGGATCGGAGACCCCCACCGGAGAAGAGCTGGACACAAACACCAGTTATGATTAGCATTTTGATGAAAACCAGTATTTATATTAACCCTCTGGGGTTCTTACACCTCTGGGGTGTAGTTTGCCGTTTTTGACTAATTTCCAAAAAAGAAATAAACAGCACAACCTGGACCGTATGAATTTATACTTGTTTTTTTATATTTGGACATAAAGGAGTTGCACATTGGACCTTAAGTCGCTCAAAGATATAATCCGAGTTGGAAAAAGTTTGTTTTTTTTACTGTGAAACCCACAAACATGTATGATGAATATTTTTAATAATTTAGAATGGCAATCTAGACTGTCAATGCATAAAAATATGAATAAATATAGTTATGAACACATTTTTTTAAGTTATTAGCAGGAAAATGTCTTTGTACAATTATTTACACCGGTCGAAAAGATGCAAAAATTATATAATTGTGCTAAAAGAAGTTACAAAGATTCATTATCAATATTTGAACAAATATTTACTATTTACATAAGATTTGAATTTTTTTTGTTTTGTTTTCTAAGGTAACTAAAAGTTTATTTGTGCCACTCCAAGAAGCATCTTCTGTCCACTAAGCAGAGGAACATCAGGCCTGGCTTCTCCACGTAAGAGAAAACAATAGAAAAGATCATTTGGACTAAAGGAGGAATATCTGGACTGTTTTCTCCACGGCCAGAACCTGCCTGCTCCTGATGAACCTTTTAGTCCCTCTCCTGTCTACAAACATCACAGAGGGGGCGGGGCTTTGCCTCATTCCTGGAGACGGAGAAATCACACTGGTGCGGCACGGCGCTGCCCGTTCATATCTTTCCATCTTTGAGCTGCTTCTGTGCCTGCCAGGACCTCATCTTCCTTCTAACGTGGCTGAATGAAGCGTGGCGATGTCAGGCTCTCCAACAGCCACACCAGAGACGGGTCAGACGTGTGTGTGAAAGAAACGGCTCCCTCGTGGAGAAGACGGACGAAGTGACAGACTGTACCCACATCCGCATCCTACCAGAGACGGAGTTACAAACGAAAACACGAACATACACACGTGTGTGCCATCAGTTTGACGGCGCAGCACACTGCACACACACACACCTCCGATCACTGTGAAAGCAGGGAGGGGGGGGGGTGACGCGCACTAAACGCCTGGGACAATTTTAACATTAACGTGATGGGACCACCTGTAAATACAGGTGAGGACAAATCTGTAAAAGAGGAGGAAAGATAAACTAAAGAGGCTTCAGAAAGGTGAAGAACTGTGTGAAAGCTGGACAGGTAATGAGAGAGCAGGGCTACGGCAAGCCGTTTTAACATTAACATTCTTTTGCACATGAGTGTTATTACAGTAAATCCCTTTCAGCTGTTGCAGGAAGTGAGCAAGTCGGCCTCTGCGTCTCACACTCATAAATATCGGCTGTAGCAGCGCCACAAAAAGAAAATAAATACATTTAAAAAACGACCAAATGTAATGCTCCGTCTGCTCAAACTAGGGAAAGCGCTGGATGTGTAAAATCGATCCCGGGTCAGTCAGAAGCGCTGCTAAAAATGCTGCTTTGAAGATCACGTGATCGCGTCGTTTGAAATCACCAGACCTTTCAGCTCCACGTGGAGCACATATCAACTACTTACCTCTGTTTTGTTTCCATGGGAGGTTATCTCAACCTGGCAGACAAGAGCCAGGGAGGAATAACTGCTGTATGTCCACTCCCAGTATAAAGTCGCATTCCAGGCATGAGCAATGGATGTCAGATTCACTGGTGCGACTGGAGACACTGAAGAGAAAAAGATAAAATAGCCATAAAGTATTTGTTGAAAAACACGTGGGTTCACATGAAGGTTTGCTGGATCACAGCACTGAGTGATGATGGAAACCATGGACGTAATTTTGGGGGGGGACAGGGGGGACATGTCCCCCCACTTTTTTCAAAGTCAAGTTTTGACCCCTGCACTTTTTACCATCCAAAAACAATATTAAGCTATATTAAATTAACACTGGTTGAGCTCTAGGACCAAGCAGAAAACAACCGTTTGTGTTGAAGCCTGTTTCCCATTAGAACATACTGTAAAGAGCCCCCCCGTGTCCCCCCACTTCTAAAGTGAAAATTACGTCCATGATGGAAACAGAGCGGCCTACCTCTGTGACTAATATCGGCCGAGTCAGTGAGGCTGTGCCGTCCAAGAGGATTAACAGCCACCAGAGTCCAGTTACCATCCCACTGACGCAGCGTGCACTTCTGCTCTGGGCTTTTCTCAGCACAGCTTCTGCACAAAAATAACAGCGACAATCAGAGAGAACATAATACAATATTAAAAACACAATCACTCATGTAATCTAATGTACAGAGAAGGGCGAAAGACAAGTTCTGGCAAGTTCTCTGATGATTCCTGTAAAAGCTCTGGAAGGCAGCCAGTAAACCATGAGACTAAAAGCTTTCTCAACCCGCTCTTCAGCTGCTTTCTGTGCAGAAAACTCCCTTTTCAGAGACAACAAGCTAGATGAAGAGATAATGAATAATTCACGGCTTTTATCTAAAAGCACTAAGTGACAGAACAGCTACCTCCGTGATGGTCCGTTAGAAGGTTCCACTGAGACCCACAGTTCTCCTAAATGATTTGTTTCCTCTTGTAGCTTTCCGGATGTGAGACCAGATGGGAGAGTCTTTCGAAAAGTCTGAAATTCTACATTTTAATCATTAGCTCTTTGTTGAAGACACACCATGCCAACTAATCAGCGTAATACTGCCGCTATGGTGCGTCTTATGAGCGCGCGGTGGCGGCGTGGCGTTGCAGGAACTTAGCTGGATTTATGCCGCCACGCTTGGTAGTAATACTACCGCAACGCCAGACTCGTGAGTGGATTTTTTGCCATGGGGCAACAGAGGGAGGTGTCATGATCACGTGGAGGGTTACTGCCAAGCTCCGGAGGGCAACTGTATTTAAAATGAAAGTAAACGCGGGCAGTAAGGTCCGCTTTTGTAACTAGAATCAGCTGAGATGTTAAACTGGAGCGATGCAGAGCCCCAGGAGCTTCTCTCTGCTTAGCCCCCTTCAGACAGGCCATGAAAAACGGAAATGTTCCGGACTCTGTCCGTAAGACCTTTCTGTCTGAATACAAACATCCGGATAACGTGTTCCGGAATTTATCCGGACGAAGCCCCTAGTAACAGGTCCAGACTTGTTACGGACAGGGTGGCTGCTTCAGACTGGTGAGGTAAAGTTCCGGAAAAGGGGGAGGGGGAGGGGGAGGAGGAGGGGACCGGGGGACGCCGTGCGCACCTAGATAGCTCGCTGCTGTAGCATGCGGCGAACCACGGCAGCTCGCCTCCTACGGTACCGCCTAGACGCGCGACGGAGCGCTTCACACCGCTTCAGTGATTCCTTTAACCGTTGAGCTTCATCATCCAGGTCTCTTATGCGTCTTCGTGTGCGCAGAATTATGCTTAAGCGCCTCGTGATTTTTATCTTGAGAGGCGCTATAGAAATGATACTTTCTTCTTCTTCTTCTTAACATAAGTCCGATCCCCCCCCCCCGACCCCACCCCACCCCCCGCCGCCGTCAGACATCTGGAACTTTCCCTGCTGTGTGAACGCAGCCGAAAGGACAAGATCCGGTACAAAAGTGGTGTGTCTGAAAACACAGTTCCGGTTAAAAACCGGATTGAATTGTCCGCAAATGTTCCAGAATGTCTGTCTGAAAAGGAGATGGAGCTCAGATCACCAGAGATTGCACTGGGACTTTGGAGGACAAACACCTTTAGGAGCAGCGTGTTAAAACGTGCGCGACTTCAATGGCAAACAGCAAGATCTGTCCAAGATAAACCAAAGTCTGCAGCAGCCCAGGGACCGCCCCCAAGGCCCCTTTACGCCATCATAGCCTAATCTTTTGTAAAAAGCACACGACTGCACCGCATTAAGTCTGACCACTTATAAACGACCCACGGCTCCCTGATGCAGGCTCAGCTTGGCAGCAAATTGGCGACATTGTTTTCTAAAAGAGGCGTTAAATGAGTATGTCGACCGTCTGTGAGACAGACACCTATTCCTGACTGAATCAGAACTTTTTAAAGAGTGGGACTCTGTACCTGCCCATAATGGAGAAAACCGTTTCTCTCTTTCTGCCAACCAGGTGAGTGTCTCGTCCTTTACTCCATTGGCACACGGCTGAGACGAGGTCATGAGTCTCACAGGAAAAATTACTGGGCAGCGGTGGATCTGGAGGAAAGCAGAACAAAACGGTAAAACGATGCATGTTGAAGAAAACAAAAGCCATTAGATTATATTTGATTTTAACCTCTTCAGTTGAAAGAGTTATTATGTATGAATGTATTTTTCTTACATCCAACAAACACGACGGCTCCGGACAGCTTGTTGTCCGTCGAGAGGCAAATAACGTTGGATCCCGTTGTACCCGACGCCGTCTGACTAACTGCAGTAGCGGCGTAACTTCGCCGACTCAGACGTGTTGCTTTTATTTCTGTTCCACTATAATTGATGCTTTTGAAGACTTTGCCCTCCTCTACGATGCAACAAAAGGTTGTGTTGGCCCCCACAGGCACGATTCTGTCCTGGGGGTACATCTGGAAACGACTATTAGTAGGAAAGTCCCTTCCTGGAAAAACAACAATAAAGAAGAAAATAATTATGAAATACACGGGGGATGTATTTTTCGTCGTCGTCGTCTTCCTCCGCTTATCCGGGTCCGGGTCGCGGAGGCAGCATCCCAACTAGGGAGCTCCAGACCGTCCTCTCCCCGGCCACCTCCACCAGCTCCTCCGGCAGGACCCCAAGGCGTTCCCGGACCAGATTGGAGATGTAACCTCTCCAACGTGTCCTGGGTCGACCCGGGGGCCTCCTGCCGGCAGGAGATGCCCGAAACACCTCCCCAGGGAGGCGTCCAGGAGGCGTCCTGACCAGATGCCCAAACCACCTCAACTGACTCCTTTCGATCCGGAGGAGCAGCAGTTCTACTCCGAGTCCCTCCCGAATGTCCAAGCTCCTCACCCTATCTCTAAGGCTGAGCCCGGCCACCCTACGGAGGAAACTCACTCATTTCGGCCGCTTGTATCCGCGATCTCGTTCTTTCGGTCATTATCCAAAGCTCATGACCATAGGTGAGGATTGGGACGTAGATCGACCGGTAAATCGAGAGCCTGGCTTTCTGCTTCAGCTCCCTCTTCACCACGACAGATCGGCTCAGCGTCCGCATCACTGCAGACGCCGAACCGATCCGCCTGTCGATCTCCCGATCCCTCCTACCCTCACTCGTGGACAAGACCCCGAGATACTTAAACTCCTCCACTTGAGGTAGGACCTCTCCCCAGACCCAGAGTTGGCAAGCCACCCTTTTCCGGTCGAGAACTGGTCTCAGATTTGGAGGTGCTGATCCTCATCCCAGCCGCTTCACACGGATGCATTTTTAAATAAAGGAAATAACCTGTGTTTAATAAAAACACATCCACATCTGAATGGATTCATCGTCAAACTGACCTTGTATTTGATTTTGGCTCCATTCGCTCGTTTTCTGTCCATCTCTTGAGCGGACCCCTACTGACAGCGACGTGCACTCCAGAGGTACGACAGAAGTCCAGGTAAACCGGTACTCGCCGCTCGCTCGATTCACCGTGGCAGACACTCTGGCCTTCTAAATAAATAATAGTCAGAAATCTACCAAATTCTAAAACATGGCTGTCAACCGACATTTCCCTTTTTTTTAACAGTTTTGTTTATTTGGTCAGTTAATTATTTTATTAACTTTGGTTAAATGCTCGGTTTTTAACACCGTGCAGTGCACAGAAAGTTGGTTAAATTCAGAGTTATTCAGGTTAGGGTTAGTGCATCTACCGTTATCAGTGGCATTTTAGCTTGTAGATGAGGCGAAAAACATCTAGCCATCGACTGACCGTGGCATCTACATATCGGCATGAGCGTTTAGAAAAACCATATCAGCTGATCCCTTCTTTGGATCGACCCAAACGTATTAACACTTAGTTTTATCACGGATACACAAACAATCCTTTGTCATAACATTTTTGTACTACGTAGCAACACACCACGTTACACACAGAGGCAAGGTTGTGTTGAATTCAACTTACATAGTAGACAGTTTCATTGAATTCAGTTCTTAATATGATGAGGTCAAAGGTCGTGGCTGTTCCTCCAAACCATGATATGAGTAGTTGCTGCCTGGCCAAGTCAGCTGACAGGCTCACATGCTGAGGTTTTTCAGGATCTGTAAAAGTAAATAAACAACAAGAATCTTTCTCCACTGATTCTTTTTATGCTCGTTCATTTTGGGTGTTTTCATGCTGAACCGTTGGCTGAAAACAATTAGTCACTGAAGTTTCTCTCTTACCAGCCTGGGCTGGTGTGTTTAGAGCAGAGAATCCAAGAACAACGCAGACGAGCCACAAAAGGGCAGGGTTGGCCTTTGAGATGGGGCCGGTGCTTAAGCGAGGCATAGCGAGCATCTAACCGATTGGGTCTCTTCTGCTTTTAGCCGGGAGCGTTTCTCACCACAACAACGACGCGGCGTCAGACATCCTAAGAGGCTGTTTACCAACAGAAGAGCCCTGAGGGAGAGAACCACAGAGGAGAGGAAACAGAGTAAATAGAAAATCAGCCAAAGTCTAAACAAAAAAAAAAAAAAAAAAAGACCTTCAGAGAGTCGGGATCCTTTTAAAACCTTCAAACGGTCCAGTTCCTCACTTACATACAGAACTTTGGTTCTGGAAATCCACTGTGCCGAGATTAAATATTTTCAGTATTTGTGTTTGACAAACAGCACTCACACACGCACACACACACAGGTTTAACAGGTTTGACTAACTGTTACGTTACAATACAGGACTGTAATTTGTTCACTGATTTCAAATCTCTGCAACGGTAACCGCGTGCACACGCCAACGCCTCGGACAAACCTGCCAGGAAGGTTTCACGTCGACAATTCAAACAAAACAAACAAAAGACACTCTAGCAGGTGCTGTCGGGCTCTGTGCTGCAACATGCCAGAGAAGCAGTAGCTCAGGAGGAAGAGCGGGCGGTTCAGTAATCGGAAGGTTGCAGGTGAGATTACGGCTCCCGGCAGAGAATTCTGCAGTTGTGTCCTTGGGCGAGAAACGCAACCCTCCCTGCCTGTTGGCGGTGGTTGGAGGGACTGGCAGCGAGTGTGCTCGGAAGCCTCGCCTCCATCAGTGAGCTCCAGGGCAGCTGTGGCTACAATGTAGCTCATCACCACCAGCGTGTGAATGGATGAATAATACACTGTAGTGTAAAGCGCTATGGAGTCCTCCGACTCCATACAAGTGTGGCTCATTTATCATAAATGCTGCTAAAAATGTGGAATCACTCAAAAATAAAAGAACCAAGTCAACTTAAGATTAAATTAAAACTGCTGACATTTATGGGTTTTATTGTCGGAACGTCTGGCAAACGTTTTTGACCAGGTGAACAAAAGAAACGCGGGAACTTTGTCCCCTACTTTGCCTTTCTAAATATAGAAATACCTGCAGGAGTTGAAGTGAGAACTCAGAACAGAGCAGCAGAGGAAACATGGATCTAATTAGCTCTCTTTAAACAATGGAAGACAAGCAGACTCCTTTCAGGAGGTAATGCAACACAGGGCCGGGGCGAAGACAAGTCTCATGTTTACATTAAAGCCTACTGGGCTTCCTGTCTTTGTTCTTACAGACGTTTCACTTTAATGGCGTAACTGATGACAACGTCCAGTACTGAACTGTACGGGTACGGGTGTTTCCGGCAGAAATTCGACTTTACTCGCTCGCCGACGCAACCATCAGCGTCGTGGGTTAGCCTTTCAGGTATTTATCCTGCATCTCCTCTAAACTCCAGAAAAGCTGCTGCCTGGATTTACTTTTTCCACCTCATCAGTTACTTTTTAGCAGGTCAAAGGGATCTCCTGACCGCAAAGCGGAGTGCGCGTTTCGATGCTGCGTCGGTGAGGTGAAATCGCCGCAGCACACGATGAGCGGAGCGCGTCAGGAACGATAAAAAGACAGAATACCAGAGGATATAAACAGATATGAACGATCGTGTGTTAACAATAATGTTGTGTTGCGCCACCTTGAGAATGTACCGTGCACCGGACTCGGCGGGCGCACCAACGCGCTCAACAGAATCCCGCTACGCTGAGAGTCTATAAATATTGTAATATAGGCAGAAACTGGATCTTTATTTGAAAGATATCTAGCCCCCATAATTCGATCCCTGCTCCTGGATGAAAAACCGGACATTTTGATCAATGTAGGAACACCCCCCCCCCCCGGACGCCCCGGACAGAGAGCGAAAAGTGGACATGTCCGGGGGAAAGAGGACGTATGGTCTGCCTACAATAGATATGTACTAACTAGTCAGAAAAGCAATTTTTGGTCTTCTTTTTCTGCAGTGGTTTTAGTGCGTTTCGGTGCACCACTGCTGATACAGCGCCCCCGTAGTGGCGCAACGCTGCAACTGCAGTTAACATAACATCCATATAGCTGGGGGCAGAGTGAAATCAGGCTGGGGCGGCACAAAAATAGCTGGAGGCGGCCGCCACGCAAACCTGAACGCAGGAAAAACCCTGAACATGAGAAAAAATGTAAAAAGGAGGAAAGTATGGAAATATTTCAGCTGTATTTATAGTGTTACACAGATTATACATTATGTGGCCATGGTATGGTCAATAATATTGAGTCTAGCTGTGTTTGGTCGTTATTACTGCACTCAGTGGAAGGATGGTGCTTTCTAAATAGGAGTGAGGCATGTTTATTTATTTATGGAAAGGCAAAATTATGGCCAAGATAATCATCAGGATAATGGTCAAATTCAATAAGATGCATCATAAAACATAACATCCAGAGAAAATAACAAAAATCATCTTTCTACTCTAAAAATCATCAGTGACCTTTTTGAAAAACAGTTAGGAACATTTTCCAAAGAAATGTTAATCCACTGACATAACTCGGTTATCTTTAATGGAAAATCCCCAGCCTACCCAGGCTTCCTAAAGAATGTCTCAACTCCTCCACTGATGACGGCTATCCTTCGACCCGGTTGGAAGCGGACCCAGAAAATAAAATTAATGTTTAACAATTAATGTGAACAAGGCCATTTCTCACCACCGCTATAACTTTTGCACAGACTGTTTTATTACAAATCAGGAAAATCATAAAGATGCAATCCCAAATGAGACAAACTTGCATCATCATTTCAAAACAAACTTCAGTCACCTTCATTAGGTAATAAAAAAATAGGCTGATAGGAAATGCAATTAAGCAAAAGGTGAGACTACCATTCTGCTGAGTTCATAAGCAGTTTGTCTGGTTTTCTTTCAGACAAGCTGAGGCAGGCTGGCGTGATCCGACCAAGCTGCTGCAGTAGGAGGAGAAACCAAATGCAAGAGTACAGAGAAAACGGAGTGAGGACGTGTTACTAGTGCGCATGAAGCTAACCCAGTCATCTTAATCTGATTTCTTTGACTCATCAAGCTGAACAATCTAAACACAGTTTTCTTATCCACGTTTTTGCTGCTGACTCTTTGCACAGCTGCTCAAACGTTCAAAGCTCTCTGGGATGTCGCTGCTCTAACACAAAATCTGCTGCAGCTGAAATCCTGAGGAAAGGCTCTGCAGAAACATGGGAGTTACTTTGGGGTTACTTTTTGGCATACTTGTACTGCCTGAACCAAAATAACTTTATGTGGGCCCTGGAAAAAACAGCAGTTGTGCTTTAGTGGTTTTGCATCCTTGAGAGGCTTTTAAAAATAAAAACATTCACACCAGCTTGGAACTACAGCGCATTTTTCTAATTCTTCAGGTCTATGGGGGGAAATGACGTGATTTTATAGGAAGCAGGAGAGAGAAAACAGCTGTAGATGCTGGGAAACCTCATCATGAAACTGATCGCTACAAATACACACAACACACAAATCAATACCTCTCCAGTCGGCTCTGGCTGATACGAATGTAACCACAAGCTGCAAACACAGCAGACATAATGTTGTTACTTAGAAAGCAAACATAAAAACAAGTCTCCTGGTCCTATTTTAAGAACGGACTGCCTTTAAATAATAAATAAATAGCATCAATCTATATATGGGTCCATTTATTTATTCAAGGGACTGCACAAATCAGAGAAACACAAACTTACTGGAATAAGCAACTGTGGATAATAACTTTGGCTATGGATGCACGTTTTCCAAAAACTGGAACACACACACACACACACACACACACACATACAATCCTTTGCCCCCACTCAATAAAGGGACTATAAGGAAGGTTGACAGCCAAAACATGTATAGAAATAATAAATGTCTTCTTCATACATTCTCCTGCAATGCCCTGGTCCTGTAGAATGAGCCCTGGCATTTTTACTGTGATTGCCTGTTTTTCTGTAAAATCACAGAAAAAGAGAGATGCTCGGGTCGAGCAGGCTGCTTCATGCGCGTTCACGCTCAGGCGTAGCCCGTAGCATTTGCTATCTGTAGCTTTAGCAGCAGAGAGAGAGGCAGTGCCACTTTGTCGCTGTTCCTAACGCCTAGTGACAAAGCTAGCTACATTTCTGAGGACCCTTAGCTACTTTCTGTAGAACTTTCTTCTAGAAATTTCCTGCAAATTAGTAACAAAATAGCCATTTTCGCTCAAAACCGTTCTTTGAACGTTGTTTCAGCTGTCATCAAGGATATAAAAGTTACAGACACAAAAGACGTAACTGGAGCTTTAGCTCACCTAGTAATGGGCTCGACACACGGGAGGCGACATCGCCCCTCCTACATTCATTTTCAATGAGACATGCGCAACAAAGCGATAATCGCGGATCTCCCTCCTCCTAAGCGAAACGTGAAAAACGTGCGTGTGAAATTTTGTGCTCGTGCACGTGTCGTGTACTGGCGACCCAGCGACGCGATCCCAGAAAGTTGAAATATTTTCAACTTTTCATCGCTGTCGCTCGGACGAGGACCAATTAACGGAGGTTTCATTCACTGACCAATGAGCGGACAGGATGCTCCGTACACCTCCGAGCGAACATAGAGAAGTTGATTATTATTATGTTTTATAGTAAAATCAGAAGTAAGATTTCACATACCTCTAGCACCTTGCTGTCTACCGCTTTTTTAACTCTGAACCGCTTAAATAACCTTAATTCCCTCCAACCTGACACAGCCAAACAAAACAATGGAAGTTTTGATTTTGCCATGGAACGGAACGCGTAGACGGCTTTGCCGCTGGTCGCTGCCGCGGGTCGCCTCCCGTGTGTCAGGTAATAAAAGCGACAGCGATGAATTTCGCTGATTGCAGTTGTTTGTCGCCTCCCGTGTGTCGAGCCCCTAAGACGTCGGACTCTCGTGCAAAAGAGCCGGGTTCGATTCTGGGTGTGAACATTGTTCATTTAGTTTCTTTTTTACATTAATGATATATTTTTTTTACAGTAAGATGCCCAAATTTTTATTTGAGACTCGCCGAACGGCATTGAATTCACAGATGAAAAAGATGTGGGTTCAACTTTCATTTTGGAACAATTTTTCAAGCAAGGGAAGGGAATGATCTGAGCATGCAGGAGGACTGACCCATCATAAACCTTTGTCGGCTGTGCTGAAGAGAAAGGTACAGAACCAAATTATTTAATTAATTAGCTGCGTGTTCTCCTGTCCTCCGGGCCACACACACACACACACACACACACACACACACACACGGGACTGTCTGAGCTGTTATTTTCGTTAAGGAGTGTGCACGTACAGCATGCGCGCCTCGTGCACGAGCCTACTATTGAAGCTGCCGTCACGCTTTTGGCCTGAGGGGGCAATCACGAGCATAAAAATTCAAAACTGTGTAAAGTCCCTTTAAATAATACAAGTACTTTTTCATTTACTCTTTTAGCTTAATTTTGACTAGGGGCCGATGTTTACCATTTTTCATACATTGGCCAATATTTGGGTGAACGGTTGGATCTAAAATGATGACTTTAGTCGTCAATGGCAGTGAATGAGTTAAGCCAATCAGAAAAAGTCTCCTATATAAGGAACCCAGCAAATTGCATCAACTCACTGGTGTCAGTGACTTTACAGCAATCCTCATACTAAGCAAGCATCCAATCCAAACCTGTGACGGTGTCTTTTTTCAGCCAAGAACAGAGGCGAGCTTTGTGTTGGTTTTCAGCCTACGAGTGGCAGCGCTACCGTTACCCTGTCATCCGATTACCACTGGCAGCAACCAAATAAGAGCACAGTGGCTTGAGTTCAGTGTACAATATGTGCGGGGATATTTCGGAACACGAGCTGCGGTCGCTGCTAATTATGTTCGACCTTCGCGTGACATGAGAGGAAGCCCAGAAGATGGTGGGAGAACAAGTGAAAAATGGAGAGAGTTGGCAAACAAGAGTGTCCATGTGAAATGTGTGACCTCAGTGGAAAAAGGACATTCAGTTGTGTGTGTGTGTGTGTGTGTGTGTGTGTGTGTGTGTGTGTGTGTGTTCGTGTTCGTGTGTGTGTGTGTGTGTGTGTGTGTGTGTGTGTGTGTGTGTTTTGGACTGGACCCAAACAGGACTTCCTTACTTCTTTCAAACTTAATTCCATTAAATCATCTATTAATGCAAATGTTTTGGAGCATCAGGAAATGGGGAAAACTTTCAAAAGTAAACAATCTCCTGGTAGGGGGTGGGGTATTTTAAATTAAAGTGTCCTCAGGCGAAATATACAAACGTTATCTGGCTTATTTTTCTTCTACAAACTCATGAAATGACTACTAACAAAGAAAACACACACGTACTGCCCTGTGTGTACAAGTGGGTGAACAATATTTACCCACAGCAGGGTTAGTGACTAATGCTGAGTTTCTTGTGTTGATTCACACTAAATACACCGGTCCTCTGAAAAAAAAAAACATGTTTTTTTTTGGCAGATTCATGGCATAAAGCACTTCTAACAGATTAAATACATTTATTAATTTATGTTTCATACAGTTATAAGAGAAAAGGTGATTTTCTGATCCACTTAGTGTCTGTTTCAATGTTTTAACACAAATTAATTATCATATAGTAGATAAAAACATTGTGTTAGTGCAGCTAAAAGCTACCAGCGAAGACAGATTACTCTGCTTATTGTAACTGATAATAAGGATGCTATAGAAAACACATAAAATAAAACTTTTAAAGGTGTGATTCACTTGTTTAAACAATACATTTGCAGTGGTCTCTAGTAGGAATAAATGCCTTGTAATGGCGTTTTCACATCTGGTCGAGTCCAGCCCGGTTTTGGTAGCGTCGGCTATCCATATGTAAACACATTAGGGTTGTCACGGTAACCGGTGTAGCCGTAAACCCCGGTAAAAAAGTTAACAATAATAATAACCGTCTTGTTTTTTAAAAACTATATTATCTCGGTGGATTACCGTGGCTGCGGTGTAGGCGCAGTGACCCTTACCAGCCACCGTATCATCTGCTGAAGTTGCCGGCGGCACATGCGCATTTTGTTGTTTACGACCAAAACTTTATTGAAGCTAAAGCTGAAATAATGGCCAAAGGAGGAGACGGCAGTGCTCAGGACATTTATTATCCCTCAAAGAAGACAAAGTGGGAAGTACGGGCATCTTTTGGATATTTGAAGAATGCCGAGGGACAGCTGATAGAAGACGGCTATCCTGTTTGCAGCACGTGCAGAAAAAGTGTCTGTGAAAGGCAGCAACGCTTCAAATCTCATGACACATCTGCGTGACCATCACCCACAACTCTACAGTCAACGCAAGGCAAGCTAACGTTAGCGTTTTAGCTAAAATGCGTGATCCGAGGATTTGGGTTGAGGGAGAATGCAACGAGTGGCTATATAAAGCAGCCGCAGCGCCGCTACCTGCATATAAACCGTGTCGCGGACACCGCCATGTTGAAATGACGCTATGCATTACGGGGCTCCCAGGGGCAGATAAGAGTTGGTCTCTCTCCGAGAATAATTATGAATTTAACAATGATTACTGCCTGATGACATTTTCCCACATCTGCAAAGCTCACTGGAAGGACACAAACCGAGGACAATACTTTCCTGATATAGGGTTTATTACTCAAGTAAGGGTAAAAAAGTATCTGATTAGAAGGCTACTTGAGTACTGAGTATCATCTGATCTAATATTTTTAAAATGATGACATCAAACAGACAAAAAATAAGAAGTTATGGGCAAATATTGGTATTTTAAAGACTAAAGGGGAAAAATGTAAAGAAATAAACAACGTCATTACAAAATAACACATTTTAGGCAAAAGTTAGACACAAACTGAGGACAATATTTTCCTGATATACAGGGTTTATTTTGAAAATGTAAAAAGTTTTAAGAAATACCGCGATAATACAGAAAACCGTGATAATTGTGGTCACAATAACCGTGAGGTTACATTTTCACACCGTGACAACCCTAAAACACATTATACCCTACCAGTGAAGGTCCGTTCCAACCCAGATGTGGAGGCACCATAAACTCGTCTCTGGGTAATAAAAGCTCAGATGCACCTGTTCCAGGTAGCGCAAGTCAACTGGAGGAGAAAGTATCTTCAGATGACAGGATTTTGAGTGTAATTTCCTGGTATTTGGACACTTCACCTCTGATTGGCTAACTCGACTCTACCACTGACTCTGCTTTGTGACGTTGATGTTTTATCCCCACAAATAACACTAGCCTGAGGTCTTCTGGTGTGTTGTGAAGTTGCTAATGACTAGCTTTGACTAGTCAAGACGTTCTCTGCTGTTTCCTGGACACTAAACCAACAACAGCCTTCCCCATCACGAGCGAAGATGGGCGAGTCCATGAATGTTAAATGACAGCGTGACGTAGATCTGAGAGGATTTTTAAATCCTAGATTCTCATCATCTATTTTCTATCAGAAGCTAATGCATTAGATAGGTGTAGGAGACTGTTTTTACTTTCAATCTCCATGAAAAATCAGTGACCGATTGTAGCTAGAATAATCATTAAAAAGTGTTCTTTTAGTGAACCACACCTTTAAACATTCACTAAACTGTGTATTTCTTTGAGAATATAACAAAAACAACGAAGCAAATTCTGAAAACCGCTGAGATTACATGATCAACTGTTGGTCGCTGGAGCCTGAACTCAATACAGTGAAATCCCTGGACTTACGATTTTTTTACATTTCTAAACTAGTTTTGCTCCAGAGCCTTTCAGAATATCATGAAGAGCTTCCCATGTTTCCATCTGATACAAAAGATTTACAAAACAGCAATGCTTTACCTGTGAAGTTGACAGATTATATATATATAAAAATATATATATATTCAATTCAAAAATACTTTATTAATCCCAGAGGGAAACTGATTGCTGTAGTAGCTCAGAATAATAATAATAATCAAGTCATCAAAGAGTTGTTGTATATTACAATGGCTGTTGGCAGGAAAGATCTCCAGTATTGGTCAGTGTCAGTGTTTGTATACACACACACACACACACACACACACACACACACACACACACATACATATATACATACATACTTTCCTTTTGAATTAAAGCCATTTCCAACTTTTATCCATTCTTAATTTTTCCTCCACTATTTTTTTCTCCTAATTAGAACACAGACCTGTAGTTAGACGACTAATCATTGAAAAATCATCATAATTTTTTTTATTAAAAAGCAAAAAAAATAATAATTTAGAAACAATTGGTCACTAAATAAACACCTAATCCAGCCCCACCCAGCTTTCTGTGGAAGCATGTTGTACTTTAACTGAAAAAAAAAACATGTCTGGAGTCTGATTTGGCAAAAATGAATTATAAATTATCAAACATTATTGTAACTGTTTACATTGCCCTCAGTAGCAGTGAGACGAGGAAGGAGAAACGCTGATGAAAAGGACACAGATCTTGATGGGGTCGAGTAATGAGACTAATCTGCCCTGAACGCTTCATTAACAGACAATTAAAATGTTCTCACACCAGCTTTCCCACATAAATTTAAAAGGTTTAAACAACATTAGCTGACTTGTTCCTAACATATTAATAATTCGTATTTATCCTGTAAGTCTAATAATAAAGATAAATATTTGTTCTTAAACAACAAACATCATCCTTTGCATCATTCGCATTAGCGCATAACAGCAAGCTAATCCATAATAAACACTTAATAGGGAATACTTTAATAGACAACACAATTTACAACATTTTAATTTAATAAAGCGCTTCATTGAAGATACATAAAATAAATTGTCACTTTAAATTGACTTCGCACGGACCACCAGACACATGAAGACGGGCCACTCATGTTTGGAAAAACAACACAGCTAGTCCGAATAGCGGCCATTCACAAATTCGCTAGCTAAAATGTTAAATAAAGCTTCACAGACAGCATCACATACCTCTTATAAATGAATAAATCGATGTCCGTTTGCTTTCCGATTACATATCCAGAGAATTCAGGTTCTTTAAACTACGGAAAGCAGCAAGAAACCCTCGGGGCTGAAGCCGTGTCGTTCCACTATTCCCAACGTCTCCAGAGGAGAATGGGATTCCTGGAAAAAGGCGCCCCAACACTTTGATTGACGTCGTCATTGGCCAATGGGATTCGACCATTCGGAGAGTTGACGTGTTGAGTCATGCGACAAGGTCGGGGGCGAGCGTGTTTATAACGCCAGCTCCAAGCATCATCTGAGTGAACTAGCGTATGTTTTTATTTAAACACTGACCGCAGGATTATTTGAGTGAAATGAAGTGTTTGTTGATTGCTATAACTAATAAATTAGATCATCTTAAGCTTGCAGAAATTAAATTATGATTAGAGTAACTTGTTGCAACATAATTAATGATTCTTGTCCTGAAAATGCTCTCTCTCTCCAATTATGTAAAACTGATTAAATACAAACATAAAATCTCACAGTGGGTCTATAATTTAATCTGCTCAAGACTATGAAACACCACGATAACAGTTTGACAGACAAAAAAATACATATTAAAGAAATAGTAAATATCAACAACACATACAGCGAACATAACATATTTAACATTTTAAGGCATAGCCTCAATTATTTGACGAAAGAAATATCAAATGCATCAATAATAATATAGATACACATATTTCCCCCCTTTCTTTCTCTCTTTCTCTACTTATTTATTTCAATTTTTTTTCCTTTCACCATTTGAAATCAAGATTTTCCTATAAACAGAAAAAAATAAAGAAACATTCTCATCAATCTGCCCTTAATGGCAGTAAAATGTCATTTCCATTTTTTTTACATGATAATAGAATATTTTGTCATTACAGGCTATTTGAATTTCTAAGTTGTGTTGGGATCTTAAATCCCAAGCCCTACTCATCACTATACTTCCCTTCCCACCAAATGGTTCCCGAGCGCAGCTGTGTCTGCAGCTCACCGCTCCCCAGGGGATGGGTCAAATGCGAAGAACAAATTTTGCACACACATCAGTGTGTGTGACAACTAATGGGACTTTAACTTTAACTCTATTCGTTCTTCCTTCTTCCATCTCAGGAACGTTGCTAAGCTGAGTCCCATTCTGTCCTGCTCTGAACTTGAGACAGTTATCCACACCTTCATCTCCTCACGCTTAGACTACTGTAACTCTCTTTTCACGTGTCTGAGCAGAACCTCCCTGAACCGTCTACAGGTGGTTCAGAATGCCTGTGCTCGGCTTCTGACCAAGTCCTCCAAACACACCCACATCACCTTGCTTCTCCTCCAGCTTCACTGGCTGCCAGTCACCTTCAGGGTTCATTTCAAGATCCTGGTTCTGGTCTATAGAGCCTTACATGGACAAGCACCATCTTATATTGGTGATCTTCTTAGTCCCTACACCCCCAGCAGGTCCCTGAGGTCCAGTGATCAAAGCCTAGCGGTTGTGCAGCACCAGGCTAAAGACCAAAGGTGACAGATCATTTGCTGCTGTGGCCCCCAGACTCTGGAACTCTTTCCCCCTGAGCCTGAGATCAGTGGACTCAGTGGTCTCCTTTAAAAAGGAGCTGAAGACTCACTCGTTCAAGCTGGCTTTGGTGTGACCTTCTTCACCTCTCTCTCTTTATTCTGCTCTCCCCATCTATTCCACCTTCCTCAGGATCCACTGATTTCCCTCTTTCCTGTTCACTTTCTTAACATTTTTTGATCACAATTGCCTATTTTTGCTCATTTTAAATATATTTTAAAACATTTTCTAAATGCTTTTGTATATTTTTACATTTTTGTTTTTGTGAAGCGCCTCGTGATTTTTATCTTGAGAGGCACTATAGAAATGATACTTTCTTCTTCTTCTACTGCTTTGGCTTTACATATTGTACTCTATTCTATTCTATTTAATGCTAAAATAAACAATAAAGTCACGTAGGGTATGACACAAATAAACAGGTTAAGTTCAGTTTATTTCCTTGTTTTGAAAGATGAAATCAGCTTTTTCTTTGGAAATATTAAAAAAGCTGTCGTTCTTAGATTGACCAGTAGGTGGCAGCAGCGCTCTAGCTGGAGAACAAAGAAGAAAAAATGTGGGCGCGGATTTCTCGACGCAACAGCGCCACTTTTGAGCGTTCTTTAATGATTGTCAACAACAGACGACAGCAGCTCTCAGAAAATCGGTCTATAAAGCGGAGTCAGAGGACAGTGTCACTACATTAGGTCCCGAAGTTACACGCGTGAGAATATTTTCTCTTGTTTTGTCTCGGTTGAATGTTAATTCAGCTACGAGGGTGACTGAAGGAGTTGTCAGCACCTTACTGCCAGCGGTTGCTAGGAGCTGAGCTTAGCTAGCTAACAACGGTCTCAGCTGTCTTCATCTGTTATTATTGGACAGTAAGTCGAACGTACATTTTTAAAGGGCAAATATAAAAACGCAGCTTATTTGTATTTCCAGGATTGTTGGTGAGTTAAACCGAAGGCTTGTTTGTTGAGGACATACGTTTCATACATTTGCTAACCGAGGTCTTCAGTTTTGTATTTAAGATATTTTTGTTTGTTTGTTTGTTTATTAAGATCCCCATTAGCCACTGTTAAAACAGTTGCTTGTCTTCCTGGGGTCATAACATCATCCAAAAAAATACATTATTCATGCATCAACACTGGGCTCACAAACAAACAATCCATTTCACTATACAATATAAATTGTGGGATGACCTTCCAAGCACTACCAGAACAGCAGCTTCCTTTTCAATTTTCAAGAAACTCCTGAAGACCCTGCTCTTCAGAGAGCATCTTCTTAACTAGCACCCTCCCTGCACCCGCCCCCCCTCTACTGTCCACTCCTTGTTCCCTACTCTCCATGACTGATGTCAAGTTGTTGTTGTTATTGTTGTTGTTAGCCTCAAGGGCAACATGCCGATTATCACTTGTAAGTCGCTTTGGACAAAAGCGTCTACTAAATACATAAACATAAATCTCCACTATAAGAGCACACCACATTCCACCCAATACAACACCAAAATAACATACATATCACGTGACATAAAACGCAAATTACTCCACACATACTGGACAACAAAACAAAATTAATTAAACATAAAACTCATCTTCCTCAAACTCATGTAAAAAGGGTATAAATAAATATCCGCAACCTCCTACAAAAATCACTCCTTTGTAGCTGACCCATCAAGAATTGTGGTAAACTATTCCATTCCACCATAGCTCTATACAATACTGACCTATGAAGAAAATTAGTTCGACTAACTGGCAACAAAAAGCCGCCATCAGCTTGACGCGTAGCATGTTGGTGAACATCTCTAAACAAAGTCAACTGATTTTAAAAAAAATGTCTGGTGTGCGTGTATTTATAACATTCCTAATAAATTTTATAAGTAAGTACTTAATTCTACTTCTTACACCAGTCCATGCTAGAGCAGTATGCATGTCCTCACAACTCCTTCTAAAAGAACAATTTAAGACTAATCTAGCAGCCTTATTTTGTGCGACCTGTAACTTATTTAAATTCGCTTCCATAGTAGCAGCCCAAATTACTGCACAATAGTCCAAGTGACACAAAACAAGAGCTTCAACTAATACTTTTCTACTTAAATATGGAATACATTTTCTACCATTTCTCACCATTGCCATGCTCTTTCCCATTTTAATTAAAATCTGTTTCACTTGACTATTCCAACTTAGCGTTTCATCAGTTGTTAAACCCAGTAACCTAACTTCTCTAATCTGCTCAATTGGCATTTCCCTTATGCATAAATTCCATACCGGTTCTCTCAACAAATGAGCTGATCCCATCACCATACATTTGGTCTTCTCCACATTAATAGCTAACTTATTTTCATTAATCCACCCTTCTACTAAACTCAGTTCCTTTTCCAAAATAGAATTTAATTCCTCCAGATTCCTTTCAGTTACATATAAAGTCAAATCATCCGCATATAATACAATCGTGGCACATAACATAAATGGAAGGTCATTAGTAAAAATTGAAAATAACAATGTTCCAAGACAACTTCCCTGCGGAACCCCACATAAAAGATTCTTCCTTCGAGAATAACTGCCATTAAACAATACCATAAACCCCATTCCAGTTAAGTAACTTTCCACCCATTTAATAGCTGATTCATGAAAACCATATAACCCTAATTTCATCAGTAATAGATTATGATCCACTAGATCAAATGCCTCACTCGTATCCAATAATACCACCCCAGTTCGTTTTCTAATATCCATATTAGTCATCCAATCGTTAGTCATCTGTGCTAGTGCCGTTGTTGTTGAGTACCCCTTTTTATATGCATGCTGAAATGTAGAATCCAACTCATTATCCTCGAAATATAGAGTTATTTGATCAAAAACCAGTTTTCAATGAATTTCCCTAAAATTGGTAAAATACTCACCGGCCTACTATTTTTCTCAGAAAAATGCTCATTATATTTTGGAAGAGGAACCATTTTTGCCATTTTCCATTTTTGTGGACATTTACATTCTTCCAAACTCAAATTAATAATGTGAGACACCGGAATTGCAATCTCATCCACCACTAACTGCAATAACTTTACATCCAATTCAGTACCAGCAGGCCTCACCTTCATTTTCTGTATACACTTCTTCACCATATCAACTGTCACTAATTTAAATGAAAAAGAACATGATTTACTACCCATTATTTTGCCTTTAATATTTTTTCCAGTCAAATCCCCTCCTAACCCTACTTTCATATCATCTTGTAATTTTCGCACCTTATTATTGAAATAATCACTTTAATGATTTGCTCTATCAACAGGTTTACTCAAAAATGAATCGCCAACTTCCAGATATGTCGGGAATAACTTTGGTTTCCTACCCGTAACCTCATTTAACGTATTCCATAGTTTCTTTCTTTCTTCTTTTACATTCACAAACTTGTTCTTGTAATACACCTTCTTTTTCATTCTATTCAGTTTTGCAACATAATTCCTTAACTCGTGTACCTTTCCCATACTACGTCATCCCCCGATGTGATTGCTTCTGCCTTAATAACATCCCTTTTCCTTATATATTCTTTTAATTCACCATCTAACCAAGGTGATACCACATTCCTTATTGTCATTTTTCTTAACGGTGCATGTTTATTTATGATTGGCATCATCAATTTTGTAATGATTTAAATTACGTGTTATTTAATAAGCCATAAGGCGTAGGATTCCATAGGAAATATGAAATCAACCTTACGGATCTGTGAGGTTATTTTTAAACCAGAAGATTGGAACTTTTTAATGCAGGGATTAGATAACAGCTTCATATTCACGCAAGAGACAACAGAAGAGAGAGAGTCAAGTTTAAAGATTTATTAAAACAAATTAAACTAGACTAACTTTAACACTAAATGTATGGTGTAACTAAGGTGAATGAGACGGAGAATGGTGTAGTGTGGAATGTTGCTCAGAACCAGCAAATCCGAAGAAGCGATTAGTTCTGATGGGAACTGAAGGTGATGTCTTTGCGTTAAGCTTTGATTTGGAGATTCATAAACACATTCAACGCCATTTGTCGGTCTACATACCCTGAGCGGAAGTTCCTATCTAGATCAGGAGGTGTAAAGGTCCAGCTTGACCTTTATGGAGCCGGAGCCTGTAGAAGCAGCCACGGCAGCCGACCACCCGTCTTGAGATACTTCCGGATCACAACAATTTGCTGGCATCTAGCGAGACCCTGGCTTGGGTCGTGATGGTTCAGCTTTTATTCTGAAAGGAACCGTTGCAGCAGGTGGAACAGCAACAGATTTTATCCAGCTTGTCGTTGGTTCTTTCGGCTGAAGAGGAAAGTTACGGATTGGCCACTCCGACAACTTCTCTAGAACGCTTTGAACTGGCGTTAAAGATGACGTGGGCATAGTTTTATACTTCGGATGTTTTGGTTTATGGTCGAATGAAAAGATGACAGATTTACCAAGCACCACCAAAACCACGCCTCCGGCAGATCTGGCAGATTCTGATTGGATCAGTAAAACAATGTGTCATGTCTTAACGCTACGTGAGATCAGTCCTAGTGGAAACATTTAAGTCATATTACTTATTATATTCTATAGGATTATAATAAAGTAATTAATATTTTGATTTCACAGATTGGTCACATCTTATTATTGACTAACACTTTGTTTGATTAGCTTTATTAAAATAAAGTTCTTTGAATTATTAAAAGGAGAGAGTCCTTTCTTCTGTTGAGCTGAAAAGAAGCAGTTTAGAGCAAATGCATGAGACCTTGAGGCCATATCTCATGCAGACTAGTTCTGTGTCAGAGGAGAGGGGGAAACGGTCATTTCATTCTGTTACATTTTTGTAAAACTCTAATGCTTCATCCGTATCTTTGCTCCCTAGTACCTGTGCCCAATCAACTTTTCTGACATCATCATAAAAGCTACATTCATTAAAATCCCTAAAAACCCGTTTAATAATTATTTTCTGTCCAGATTTAGGAACTTTAGTTCTTCTATTAATCATAATTAAATTATGATCAATACAGCCCGCCCCTACTGACATCGCCTTAGAGCACAGTGATTTTGCATGAGTAAAAAGTAAATCTATACATGAAACTGTTTTCACCGCTGCTACAATTCTTGTTGGTTTTGTTACCACTTGTGCCAAGTTGCATGCATCCGTAATAGAACATAACTTATTTTTTAAAGAACAATTCTTCAAACTCCAATCAACATTGAGGTCACCCAATAAATAAATCTCATTATTTGAGTCACATACTTTATCCAACATATTACAGATCCTTTCTAGACATACTATTGGGGCATTTGGTGGCCTATAACAAGCACATAACAACATTGGTTTAATGTGTGGCAACCGCACCTCCAACCACAATGCTTCCACCCCTATACAGCCACCTGGTTCTAACAGGTATTTGATCTTTAACATAAAATGCCACCCCTCCCCCATATATATTTCTATCCTGTCTGCATAGTACATATCCACTTGAATACAATAAAGAGTTATCAATACTTGCATCCAAATGTGTCTCAGACAAAGCCAGAATGTGTAAATTACAACTCTCAATAATTCTCATAACCGCTTGGATCTTATTTCTCAGACTACAAATGTTCAAGTGACCTATATTTAATCCTTTATCTGAGTATTGTCTTGTTATTTTATGTAGATATTGTGAGACGCGTCCATCTTTTCCAATAATGTGTGGTTATGCAGTTATTCCTGGAAAAACTTGAAAATACTGCAGTTAAACTGTCTTATTAATAACCAAAGCTCTTATGACATAGGTTTTTTAAGAAAAGGTGTGTTGTATTTTGATATTTTTATTCAAATTAAGAGCCATTATGTCCTAATTCATTCCAACTAGGTAAAAGATGGTCCAAGACCGTGCTCAGATTCGACACCAGGGTGCCCATGACTTCATGGCGTACTATGAATTTGCCTGTGCCAGACAGGATTCAGTTCCTCTCCCCGCTGTTAAGATGAATCTTGACAAACAGATGCTGGACTTTAATGGAGACCGGCTCAAATTAACGGACTGGCCACCTGTTCTCCACTCTATATCCATCAACAAGCACCTACGCCACATTGCAATAAGCAGCACGTACCAAGGTGGTCCAACTTCAAGAGAAGCAGGTAAGGAATAATTATCTGAATTGTAAGCTTTACTGAAATGAACGCATGATGAATAAAATCAGAATCTTTAATGACAGCTGTCCATTTCAGATAAAAGGTACTATAAATCTACCTTCAAGAGGAGGATCCCACCCATTCGTTCCAAGGAAATGACATTTAAGCTGTGCAAGGCTTTGAGAGAGTGTCTGACCGTCTCTCCCAGTCTCAAGACCCTGCAGCTGATTGGACTCCCGCTGAGAGAAAGGGACCTCATCAGTTTAACAAAAGTAAAAACACACAGGCTACATAATTCCACACTTGCTTCCTTAACTGTGCATTTTGAGAAGGTGTGAGTACTAAAGGCTGGAGGTAATTCTGTCAGATGTCTCAAAAAAAAAAAGATTTTTGACTTGCATCTTGTGATTTTAAGAAAAGTCTTTGTGAAAACATAAATGTTTTTTTTAAAAATGTGTTTATTGAAAGTAAAAGGAAGAGACAAAGAAAGTGTGTCCTGTTCCAGGGTTTATCAATAAGCGCAGCACTGGAAAACCTGTCTCTGGCAAACTGTCCCATTTCTGATGAAGGCTTGGAGGGTTTGTATTAAATATAAATATCATTTCACAAAGTTTTTCTATACATGAATTTGTTGTTTTTCTAACTTTTCCTCCCCTAATTCATTCAGTCATTTGCCAGAGTGTTAAGTATTCTACCAACATCAGGACGATAGATTTTACAGGATGCAGTCTTACATGGAGAGGGGCGGAGCATATGGCCCAAATCATTAAGGTTTAATATTTCATTTCTTGACACAATTAGGTTAAATATAATTTGTGTATATATGTTGTAGACATAAAAACTCTAATCAAAATGTACATTCACTCAAAAAAAGCCCATCTTTGCACACATTCCTTTTGTTTTTAGCACCAGGGAATGCAGAGACACGGTACCGCTTGGGCTGAGTCACTGAGATACCGACTACCCCATTTTGATCGAATGGGAGGTCTCCGCCGTGTCACCCTAAACTCCAACACTTTGATCGGGGATCGAGGAGCAGCTGCTCTTGCACATGAGCTGGCTGAGGACCTCTGGGTTAAAGGTTAGTGAAAAAATAAAATAAAAAGGAAAAAGAGGGCTTGTTTTGTTTAGTTTTTGCTCAGAATTTCTCTTTTTTTTGGGACAGCGGTGGATCTGCAGAGCTGCGGTTTGTCCAGCCAAGGAGCTCGTCGTTTGCTGGAAGCCTTGAAAACAAATTCTTCTCTGTGTGTGCTGGATATACGTAGTAATCCTTTAGTTGGTGAGACTGCATCTGTTTTATTCCAAAGAACACAATCTGTGAGTTTACTATTCGCACTTCTAAGTGCTGTTACAAATGGGTTGAATCAAGCAGTTTAGTGGCTGAACAAACTTAAAGGGACATTATGGAGGTTTGACAGCCAAAACATGTATAGAAATAATAAATGTCTTCTTCATACATTCTCCTGCAATGCCCTGGTCCTGTAGAATGAGCCCTGGCATTTTTACTGTGATTGCCTGTTTTTCTGTAAAATCACAGAAAAAGAGAGATGCTCGGGTCGAGCAGGCTGCTTCATGCGCGTTCACGCTCAGGCATCGCCCGTAGCATTTGCTATCCGTAGCTTTAGCAGCAGAGAGAGAGGCAGTGCCACTTTGTCTCTGTTCCTAACGCCTAGTGACAAAGCTAGCTACATTTCTGAGGACCCTTAGCTACTTTCTGTAGAACTTTCTTCTAGATATTTCCTGCTAATTAGCAACAAAATAGCCATTTTCACTCCAAACCGTTCTTTGGTTTGACGTTGTTTCAGCTGTCATCAAGGATATAAATGTTACAGATACTGTGAATGTTACTAGAGTGTAGCTCACCTTGTAAGATGTTTGACTCTCATGCAGAAAACCTGGGTTTGATTCTGGGTGTGAACATAGTTTATTAAGAGTTTCTTTTTTACATTAATGGTATATTTTTTACAGTAAGATGCCCAAATTTTTATTTGAGACTCGCCGAACGGCATTGAATTCACAGATAAAAAAGATGTGGGTTCAACTTTCATTTTGGAACAATTTTTCAAGCAAGGGAAGGGAATGATCTGAGCATGCAGGAGGACTGACCCATCATAAACCTTTGTCGGCTGTGCTGAAGAGAAAGGTACAGAACCAAATTATTTAATTAATTAGCTGCGCGTTCTCCTGTCCTCTGTCCTCCGGGCCACCCACACACACACACACACGGGACTGTTTCAGCTGTTATTTTCATTAAGGAGTGTGCACGTACAGCATGCGCGCCTCGTGCACGAGCCTACTATTGAAGCTGCCGTTATGCTTTTGGCCTGAGGGGGCAATCACGAGCATAAAAATTCAAATGTCCGTAAAGTCCCTTTAAAGAATAAATTTTATTCAGATTTAGAAAAATGCAGCAATAGATGTGTAGAATAAAAAGTACTATTAATGTAATTTTACTGAAATGTCTCTTTACAGACAAGGGTCTGATTAAAACGGTGATAGAAAAAGTTCTAATGAATGCAGAAGGGCAGTCACTAGAGGTGAGTTTGCCGGTGGTGATACTTTCACCAAACCGTGTCCCAACAAACAGAAACGTCCATTTTAAACAAACTAGTTTTGCATTTCCAGTATGTTTAATTTTTTTGTCAGTTCTACCCAACATGTTTCATGTTGTTCTCCTGCTGTGCTGCAGTACCACTGGATCAAGCCAAAGGCCGCAGAGCCACAAAGGGTACTGGGTCCAAAAAGGCGAGCCATCCCCAACCCAGCAAAAGGAAAATCTTCTTTAAAGACTGGTATGTGTGTATTCTGTTTTTGTTGTGCTTTTTGTCAGACAACCCATTTTAGATATTATTGGTGGTGATTTAGAAAACCAAACAGTAATTCCCTGATGTTCTTTTACCAAAAGTAGGAAAGTGATCCTCTAATCCAAGTTTAAAGTAACACTAAACAGTTTCCTGCTTCCCCCTCCTGGTTTTAAATGGAATTACAAGTGTGATAAACAGCCTTGCTGCAGTTTGCTGTAGCTAGCGCTAACAATGAGCTAACACTAACATGAGCCAGCTGATGCTAAACACACCACGAATTTAAAAGATCCACACTGTTGGACAAAAATATTAGGGCTGCAGCTATCGAATATTTTTGTAATCGAGTACTCAATCGAATATTTTATCGATTAATCGAGTACTCTAATAAATTACCCTTTTGCGTTTGTAAACCATTATATCAAATAGCATGTTATAAAATATGAAAGACCTCTTAAAATGAGTAATAGCCAGTTATTCTTCAAGTTTTATTCAAAAGTAGTTTTCAAAACTTCAGCACTTCAACTTTACAGTAAACAAATGCGAGCGGCTGCGGCCCAAACACCACCAGAACCGCTCACGGCGCATGCGCAAACATGGCTCGCCAGCTATTTCCCTATTAACACACGTCCGTTTTAATTTCTACACTTTTTTTCTCACACTAACAAGGATTGTCGAAAGCATGTTTGCCGTGGTTATGTCCAATTATACTGATCGCAAAACATTTATTTACTTTCTTTTGTTTTCCTCCGCCACTCATAAATACCCGTGTCCTCCTGCAGCAATCCCGAGGGACAACAAATATCAATAACAACACAGTAAAAAGTCCGACATGTTGTAAAAACTGCTATTTTTAGCACATTTTAAGACTGACGTGTTGCTACCAGATGTATGGTGTGAGCTGAAACTGAGTGCTACAAATGAAAAAGTTGCACAGCGTCTGCAGAATATATATAGAAATACAGGCTAAAATGCATTATCTTGTAGAGCACATATGTCAGAGTCAAGGCCCGCGGGCCAGATGCGGCCCGCGGAGCATTTTTATGTGGCCCGCGGGATAAATATAAAAAATATATTAAAACTGGCCCGCTGGCCGATTTTACCGCAAAGACTTCAACTCCCATGATGCTTTGCGGCGTCAGCGCGGAGGTGACGCGCCCCCTCCTTTGTGTTTTTTCCAGCCCGAGGCAGTCAGGGGTAGTTGGGTGTCTGCAGCCCCGCTGTCTCGGACAAGCTACACTCCTCTCACTCAGCACCGAGTTCACTCAGCTGTTTTCTGACGTTGAAGCCCAGAAATGGAGATTCTAGCCGCTCAGTAATGTGTTCACGACTGAAAAAGAAAGTTTTCCAACTAACGTCCAGACAGAGCTGATATAACTCCAGCGAGCAGCCACACGCTCAAACCAGCACGGCTCTGTGGCTGCTGTCGTGTTTCCGCCCCGACACACAACAACGTGGTCAAGCTGCTCAGACATGTTCATCACCACAAACCTATGTGAGCACCTGTTGTCATCTAATGTTGTCATTATTATGATGAAGATGAACAAAACAACAGGAGTCTCCTCCTCAGCTCAGATCAACCCCATGATGCAGGTATCTGGCTGGAACAGGTGAGCATCACAGTAAACCAGTGGAGCAAACTGACCTTTAAATATGTTGGTTTGATGCTCTTTTTCTGCTCCAAAACATGAAAGTTAACAGGTGAGATGTTGCTTTTTCATTTAAGATAAAATGATATTTTTATTTTGTTGTTGGCCCGTGAGAAAAGATTTAACCTACAGTAAACAGGAAGTGGAAAGGCTGCAGATAGATGAATAGAATAGAAAATCCCTTTATTGTTCCTCAGTGGGGAAAGCTAGACGTCACAGCAGCGATGACACTTATTACAGGAGAAAAAAGGAGAATAAAAAATAAGAAAAATTAATAAACAAGAAAACATAAATCCTGAATAGATTTTAAAAATGCTGATTATACCACAAGTAATGAATACCACTGATGCCTTTTATTTAAAACTGACTTGCTTGTGTGTAATTTGGTTATTCCACATTCAGTGTTAATGCAGAAATATGTTTGTTTCCAAATTTAAAGGTTCAAAATTGCATATATGTTGATAAAGAAAATGTGCAAATTTACCGTCACTTTTTCAAAAATATTAAGTTTGGCCCTCGACTCCGTCCCAGAGTTTCATTTCGGCCCCGTGTGAGTTTGAGTTTGACACCCCTGTTGTAGAGGCTCTGAGTCCGCTTGCAGTAGTGACATTTACATGTGGATGTTTCCTGGTCAGGCTGCAGCATGGAGGAATATGGTGTTGTTGTAGGCTAAATCCATTGTACAGTATTTATACTGGACTACGTTTTCCGCCTTACGACGTGAAAAATGGTCCCACAACTTTGACATTTTCTGTCTTTTTCGCACTCCACCGGGGTCCACGTTGTCCACCATGGCTTAAGAGAAAGTTAAGTTATATTCGCTACTCACGTGTGCATTCAGTGCAGTATGTATGTGCGTCACTTATTTCGGTCCGTGTGAAACATGACTCCGGGTGATTGCAAAGCCATTAATTAATTAAACATGAATTAAACGAAGCTTCGAGGCAGAGGATTTGACTCGAGGATTTTTTGTACTCGAATTATTCGAGGTACTCGAGGAATCGTTTCAGCCCTAAAAAAGTATTACTTACAAGTCCAGTAGCAACAAAGCCGGGTCATCATCAGTCCATGATTTCATAGCCTAATTTATCTTCTTCAAATGACTGTAGACCACGTCGATGTGCACTCTGGTTTTAGCTCTTTGCTTCACCTCCAAAGACATTCCTGTCTTACTTTAACTTCCAGGCTCCACCATGATGCCAAAAAACAGTTAAATTCTTCTTTTTCTTCTTCTTGTGCTTTTTATTGATGGTCGGCAAACTGAAAAAGCTAACGGCTAGCTTTTAAGTTAGCTGCTGGCACAGACAATAGCTAACGGTCGTTAAGCAGGTAAAGAGTGCCCCTTAGGGCACCTACCCGCTCCACAAAACGGTTAAGCGCTGTGTCTGGTCAGCAGAGGGCTACAGAGTGATGTAGCATGTGAAGTTGTTAAAGGTTTTACGTACAGTACATAGTCACTGAACCCCCCCTTTTAAGGAAGTGTTTAAAGGTGTGGCTGACTGAAAACCATGTTTTTAATGTTTTTTCCTGGTTATTATTAATCACTGAGTTTTTCCATGCAGGCTGAACATAATAGTCTCCTGCATTAGCTTCTGATTGAAAATAGAAAGTGAAATGCTAGAATTTGAAAATCCTCTCGGATCTTTGTCGCACTGTGAATTAGCATTCATGTATTCACCGATCTTGACTCACGACGGGGAAGGCTGTTGTTGTATTTTTAACGTCCGAGAATCAACAGAGAATATCTCGGTTAGTTAAAGCTAACAGTTAACATTAGCAACATCGCCACACAGCAGAAGCTCCTCCAGGCTTGTGTTATTTGTGGAGATGAAACGTCAGCGTTGCAAGTCGGTGGTAGCCCTGCGTTGCTGTTATCCAATCCGGCGCGAGGTGACCAAATATCAGGAAATAAGACTCCAAAACCTGCCGTCTGAAGCTCAGATGTGAAGTGGTTAACTTTACACACACACACACACACACACACACACACACACACACACACACACACACACACACACACACACACACACACAGAGACACATACACACACACAGAGACACACACACACACATACACACACACAGACACACACACACACACACACACAAACACACACACACACACACAGAGATGCACACACACAGAGACACACACGCACATACACACACAGACACACATACACACACATACACACACACACACAGACAGACAGACACACACACACACACACACACAACTTTTTCTGGCTGCATTTTTAAGCCATAATCCGCTCATTTGTCTGTAGACGAGGGGTAAATATTAGGCGTCACTAAGTTCTTTTTTCCTTACAAAAAGAAAATCTGGCAGAAATGAGGACACTGACATGTTTAGCAGTTGCATCTTTCCCATAAATAGAGTTAGCATAATTATTCAGTTAGTTCTTGTGTCCTGATGGAAACTCGTAGTTTCTAAAACTGCTTAGAAAAGGAGTTTACTTTGTGATCTACGGTATTGTAAATTCTCAGAAATGTCTGTACAAACACTCTCCTATGCAGAATTTCTTTGAATTGCTTTCACATATCAACTTTTATGTCTTGCCCATAATCTACCTTTTTGATGTCTTATCTTTTTTAGCTCCAAGTAATCTCAAGACTTGCCTGAGTTCATTCTGTGATATTTTTTAATCTTCCGACAAAGAGTTCATTAGTTTACTTGATCTTTAGTTGTTAAAGCAGTCTGGAAAATTCACTTTTATGATTTCACAATGAAAATAAAACCATATATTTACTTGTAAATATGACGACATTGTCCTCTTTCTGGTGCAGCTGCTGTTAAAGGACCGTCTGGAGGACGGACTTCAGGTGTCACTCAAACAAAGAAGTCTTATTCCCGCTGTTCCTATGTGCCGTGGCGTGCTGCTGCCCGAGCTGGACGCCAGAGGTGAGGACGCTTGAAGCAAGTAGAACTCATTGGAAGTTGTGTTTTTGACAGGTGGAAAGAGTACTACAATTTCCTACTTAATTATGTGTACCAATACTTTGATAATTTTTTACTCAAGTAAATGGTAAAATGGTAAATGGCCTGTATTTGATATAGCGCCTTCTAGAGTCCTGGAACCCCACAAGGCGCTTTACAACACAATCAGTCATTCACCCATTCACACACTGGTGGGGATGAGCTACGATGTAGCCACAGCTGCCCTGGGACGCACTGACAGAGGCGAGGCTGCCGAGCACTGGCGTCACCGGTCCCTCCGACCACCACCACCAAGTACACCACCAAGTACAAGTAAAAAGTATTGTAAATAAAATGTACTCAAAGTAAAAGTTACTTAGTTACATTTTTGTCAGCGTAAGGATGGCTACGTCTAAGTAGTGCTAAATCACACCAGTTCACAATTCGCTCGTGTGTGCGCGCACACACACACACACACACACACACACACACACACACACACACACACACACACACACAGCAACATGTTAGAATCATTTGAATGACTAATTTAACTACATTGAACTGCTTTTGTAATACTTTAATTTCTTATTCTGCAGTAAAATAAAGAAACAAGCTAAATCATCACATATCTGTGGCATCAAGAAGCAACTTCTGAGTTCAAACACAGGGATGGAGCACAATGTTTACACCTGAACAGCATCAGGATGTTTTAACTCACAGAGAGAGGCCTGCAGGTCTTCTGTTTTACGAGCACAACGCTGATAATCCGCTTGTTATGAGCGCTAAACGTTATTTTGCTGCTGCCGTGCGGAGTGGTAGGGAAACACGTTTCAAACACGGAACCGAGTCCGGCTACCAGACCGAGCAGAATTCTGATGACGTCACACCGGTGCGCGAAGGTGCGGGTTCCAAACCACAGGAGAGGAGGGAGAGAGGAGGTAAACAGCGAGTCATGCAGGCGTCTCTTTCTGTTCCGACGCTGCTACACGTAATATTTTTAATTCATTAAGCCTACAATTTATTTTTACTCAGTAACAAAAATGATTTAAAATGTAGCGAATTACAATTCTTTTTTAAAAACGTACTCAAGTAAAAGTAAAAGTACAGATTTTAAAAATGACTTAAAAAGTATAAATATACAAAAAAGCTACTCAGTTACAGTAACGTGAGTAAATGTAATTCATTACTTTCCACCTCTGGTTTTTGATCAGAGAGACTTAAATACCTTCTGAATTGTTGGATGCTTTTTGTTTCAGAGGTTTGCCTCCTGAAGATGCTGTTAAAGAGCAAAGCTTTCAGGGTGCAGCTACAGTAAAAGTCACTATGGAGCCCGACTCAGAGGGAGAGGAGGAGGAGGAGAGTGATGAAAAAGATGAAGAAGTTGTGTTTGAAGTGGAGCAGAGATCGTCTTCACTAGCTCTCCAGGACAGACCCACAGGACTGCAGCTTGATCGGATCCAGGTCCGACACTTTGGGCAGGATTCTCCACAAAAATGAAAAAACAACCCAGAACTCTGCAGTTTGAGTGTTTTATTGTGTTTGTCCTGTAGATGGAGCTGAAAGAGTGTCGTCTGAGGCTGACAGAGGAACGCAGGGCTCGCCTAACAGCTGAGTCAAGACTCATGGAGGTGATTAGATAATTGAAAACTTGACTTTAGTTTGATTTGAACAGATATGACTTGAATTATAACAAGACCACAAAATTTGGAACAGTTACTTTTGCTATTTTTTCCTCAGATTAAACTGTTGTATTTATTCTTAGTACAAGTTAGAGAACGACAGACTCCTTGATGCCAACCGCTCCCTGTCAGAAGCCCTTGCAGCCGTTGGCTCTGCAGCAGCACCACCTGCTTCCAGTGCTCTGGAAGACGAAGCAGTTCTCGAAAGCATCGAAAGGTCATTTACTAAGTTCCACGCCTTCCTGGATCTCCTCAAAGATGCTGGGTGGGTATACTTAATCATTTCTTTTGATTTCTGACCAGAACTCTTCCTGTTCTGACGGCGGTCCTCGCAGATTAAAAATAAGTCCTTTCAACTTTTGGTTTCATTATCAGTCAATAGGTGTTGTGTTTACTGGTAGAGGTCACATTCTTTTTCCATGATTTAATCCAGTCACACACCCCATGTTTGTCCCTGCTGAAGCTCCCTGAGAGCTGTTTGGCTTAACAAGGATGTTCCCTCATCATGTGATACTTTCACTTTTGAAATTAAAGGGACTTTACGGACTTTTGAATTTTTATGCTCGTGACTGCCCCCTCAGGCCAAAAGCGTAAAGGCAGCTTCAGTAGTAGGCTCGTGCACGAGGCACGCATGCTGTACGTGCACACTCCTTAATGAAAATAACAGCTGAGACAGTCCCGTGTGTGTGTGTGTGTGTGGCCCAGAGGTCAGAGGACAGGAGAACGCGCAGCTAATTAACTAAATAATGTGGTTCTGTACCTTTCTCTTCAGCACAGCCGACAAAGGTTTATGATGGGTCAGTCCTCCTGCATGCTCAGATCATTCCCTTCCCTTGCTTGAAAAATTGTTCCAAAATGAAAGTTGAACCCACATCTTTTTTATCTGTGAATTCAATGCCGTTCGGCGAGTCTCAAATAAAAATTTGGGCATCTTACTGTATAAAAATATATCATTAATGTAAAAAAGAAACTAAATGAACTATGTTCACACCCAGAATCAAACCCAGGTCTTCTGCATGAGAGTCAGACCTCTTACAAGGTGAGCTAAAGCGCCAGTGATGTTCGTTGTATCTGTAACATTTATATCCTTGATGACAGCTGAAACAACGTTCAAAGAACGGTTCGGAGTGAAAATGGCTATTTTGTTGCTAATTAGCAGGAAACATCTAGAAGAAAGTTCTACAGAAAGTAGCTAAGGGTCCTCAGAAATGTAGCTAGCTTTGTCACTAGGCGTTAGGAACAGCAACAAAGTGGCACTGCCTCTCTCTCTGCTGCTAAAGCTACGGATAGCAAATGCTACTGGCGATGCCTGAGCGTGAACGCGCATGAAGCAGCCTGCTCGACCCGAGCATCTCTCTTTTTCTGTGATTTTACAGAAAAACAGGCAATCACAGTAAAAATGCCAGGGCTCATTCTACAGGACCAGGGCATTGCAGGAGAATGTATGAAGAAGACATTTATTATTTCTGTACATGTTTTGGCTGTCACACTTCCATAATGTCCCTTTAAAGCAGCAAATATTTACATTCTTTTTTCTTCTATTCAAATTCTGGAATTCACAAGAAATGATGCTTAAAGAGTTTCTGAGTGCGGCCACTGCAGCACCTCGCCGCTCCCCACAGGGATGGGTCATATACGGAGATGTAATTTCACCAGTGTGGGATGATGACTGATGGGACTTTGTTTTTGTGTACATCCAAGGGTGTTTGTGGACAAACACTGCTTCATGCAACAATATTTGAGCTGCTTGACATCCCTAAGGTTGAAGATGAAAGAAAATAAATTCTCTCATATGTCTTTGGGTAAAACGTCTCCCACTTCCAGTAAACGGATGTTTTAAAATAATGATGCTGTTTCAGTTTCATTCTAAGTAACTAAATGAGCTCCTTGAGCTTCTGAATGTTTGGAAATCCGGTGAACAGCCAAGAGTTTATTTATAACAGGAGATTTGCTATCACAGCTGCCTCCTGTTCTGCACTTATTCATCACATCACCTTTACTTTTACTTTCTACACCAATGGCTGCCCAAAGGGCCGTACACTACATGATTAAAACACAAGCAGCAGTGTGAGAACACAGGTACCCAACATGCAGATCAGGAAAGAAGTTCAAGTCAGAAAAAATGACGGATAAAAATAAAAAAGAAATGGTTCCCGAGATTAAAACAGCCATAAAAAGGCTTACATGAGCAGGTAAAATAGAACTCAGTTCAAATTTTCAAATTTACTTGGCTGTCCAATTTAAGGGCTCCATCAAGCTGGACCCCTAGGCTTGTCACCACATCCTTTTCATAGGAAGCCAATGTATAAAGGTCAACATTGTGAGACGTATATGGATGAAATGGAACACTGTGTTTCTTGAATAGTTTTCCAAGAGGTAAAGAATAAAGGGAGAATGAAAGAGGAACGAGAACAGACCCCTGGGGCACTCCCCAGGTAAAGTCAGCTCAAGAGGATGCTAAATCACCCATCATCACACAAAAATTTGATCTTTTGCTTTTATAAATTCATTTATTTCTGTTGTATTCTTTCTTTAACTTTCTTTTTGCATTAAGCCATCAAAACCACAAATTTCTCCTCCACTCCATTTCATATGTGAACTAATATTTTTATTTCACTTGTATGAATATTTTAGAGAATTCCAGCATAATTTTAACGAATTGCATCTCTTCATGCAGCCTGGGTCAGATAGCTTCCATGGCGGGCATCGATACATCAGATTTTCATCCTCTGGGAAAACCTCAGCTCTCCTCTACAATGGGACCACATTTGGCTGGTGCAGAATCACGAATCGCCCGGGAGTTCAGGGATGTTCAGGAAGAGCATTATGCTGCATCTTTGGTAAGGCTCAGGGTTCATGTTGACAAGAACATTTCATTTAGTTTTAGTCTTCTGACTGAAATAATTTTGAATAACCATGCACTGATCAGGTTTTTTGCTGCTTATCAACAATACGGACCACCAATACCCATCATGTGGATTGGCCAAGTTATAATGGCTGTGGCTGATCAGTCTGAACATCCCTAGTTGCATCCCTGAACGGGAGTGAGATAGTCACCTTTTGCTTATAAAAGTGGACCGCAGTAACCAAATTTGACCACAGGATGTCGCTCTTACTTCATTTTTACATATTGCACCTTTAAAGCCCCATTCCTGAACTTTGTGGATATATGCTCACTGTCGCCCTCTCCAGGCTTGCTGCGTAACATCACTGTCGTAAAATAATATCTCTCACGCATAAGATGCATGTTTACTGGCTTTTCTCCAACTTGAGTGCCCAAACAAACACATTAAGCGGCGTTTCAGCATTGAATAAAGTTTTTTAAATCAGGACTGTATTACAACGTTATGCCCGACCAAACACTAATCCTGATGAAATAATTTATTACTTACCTATCTATTAGCAGCACGGCTAGGTCAGAGTCCGTAGTACATGCTGTTGTTTTGAGAAGAGCTCTCCAGCGAGGAAAAGCCGGCCCAATATCAACTCTGGTTTTTGCTCTTGCTCTATCACGTTCCCTCTTTCTTTTCCTAGATTCCTCTGATGAGGGACTTCTAGCTTTCTTTGGCTCAAGTCTCTAAACCTCAGGTCTACCACAGACGTATATATGTAAATGCCCCATGGACTAGCGCTGCTGTAGTTGCTGGCCGCCATTTTAGATGCATCTCCATTCACCCCCAGTGCATTAATTTCTACTAAGGAAGCTAAAAAAACACATTTTATGAAGCGTTTTCACAAAATCAGACACAAGTAGCTCACTCTGCATTGACTTTGGACTTTTCTACAGCCTCTGCTTTGGAGAGTGAGACCCATCCGTAAAGCGATACGCAGTCAGTACTTCTGATGGCAGACCGCGGGTCAAAAACTGAATAGTGCGGTAAAAAGACATGGGACCCCATAACACTATCACAGCTCCAGAAATGAACATAATAGATGATGGTATGCCACCAGAACCTTTCAATAAAACATTTTTTAAGGTGTAAAAGTTGCATAATGTGGCTTTAAGTCAAATAGAACCGAATCCAACAAACAGACAGTACTACTCAGACTTTAAGTAAACAGCTGTGTGTTTTCAGTATTTCTCATATTAAACTAATGGTTTGATGTGTTTCGACTAGTTTGAAGGTCTAGTTGTTTGGTTGTTACAACAAACCTTCGTCTTCTGTTTGTAGGTAAACAACATGGTGCCAAATCTTCCCGGTGGAGCAGCGAACACCCCGCCCTCTTGCAAATCCCCTCCTCCTCTCAGAGCATCCCTACAGAACAACAGACTTCTAGATGTGACCTTTAGTCACGCTGGAGTCGATACTAGAGACCTGGTTGTGGGCGGGGACAAGGAACCACATCAATATATAAGACCTGATATTCAGCGTGACTCGGAGTCGGAGCAAAGTTTCCATAGCAACAAGTCCTGTGATAACATTTCCTTTGGTAAAACCTTCCAGACACAACCAACCAGCCAAAGGGAGGAAACCGGCTCTCACAGGAGCAACAGTTACCATGGATACAGCCTCAGCCACACCTACAGTGGTGGCTACCAGAACAACGGGTCTCACGGCGGCTCGTCCGAGAGCCTCAGTGAGATTATTAGTGACAAGGCAGAGTCTGTGGAGTCAGCAGGGTCAAGGAGCAGCGGGGTGAGGAGGCTGGTAATGGTCGGCCAGTCGAGGTCGGAGGGGTCAGAGAGAAGAGTCTATCCCGGGAGGGCTGCTCTGACACAGATTCCATCTGTGGGGGGTCGATCAGATCAGGAGTCCTTCTGATATGATCACCTCAGACAAGAGGTTCAGGAGTCGTCTGTGTTCCTTTTACCAACAGCTTTATTTATGTGTTTAGGATTTATTGTACAAACGTTTTAAGTTAGAGGTTTATTTTTATAATACACGAGCATTTTGTATTTTTAGGGAAAATTGAACAAATTTCCTAACCTTTTAATTGAATTCTTAGTTCATGTCTTCTTCCATGCAGATTAGTGGAGGTTTATCCAGAAGTTAATACATTATTCCTGCTGGTTTCATGTGATTTGTTATTATCAAGGCTTTTGAGACCCATACAGTTTTTTTATAAAGTTTTTTATTCTTTTACCAGTCTGTTCAAATATCAAAATTGTGTTTATTTTAAGTAAACTTCTGTGGTTTAACCACCAATAATGGTTTTGTTTGTTTGAAAGTCAAAATGTTGGATATAAACCATTTTAGTGAAGCTATTTTTTTTAAATAAACCAGATGATGTGCCATTAACTGCCTCAATGTTTGAGCATTTGAATAGGACAAAGAATGACGTTGTTCATTATTAAATACGGGAACTGGGTGAACTCTTAGCTGGTCGCCAGATTAACCAACACTTAGAAGCCAAAAGCGTAGAGGATAATCATGGAGGATAAACACGGAGAATCTCAGCATGAAACTGAACATGTCAGCTTACAAGAAGTGGTAATTGCTATTTTGATATTTTCCACAGTCATTCAAAAGGGGATGTAACTTTTCCTATTGATGGATAACAAAACCAAAAGTTAAAAGAAACAGATTTAATCTCCAACAGCAGCATCAAAACAGAAGTAAAAGTCTTACCACACCAGCATCCTTGAGGAGATCCAAGCCACCAAATCCGTTTAGAAACGAGCTTTCAGTGTTCCTGAGGACGACTTTAGAGCAGCAAAAACATTCTGCTTATTTACAGATTGGTTTGTTTTTATTTGCCTTTTCAATATTCCACGTTTTAAGGCTCACCAGGTTCTGTGACTTTAACCTTTATTTATCCTGATTAGTCGATTGAGAACTCATTCTCATTTACGAAAACGATCTGGCCTAGAGGCAGCAGCAACAGACACAGTTAGCTTTACATCAAAGAAAAACAGGTAAGATGAAAAAATACAAGACAAAAATAAGATAAAACAAATAGACATAAAGACAACCGACTGTTCTCATTTGCAATATGTTCAAGCAATCAAAACAGACTTAAAACAGTTTAAGTCATCAGAAGCACATTGATCAGAAACTATTGATTGCAATGAATTATTGAAGGAAGATAATGTTAAGTAGGTAGTGAGCTTTGGTGATTTTTGCAGCTCATTTCAGTCGCTGGAAGCAGCAAACTGGAATGAGGAGCGCCAAAAGGAGGTTCGAGCTTTGGGAATAACCATAGAGATTAAGTTACTGGAACATAAAATGCGCTGGTTTTGGAAGTGATGAGTAATGAACGAAGATATGACGGTGTTCTACCAGTGATTGTTTTGTATATGAACTGATACCAATGTAACATGTGGGAATGGAGTGATGGCCAGTTAACGAGTACAGATCACAATGACGAGTAGTGAAAGGGGCAGCAGCGACGAAACGGATTGCTGAGTGATAAATGACATCGATTTTATGAAGATGTTTTTGGAAGCAGTTCTATAAATGACCTCACCGTGATCTATGATTGGAAGGATTGTCATTTTGACAAAGGTTTGCTTTGCAGAACGAATAATGGTTGACCTGCGGCTGTACAGAAACCCAATGATTTGGGTTGTCAGTGAATGATTGTTGGGTTCGCTGGAGTTTTTGACAATTAAAAAGTTAACGCACATCTCTTTTAAAAATGGTAGTTTTTGCATATTTACTGTAACCCCTGCTTCAGCCCTCTCCCCCTGCACGGCGGCCGCAAACTCACTGATGCACCTGTCACTTTTTTTGCAGCATTGCCGTTACAACAAATAAAAACAGGAATTTGTGCACGGAAGGAGTAAAATTGGGAGAAACTTAAGGAAAAGCAGATTTTAGTGAGAACAATTAAAAAGCAGCAGCTGGAATTATGACTAATATCTGTACTAATGTAGGATTATTCTTTTTCTAACAATAAAAAGAAACACCAACACTGTAAAGGCATAGGAGACGTTCCATTGTAGTAATTGTGTTAAAGGCCAAATCTTCCAAAGTGCATAGTCCAACTAGGATGTTGATTTTTGTGTAAGTTAACCATTTCATGTTGTTTTAAATGTAACTTTCCACACAATGACACATCTTCACAAATGCCTTAAAAATTCACTTAAAGAATTAAAACGTGGTGCTTTAAAGACGAGTGTATTATGTAAGTCGTGCATCAAATAAAAAGAACACCTCCCCCCCCAAAAAGAAAAACCCCTGTCCAGTTATTTTCCATGACACGTTCGTTGCTGCAACCCTTGAGGCAACTTTCCACAGCTGCTCTGATTATTGGATGCTTTAAGTACCTCATGCAGGCAAACTTTGTGATGTTGAAATTTAGTTGAAGCACTTGCAGGTGCAAGAAATAGATATTGATTTGTAATTAAATTAAAAATAAAGACAAACTTCCACACTCTGCTTTTTTTCTTGCAAACGAAAGGTTGAACATTGTGTTCCTGATCATCTCAACACGTTTGGGCACCATTGGACCATAGCGGCTGCTTCCGGTTAGGAGTTATATAAACCAACTTGATTTATTTGAAGATATTTTCTTTTAGACTTAAGGTGAAGGTAACGGTCTGTGGGCAGAAATGGCTGGTAGCCTAATTAAAACGACTTCCATGCAAAAGAAAATTTGTTTCTGGACTTCCAGGTGAGGGTGTGGATCTAGAACGTGGGTTGTAAGAAAAGAGCATGCAGCACAGGGAGTTCTTTCAGATTCTCAGCTTCAGTGTGAAGGATTAATGTTTCACATGAGTTTGATATTTTAACTTTGATCTAATTCCATCAGATCAGCAGCATCATATTACAGATATTTGTATGCACGTGTCAATGTGACAAGTACAGAAGAAGACTGTTGCAAAACTGAAACAATGCACTCCGTCGAGCTCAAAATTTCTGAAACCTTTACGATCCAAAGAGTCGTTTCCCCCCACAGTCCACCCAAATTAAACTTGTTTAGAGTCGCAGATGTTACAGGGCCTGTTGAAATTAGCCTATTTATCATTGAGAAATTTCTTTAGAAGAGTGTTTGGGCCACTGAAAAAACTTTTTTTTTGTTCTCAGACTTCTGGGAATAACGTGAGAATTCTGATGAAAACTTAGAACTCTGATCAAATTCTGAGTTCTGGCTTTTTCTGACATTAAAGAGCAGGTCAAGCATGCCTCAGAGTCCTTCTCCACCCACGTATCAATTTTAAAAACTGCAACATTAGTAGGCGTTGCCTGGCGGACCGAGAGGGAGGAGCCGCGGCAGTGACGAAGACGATGGGTAACGAGACGAAGCTAGCTCCCTTCACTCTGAGCAGTCATTAGAAGTGGAGGACGTTTCTCCCCCTCCTTACCCAGACACTCGAGAAGAAAGGGCACAAGTCTATTTGGAGGAGACAAGCGGACCTGAGCCTTATTGTTTTGAGCTTGTGAGTTGCCTGAAACTACCGGAACTGACCCAACAGAACCAGCTCTGAATGGTAAGTAGCCGTTAGCCATAGCATTAGATTAGCTGCAGGGTTTGGCTCCACGGCCCTAGAGAGCTAGTATTCAGCATGTTTAAGAGATTTATCTGCTTCAACACACCTGGTTTTAATCAGCAACAAATAGCTGAGCTGCTTAACAGCTAATCTAACCTGTTAAAGCAGGAAAACCACTGAAACATGCTGGATAGCAGCTCTCCAGGAGCCCTGGGCTTAAGTTACTGTCTGCTGCAGAGAAAGTTATGAAAATGCCCCATGAGAAAATTATTCTGTAATGTGTTCATTTATGTTACGCAATCCCAAACAGCCCACTAAAACTGCCCTGATTTCATTATTTATTTACTGATACCAGCTGCTCTCTTGGTCGTAGGTGATCCTCTGGTGTCTGCAGGTGGTCTCCTCTGCTGGGGTCGTCAGGATCAGGAGCTTCCAGAAGAATGTGCCTTTGAATGATTCCTTCCCCCTCTAAACAGTTATTTGTTATATTAATTAAATCTCAATTTATGTATTTCCTGTTTTTGTTCATGTCCATAAATACTTAAACAGGCTTGAAATTACAACGAGCTTTTAACAGTGAGGTGCTAGTTTAATTCATCACAATAGAGCTAGTTAAACATGCAACAATGTGATAATTCAATTAATGTAAAATATAAAAACTGGAATCAAAATGAGACATTTGGCAGCACAAAAAACTTGTCAAACACTATTTGTTATAATAACTGTAGGCAGACAGGAGACGGAGCTGATGGAGGTGAGTGCTTCCTTTTGGGAATTGGAGCTGCACGCACATGCAGCAAAGGTCTGATAAAAATACACAGAAGTTTTGGTACTGGAATCTGACATGGTTTGGGGAATGCGTTTAACCCAAGACATGCAGAATCACACACACAGATCTTATGGTAAAACAAAGAATCTTTATTTTAAAACGGGAACTGAAGGTGCACTGGAAAAGCCCAGTGGAGAAAGAGAACGAGAGCGCAGCGTCTGAGGAGGGGAGAGCCGATACAGGTGAGTCCAGGAAGTTAAGTCTAAACTTGGTGGGTGCAGAAAATAGACTTACTGGGAGTAGGGGAGTGTAGGAATGAGGGAGAGTAGGTTGGGTGCCGGGGAGAATCCAAGTGGGGTGTCCAGGAGAGGGAGTGAGAGGAGAGCAGGACAGCGGGCCGGCCAGGAGGAATGGAGAACGGTGAGAGCTGCGTCCGGAAATCCTATGGGGCACAGGTGAGTAATCCTGAGGAGTCACAGAAATCCAAAGACGTAATCCAGCGGAGTCGCAGAAAACCAGAGACATAATCCAGAGAAGTCACAGAAGTCCAAAAACGTTCCAAAATCTGGTAACGGGTAAGCACAGGGAAAAGATCCAAAGGTTCACCAAAAATCCTAGAAACACTGGAGCACAAAATCCAAGAGTCGCAAGAGGGCAGGAAACTACCAAGCTGTAGTAATCATCCGGCGTCGAGGAGTGTTCTCCATCCTCCTTTTGTAGCCAGACCCGCTGATTGCAAATCAGCTGCTGCTGGAGCCTCCCTCTCCTGAAACACACTGCTCAAAGATGGGAAAATGAGAGTAGTACTCACCGCGGCACATGACAGAATCGTGACCTTAGCAGAAGGTCCAAAGAGCCACAGATTGCAGACCCTTGGCCTAACCTATAAAATATTCACCTTCAGGTAGAGGGTTGAGTTGCCTTTCTGAAAACTAAAGTGACAATTTGTAGCCTACTTTCCCTGGCGATAAGGGGTAATACACACCTAAATCAATGCAAGCGGAAAGGGGTGGGGAACCCTGGTCCTTGAGGGCCAGTGTCCTGCATGCCAGTGCTCCAACACTTCTGTTTCAGCAGTTGATTCACCTGTTCAGCAGCTCATCAGGCTCTGCAGAAGCCAGTTAATCACCTGCTGATTGAACTCAGGTGTGTTGAAGCAGGGTTGAAATTAACATATGCTGGATAGCGGCCCTTGATGGACCAGGGTTCCCCACCCCTGAAGTAAGACCTCACCAATGGATGACCATTATGGTCAAAAATCCCTGGGAGTGCAATTTTTGAACGAGTACTTCATAAGATCGTTCATCCTCCAGCAGAATGACAATCACATCAGACTCCCTTTCATCACTGGCAATGAGCAAACAGGTTAATGTGTAAAACAACGTTTATGAATGGGGAAAGTTTCGTAACCGTTTGTTGCAAATCAGTAAATTAATTTTGTCCTCACTGGCTCACGTAGAAAGAAATATGGCGTAGCCCAGAGACTTAGGGTGTTTCTCAATTTCAAGGCGCCTGGCCTTGCGAGGCAATGTCTTGCAAGGCCAGGCGCCTTGCTTACGAGGACACTGTTCTTCTTTGGTCAAAGAAAACGGTTAAATGCAACAGACTTGCATTACTTGACCACGGCAGTCACGTAACATCACGTGACACGGGAGCTAACGTTATATTTTATACGTATTAGTTTCAATATAAATATATAATGAGCCTTTTACTTTTTAAATTGTGTAAATATCTGTTAAATTCAATACGTAAGCGAGTTACTACCCAATAGCCACCGAAGCTACAACTGCTAAGCAACTAACCAACCATAGATAACTTCTTTGGATTAAAAAACATTTTAAATTAGGTGACTTACTTTTAAACTTGAAAAATTGTCCCCGAAGTAGCTGCCAGTTTCTGATCCGCTGTCCTTTTGAAAACACCACCGTGTGTTGTGGGTAATTTTTGACCAAGGCTAGGCTACAAGACACCTCCCCTGTATCCTTGCTCAGATAGCTAAACGGCTAACAAACGAAGAACACACGCCTTGGTAGAACTTGAACACTGGAACACGCCTTGGTGGCTCCAGATGACGTATCTCCTAGGCAACCGGGGCGGGGCCAAGACATCAAGGCAAGGTTCCTTGGCATTGAGAAACTCCCCCAGACCCATGTATTTTAGACCTGATTTTTATGCTCATGTGTTACAAAGCTGCCAACATTTTTCAACAACTGGGCATCATTTAATTCATTTTCAACAACATTTTGATGGATATTTCCAGTGATTAACATTAAAAACTACACATTGTCACTTTAATAAAGTTTAATAATTGTAGTTTGAGAACTGTGAGGCCCTTACAATGTACAGCAAAGAATTAAAAAAACAGACAAAAAACAAACAATACAAGCCAGTGGGCATTACAACAGTCTGCTGCATGAATGAGCATCTCCTTATCAGTTTGCCGAGGCTGCTTTAATAAGTTAATTATCAAAGCTTTTCCGCTCTTTGGTAGGTTCCAACAGCTGCTTCTTATCATCCCAGACTCTACTGTCCACTTCCAGTCTCAGAGAGTGAAGCCAGCGGTTTTAGCAGGAAACAATGCAGAACCCGTATTTATGATGTCTGCTTCAGCTGCTCCACAGATATGTTGGCACCTCGAGTAGCATCGACACCATGATGCGGCTAAGAGTTGGAAAAACAATAATCCACTGTGGTGACAGCGTGGTGAAGGTGACAACACGGGGAAAATAAACACAAAAATGGACAGTTGTTGCTATTTGACATTGTAATAAATTAAATTGCATGTTATTTAATAAGCCATAAGGCGTAGGATTCCATAGGAAATATAAAATCACCCCTATGGAATGTGAGGTTATTTTAAACCAGAAGATTGGAACTTTTTATTGCAGGGATTAGACAACAGCTTGTATTCACTCAGAGACAACAGAAGAGAGAGTCAAGTTTAAAAGTTAAGAGATTGTCCCGTTTTCAACCAGAAACATCAGTTTTAGTGTTTTACTGTCTAAAAATGTCTCCAAATGAGCACAAAGTGTCCAAAATGTACAAATATCTGGCTAAGGCTCGCCATTCTGAGACATAAGGACATCACTTAAGATCGGTTAGGGAAAAAAAACTGCTAAATCAAAAAGATTCCATTTTGTTGGAACAGGTGGTTGGACGTTTCAAGAAAAGATTGTCAATGTTTATCTGAATATTCTGAGTCTCCCTGCAGAATTACAGCATGTTCTGATTGTCTGAAAATATGAAAGTGTCACAACGTGAGTGGAATGGCTTCAATATCTTCTTTACTTTTAAATGATTACTCTTAGTCTGGAGTCATAATTTCACCAAATTAAGCAGACGGTGAATCTAAATAAATAAACCTCATTCCCGAATACATTTGTCTCATTAAATTCAACTTCAATTATTTAATCCCAACAGAAAGGCCACAAATATGATAGATTAGCCAGAGTTATCTCTGTAGTTATGCTGCTATAGGCTTAGACTGCTGGAGGATACACTGACCACTTTCCACACTCTACTACTTTCTTCTACAATCTGCTCTTTAACTGTATTATTTCCTGCAATTTCAGCTGTTAACTTTGTTTTTTCTCTAAGTGTTTTTCTCCCCAGAAGAAGCAACAACGATGTTCTGCTGAGCTGTGGTGGCCTCATGGAGGGGGCCATCGTCTAGCACACTGCTGCTAACCACTTAAACATTCTCCCTCTCCTGATAATAACTTTTTGCTTTCCTTGACGTTGGATGTGCTACTACCCGTTCACACCGGGCAGCGTTTACCCGTTTAATTATAGATTCACTAGGATAAATACAATAAAGTTTATCTCTCACCAAATAGAATATTTACTAAGAAATCACAATGTAAACATAGTCACATTGCTTGGGGTGTGTGTGTGTGTGTGCGTGTGCGTGCGCGCGCATGCTCTGTCTTCTCCATCCCCAGTGAGTCGTGGTGGATGGCTGCTTATACTGAGCCGGGATTCTCTGGAGGTTTCTTCCTGTTAAAAGGGGGTTTTCCTCTCCACTGTCGCTATATGCTTGCTTAGTATGAGGATTGACTAGTGTCAGTGACTCGATGCAATTTGCTGGGTTCCTTATATAGGAAACATTTTTTCTGATTGGCTTAATGAACTGACCTGTATTGGAATGTTTACTATGTGAAGTGCCTTGAGACGACTCTTGTCGTGATTTGGCGCTTTATAAATAAAATTGAATTGAATGCAGACACGACAGATACTTCATAATCCATTACTTTGTTCTGTTTTTGCACAGCTTATTAAAAATGTTTTACATGTTTCAGCTAACTCTAGCCATCATCAGAGTTAGCTGGTGTTGGTTAACAACAGAGGGTGACTATTTGAAATCACTGGTTCAAGAAAGCCTTTTTTAAAAAGTAGTTTTTACAATGTTCTGTTTCGTTATCAGCCATGCATTCCTGTGATATTACTGTTGGAAAATGATGGTTTTAAGTGTGGATCAGTGAAAAAGAGATTTATTGAAAAGTAAACAAGAGCACAATCGTACATTAGTTACCTCCATAATGCGTTTAACTTTTAACAAATCAACATTAATCAGTTCCGACTCTTTACTGCTGTTTTATTGAGGAATTCGTCTTTCGAAAAGCTGAACAGTCTATAAATCATCACGGTAAATGTCAAATGAAGATAAAGGTGTTGTGGATAAGACTATTCAGTGTGGTACACACTGATCACGGGGCATTTTGCTGGGGCAATCAGGGCCGTAACTTCTTTGTTACATAAGTCTGGCTGTTGGCCACGCCACGCTTGACCTGCTCGACAAAAACCTCGTCTCACTTTAGGCAAACTCACCTCATCGGAATGCCGTGCGATTGCCTATAGCTGCAAATACTTGACAGAAATAAAATAGCGTCGTTATTTAAGAGATCTAATGGAAAGGGTTTCTAACAGGTCGCAGAAGACAAGTTAAATTACAACATAATCAAACAAAGAAGTGAATCTGTGCACGTATGTCCGTATCTCTCTGATGTCATCTCTAACACTTCAAAACGTGACACGATTAACTTGTTTGCTGCCAGAAAGATGCCAACTTTGTACAGATTGTTGTTCAAATACTGTTATCACTGCACTGTTAATGCAATCTATTTATTAGTCTAAGTAACAACTAATCAATAGTTCCCTTGAACCGGTGTACAGTTTGAAGTGCACCACTAAGGGATGGACGAGTGCCAGACACGGCTTATCTTTCTATGAACTGCTGCATTAAAGTTTTAATATTGAGCCGAACCTTCTAGAATACAGCAAATCAACAAGTTATCAAAGCTAAACCAAATAATTTTGCCATGTTTTATTGTTTTTTTTATTTATTTTAATTTCATGATGATTTTAGGGTTAGGGTAGGAATTGTGTTTTTTGTGCTTTCAGAAGAAAACTCTTATTTATGTGCACCATGAATTAAAAAATACATTCTCAGACTTCTTTGTGTAAAGAATACGTGTTTATTGGTCTGAAATCACAACCAAATTCATTACTGCAACACAAATCATGTGTTTACCTGACAGCGCTATAGGAGATTATTGTCTATAAATGCAGGTGAAATCAAACAAATCCTGAGGAAAAGTGTGAGTTTTTAAACTAAACATATTTTCTCCAAATAATATAAAATTGTTCATTTTCTCCGTGGTTGCTCTCTTGAGTTTAAAGAAGCTTTCTGATTATAAAAACAAATAAACAAACAAAAAAAAGAACGTCCCTCAGCGAACGGCATACCCTGTAAATAAATTACAATCATCAAACTTTTAAAAACAACACAACTAAAGCTTTACACTTCTTACTCCTATTGCAAACACAAAAAACTTTTTTGCAGTGAAACAGTACAAATAATTTTACAGTTATGTCGACAAATTTCAACAGACAATTTTGAGTGGCGTAAATTAGCAGTAATAGAGAAATGAGCTGTTGGATTGCAGAAATGGTTTCGGTTTTTCAAGATTTTTTTTATATTTATATGCAAAAGAACTTTGAAACAGCAATATTTACTCCTTTTAAAATGCTAAAGCTGTACTCCGACTATAAAGTGTGGTTGCACAGGTCATGGACAGACATGAATGTTGTTTTTGGGAAAATGCTCTCTTCAGGCCCAGCAAACAAAAGACAGATTCAGTCCACGTCCGAGCCTATTCATGCATTCGTCCTGCGCTCATCAGTATTTGCCAAGTTCACACCGGGCAGCGATAAAGCCATTCTAATTAGCGGATTGTCCCTTTGAATCCAGCCCACTCCTAATTTTGAAATGGGAAGCGTGGTCGTTGCGGGCCCACATTTTGCATTTTACAGCAGTTTTCTGTGAATGGATTTCGTAGCATCAACGTTTCAAGCTCAAGTGTTTTCATCGTCTGGAGCAGAAACCGGTGACCTCTAGTTGTTTTCTTGTGACACTGTGTTCTCCTAAAAGAGAGGGTGACAAGACATAGAAGAAAGAGTGAGTTCAGGGTCAGAGGTCAATAGTTACATCTTATCGGTAAATAGTGCGTTTATTGTTGAGAAATGTATTTTTATTTCATTTGTTTTTCTAGCAGAATAAAAAATATACTGCAACATTTGATTAGAGTTCTGGGTGTACGTCCGGTTAAGTTCATTGTGTGCTCTCGCTTATTTACTTATCTTATCTCTTCTGTTTTATGTTGCAATAGTGAACTAAAAGGTTTTATGGTCATTTGTGTGCTTCTAAAACTTGTAGATTACAGATAGATCTGTCATTGTTGGTATGATGGAAGAAACAGGCAGCAGCACTACACCCTTAAAGTATTTCCACTGTTTTATTTATTTTCAAAAATCAACTCTAGCTTGAGTGAAATCTTGCATTTTTGTCTGTGTTCACTCAGAAGGTTATGCTTATTTTGCTAAAGGAACATTTTTCCAACAGCGGAGCAAGAGGAAATATGTCTCAGACACGGTGAAACGTTCTCCACAGGGTGGTTCCTTTAATTAGACCTACTTCATGATTGGAGTGTGAAACTACGAAACCGTTCTGCTTCCAGAAGCTGTACGGAAAAGTCTGCATGTCGGTTTATAGCGTGTCATTTTCTTATCTTAGTGCTTATTAACATATTTTAGTAAGCTATACCAGGATATATGGATCCTGTATCAACTGTAACAAAGTAATGGTAACACTTTACAATAAGAGTCTTTTTATTCACGTTACTTATTAAGCATTAATAAATAAAGCATCCCTTTATTAATGTTCCAGATATTGCTAACTATTAAGTGTTCTTAAAGGGCCAGAGAAAGGTGTTTAGTTATGAATGAATTTTTTTAAATATCAACATTAATATTAAGCAGCTGTTAATACTTTGTTTAATTGGTTATTATTGCTTAATGATGCACCAAGTAACGTTAATAAAGGGACCCTTATTGTAAAGTATTACCAGAATAACTTAATATATATTTTGATGTCCAGGTATTTTGTGCTACCTCTCTATAATTCTAATGGCTTCCTTACGGAAAGGTAAGAACTTTTCCGTACACTGAAACATCTCTATATTCCGTGTTACCCGGCATTCTGCTGGATGCGTATGCAGCACGTAACGTAGTAGACTAATTATTCCAGAGAGCTCTGCAGAGCTTTTCCACCGGGAACGTTTCAGATGCGAATCGGCAGTCAAGCGTTCTACACAGCGGGTTCTGCAAGGTCACAAAATCACCGGAGAGTTGCAAGAAACATCCGTGACTACGGAAATTCACACATTAACAAGCGAGGAGAAGGACAGCAGCATGCATCACAAAGGTCAGGAATATTTTGTGGAGCGACACAACGTGACACAACACTTCTGTGACTCGACCAAAGTGCGCCGCTTTGTGGTCAATGGAAACGCACCCATCATCTATAATGGCAACTAGCCGATGCGTACTGCGCTTTACAGACGTTTCATCTGCCGGAAAGGCCGTGTTGTGATACTGATCAGTAAATAAAAGCAGTGTATCGATTATTTTTAAATTGAGAATTTACATGCAAACATTTACTGTACTTATTTTACGTGATGCAGTTCAAGCTCCGACTGCTAGCTGGCAGCAGTTTTTACTTCCTTCATTCTCACAGAATGAAAGATCTCGTGACAACACTGGACGTGTCTTAGAAGCGTCTGGCCTGAGTTTTCCCATTTAATTCAGTCTCAAAGGAGTGTTTTACTTGTTTAATCAATACGTTTGCAGTGGTCTTTAATAGGAATGAATGCCTTGTAAGTTGTTTTTAATAGTATGCAGGGATGGACTGGCCTATCTGGCATTCTGGCACCGTCCCGGTGGGCCGCTTAGCCAAGTGGGCTGCTTGCCCAGCTTGGGCTGACAGTACTCCACAGTTGGTGATCTGCAGAACATTAGCTACATGGTAACCTGAAGCTAACAGAGTTTTTCCAGGCATTTTTAGCAAGAAAAACGCAGTAGAGCGAGGAGTTGTTTTACCGCGTTAGCATGTATCTAATGTCCCGCTGATCTCCGCCCGTGGAGAATGAGCTGATCTGGAAAGCCAGGGCTCCCAGTCGCAGCAGTCTGGCCCTGCTTGTAATTGAACAGTCCCAGTCCATATTAGATCTCACATTCGACCTAGAGACGAGTCCGCGGGCGGCAAAAACCCCCTACTCCCAACTCTCTCCCACTGGGGAGGGCTGACTGAGGGCCGACGATTCGTAAAAAAGCCAGGGCCGAATTTTGGTCCCAGTCCACCCCTGATACTACGTGCTACTTTTCTTCTTCCTACAACATCATTTATTCTCTGAGTTGGATTTCCAATCAAAAACCTCCACCCTCAAACCTGCACGCGCCACGGAACACGCGAGAACATGGTGTTTCTGAAGACTGAATCAGGAATTATTAGTAAAACTTTTGTTTAATTATTTTATCAGATGTTTGAGCACACCTGCTTGATTTTTAAAACAGCATAAAACTGATACATCGAAGCCAAAAGGGTCACTTACAAATGGAGTTCTTTCACCGTGTTTGCTCCAGAAGGTCATCTTGACGGTGTTCTTGTGGCCTGTACGCTGGTCGAAGGTCTGGCAGGTCTCGAACGGCGGGCTGTACAGATGCAAACTCACCGCACACTCTGTGTGACTGACGTTTTCCACGCGGTGCAGACCGATGGAGTCTAAACATGCACGTGAAAAAAGAATGCACATCGGGTTGGTGTCACTGGAATGGTGTGAAACTCCAATCAATCAACTGAGACCAGACATCACAGTTAGGCTCTAGGTTGTTTTTTGTTCTGACTGAGTAATGACTCAGCAGTTTGGGACAGAGAGCTAAACATTTGTTGTTGTAAAGTCGCAGCCGTCTGGGATTTTCTGCTGAGCTGATTTGATTGCACGACTGGAAGGGATAGCTGTAAGACGAGCGTTTTAAGAGCGTTGTCATGCACCGCACCAATTCTGAATTTCAGTCGTGCTGCCTTAGCAAATCTTCATGCAAGACACAGCATGCTTGTTTAAACCAAGCTGCTTAGTGTGATGTTAAGATCAGATCATGTATTAAAGGCCCAGGCGTCATCCAGACTTACCGTTGATATACGCAACCTTGTTTTCCTGGAGAATCCTCTGGGATTTCTGGACCATGTCTCCGTGTGATTTGCTGTCTGGCCACTCGAACAGCGTCTCTTTCAGCTGGCCCTGCAGCAGCTTCATGAAACAGTGGGAGTCTGTGTGGTCGTGGATGCTACTGCAAAGTGCCAAAGGAACACATAAAACATCAGAATGAGGCCTCTTTATAGTACACAGAAAGGTGCTTGAGAATTTAAGCCATTTGCATCGATTGATTTAATAATGATCGTTGAGTTATTGTAAAAATTAAACATAATTTTTTCTCATATTTTACCACATTAGCAGTGGTCTCTAGTAGGAATGAATGTCTTTTAATGCTGTTCTCTGGGGACAAAAAGCTGTCGTGCACCTGGTTAAGGACATAGAATTCCACCGGAGGAGAAAGTCGCAGAAGACGGCAGGATTTGGAGTCTAATTTGCTGATTTTTGGACATCTCATGTCTGACTGGCTAACAGAAACGCAACTCTACCACCGACTCAGTTTGCTTTGTAACACTGATGTTTTATCTCCACAAATAACAGAAACCTAAAGGAGTTCTGCCGTGTGGTGGAGTTGCTAATGCTAACGGTTAGCTTCTACTAGTTGAGACGTTCTCTGGTCCCTCCTGGAAACTAAACCAACAGCCTTCCCAGTCGCGAGCTGATATGGGTGAATCCATTCATGTGAAGTGACAGTGGGACGTAGATCTGTCAGGATTTATAAATCCTAGCATTTCAGCATCTATTTTCTAACAGATGCTAATGCAGGAGATAGGTGTAGGAGACTATTTTCATGCTCAGCCTGCATGTTAAACTCAGAGTGATCGATCATTTTCAAAAATAAATGGTAAATGGTAATGGTAAATGGCCAGTATTTGATATAGCGCCTTCTAGAGTCCTGGAACCCCCAAGGCGCTTTACAACACAATCAGTCATTCACCCATTCACACACACATTCACACACTAGTGGGGATGAGCTACCATGTAGCCACAGCTGCCCTGGGGCGCACTGACAGAGGCGAGGCTGCCGAGCACAGGCGCCACCGGTCCCTCCGCCCACCACCAGCAGGCAACATGGGTAAAGTGTCTTGCCCAAGGACACAACGACAGCGACAGACTGAGCGGGACTCGAACCTGCAACCTTCCGGTTATGGGGCGAGCACTTAACTCCTGTGCCACCGTCAAAATAATAGGTAAAAAATGTTTTTTGAGTGAGCCTGCTCTTTAGAGTAACGCGCATCACCATCATGAGTGTTTCACTGCTTTACTTGAAGCTAAATGATGAAACTGAATTTGAACTTTAGCGACTGTTGAGTTTGCTGACAGATGCTATTAAATAATAATGACACACACAGTGTCGGTGCAGCCCTCAGCACTTACACAACCTTGAACTTTCTTATCCGGTATTAACTAATAATCAGGTGAATCACTTGAATGTGCGACCTGATCAGTGTTTAAGCACGGGCTGATAAGCTCACCACTATAAATTGGTGTAGTTTAACCAAAGAAAATATAGAAATGTCTGCAAATGTGATTTTTTTTTTCGTTTGGAAAAAGCTACCTGCCATGTCCTTCACCCCAGCAGAGAATCATGAGGTTGAACTTCCCATTGCCCTCATCCACTAAGTTCCTTGTGTACCTGCAAGAAAAGAGAGCATTTTTACAATCAAACAGATCAACAAACATAATCTGTATGGATTTAAAGAGCAAGTCACCCCCTACAAGAAACTAACTTCACTCCCACTTCATGTTTGAAAAATGCAACAAATGCTGTTGACTAGCAGACCGAGAGGGCCGAGCCGCTAACAAATACACACACACAGGCTCACAATGGCATTGTGACATCATAATGTACCAGTTTACATCATAGCACACCTCTTAGCCAATAGAGGTGGCAGATTTAGATTCAAATGCAGCGCAGAGTTTTTACCTGACGATGGCGCAACACTGACAGTTTTAGGCAGAATATTTAAATTTTAACTAAAATGCACTGAAGTACCAAATTATTGACTACACGTGTCTGCAGCACAATTAGACACACATTTATATAGTTCATCAGCAAAAAAACGTTGATTTGGGGGTGACTTGCTCTTTAAAGAGTGCCAATGTTGTTTTTTGATGAATAAATGGCATTATTCTACTGAGGGGGGAAATCCAGGATTGCACATGTTTACTTTGTTTAGGGTAAAAATGTAAATATATAGGTAATAATATAGTAAGATAATAATATTTCTAACTCTTGCTAGTTTTACTTTGTTTTTTCTTAGTTTGAGTGTAAAATTACAATAACGTTGTTTTAAACTGGCTGTGGTGCATGTTTAGTTAAAAGAAAATAATTTGCAATTTATATTGGTAAAAAAAATCAAACAAAGACACATCAGGAAAGTGAAGCTGAATATATTTTGCATCTTTTGCTGGAATTATCCTTAAATATTTCCTACATTTTATGCATTTTGCACATAAACTCTCCCGTTACACTCAGGCTGACATGCCTTTCACACTCATCTGTACAACAATAATAAGCGGGTGTGTGTCCGTCCTGGCTGTTGATTGGCCGCTCCACCTCTCACCCACCCTTCATTGACTGAACACTGACCCAAACAACGCTGCCTGCACAACTGATATCAGATCTATAATTATTTATCAATAAATCACATCTTAGATTTCCTCAAAACAAACGTCCAACCTTTATTTCAATTTATAAAATCGTTTCAAAATAAAACCAAAAAAGTTATTTTATTTTTATTTGAATGATTGTTCTCACAAGCTGGAGTGAATAGTTTCCATTCAGACATTGAATAACTTTAAATTAACACCAATAAAAAATAAATTAAATGTTAAATAAAGGCATATGAGGGTGAATTTTAAAATGTGTGCAAAACTTGCGTCATAAATGCGTTTTTTTTACCTGTACTGGTCAAACTTTGCATATTTCCTCCACTCGTGAGGCTGGCTCTCATAGGATTCCATGATATCTTGAACCTCCTCCACGTTGATGCATTCACTCTCGAAGGTTTTATGAAGGATTTTGATCAGCTCGTCCAGAGTTTCGGGCTTCACCACCTCGGTTTGCTCCATCTCTCTCTCTCTGCTGCACGGGTTGATGGATTCAGTCAAAACTGCAGATTTCTTCTACCGGCTCCTTCGTCTCTCCCTAACTTTTATAGGCGTGCAAAGTAATTTGGGGACGTGTTGATGTCGGACTGTACCATTATGTAGGGGAAACGGGCTGAAGCCCCACAATTCATTAGAATAAAGTGCGCACGTTGTTACGTAATCAATTAAATCTGCTCTGCGCGCGTGTGTTTTTGTTGGGAATGTGAGAAAACACACAAAAAAAGACATTTAACAACGTGGACTAATCCATTTGAGTCCAAAATACCACGTTCTCTCTCTCTCTCTCTCTCTCTCTCTCTCTCTCTCTCTCTCTCTCTCTCTCTCTCTCTCTCTCTCTCTCTCTCTCTCTCTCTCTCTCTCTCTCAAGATCAGACATTCAAGATCAACGTGGGAAAATAGTTCGATATGCAACCAGCACGTGTTCAAATTTAGATTTAGACATTCCAGAAACGAAAGGAACACGTGACTTATTTTCAAGTCAAAGTTGCAAATTTTTATGTGATGAAGTAATTTGTTCAGAACAACCTGCGGATGAGGTACTTTTGATGTTAGTACATGTTCGAGCTAATGCATATAACATATAATGTTGTTGGTGCTGTATAAGTAATAGGTGTTTTATTTTATTCCATTTCTTTTTGTTTTCTAAATAAAAAAAGAGAGACTGTGCCACGTGCAGCAGTGAAAAAGTGAACAGTTGGCCAAACGGAAAAATATCATTAGAAAACAGTTAGAACAATTCTGTAATAAATGCACTTTTGAAGCATTTTGTTGCACATCAATGGGAAGATTTAACCATGAAACACTTTCTTTAGAAGAATCAAAAGGTTTCATGCACTGCCTGTGCATGTTCTCGCATGCATTTATGTTTATATTTATTTATTTACACGTGGGGTTGATTCCCCCTTCATTTACTGAAAAAAACAACAGTCAGTCAGTGCTCTCAGCACCGTTTTCCCTTTGGGAAGGAGGAGGTTGTTCTGGGTCACACGAAGACAAAATGTACAAAGTGTTTGTTTTCTGCATGCAGAGGCTGCCAACTAACCACAAGAGCCGATGAAGCACGTCTTTCTCCTGTAGACTTTAAAAACCGTGAATGAAAAGCATGAAAGAGTCTGGACAGCATGTGCTTCCCCCCTGCCGTGGAAACAAACGAATAAAGAAGTAAAAGTGTAAAACTGTATTCATCAGTGAGCTGCAGGAAAACCTGCTGCAGCGGGTCATCATTCAGTCATCCTAAATGTGGTCAGTGGGACATTCCTCTCGGTCTGAGGGTGAATTCAGGTCGTCATGTTTACCGGCTGAGTGGATAGGGAGAACTTTCTTTGAAGGAGAGCCTGAGACCCGTTTAGCTGTCAGCTGCCACATCATCAGTACCAGATGTTCTCCAGTGCCACCCTCAGGCAGAAACTTAACACAGAAATGTAATTAAACACACATAAAACACTGGTTTTAAGGTAAGTGAGGTCCTGCACAGGTTGCCTCTAGACTTTAAAATGTTTTTATTAAATGAAAAGGTGGCAAAGTCTTTTAATTCTTCCTAATTTATGAACCCACTCATCCCTGCAGGATTATTCACAAGTGCATGCACCAGCACACTCATGGCCACTTCATGCTTTACAGGCTGGCTCCTGTTCTGTTTTAAAAACATCAAAATATGGTTTGGCAGAGCTTTTCCCTCCACCAATTTTTAGTTTTAGGTCTAAGATATATTTGTAATGATTGCACGGTAATATTTTGCTAATACTGCAAGAGGTAAGCGATGTTTCCACAATAACCAAATGAATCTGTATGAATGAACAGGAACAGAGTCAAATTAAGCAGTATGTATACCTTGAAGAACTAACTAACTAACTAACTAACTAACTAACTAACTAACTAACTAACTAACTAACTAACTAACTAACTTTGAAATTGAACACAGTATTTATATTTTATTACCTTTGGGCTTGATTAATGACAATATTCACTCGGAGTAAATAAACTATCAAACACTCTTTATTGCATATATTTTATTTCAGTCATTAGCTAATACCACAATAGTAGCTACATGTATATTACAGCATGCATTTGAAAAGGAATATGATTAAAAACAACTTAAATTCACAAAAAACTAAATATCTAATTTCATTTTAAATTAAGAGTTTTAGTATTTGCTGCTTGGATTTAATTCTCCAGGCAATAAACATATTTTCAGTCATTAAAATAAATATTTATGTGAATTTCTGAGCTATTCCTCTGTAATAACTCAAGTGTGACTATTTACCTTCTCAATAATTCCCTTAGAATTCACAATAAGTTGTTTACATATTATCTCATTATTATTATTATTTTATTTATTATTATTATTATTAGTAGTAGTATTGTATTTATATCTAATATATTTTATTTGTTTATTTCACAAAAGGTGCTGTTACCCGGATTTGAGTCAGAACTTTGATTTAATGTCCTCCTGCGCCCCCGTGTGGACATTTGGAGCATCACACCCTGAGACAAGAAAGAAATAAAAAAAGAAAAGTCGAAGTTTGAATCCCTCCGAGCCGCCGTAGCAGGAGGTGGAGGAATACTGGTGGTTTGACGTGGAATATTTCCGTAAAGAGGCGATGGAGGAGTAGCTCTTTGTAGCTCCGAGTCAGCCCGTCCTAACATCACATCGAGACGGGATTCAACCCCGAAACCGGTCCGGTCTGGGTGCTCAGGAGCCGCCAGAAACCAGTCTTGCGTAGACTGAGCCCTCCGCGCCGCGCCTCCATCCGTTCACCTACAATCATGATTAAAGCCATTTTAATATTCAACAACCACGGGAAACCAAGGCTTTCTAAATTCTACGAACATTTTGTGAGTAAAAGAAAAAAGAAGCAGTTTTAGTTCTTGTCATGTGTTCCTTTAGCTTCTAACCGCGTGTTTCCAGGCTGAATTAAAGCGGTGTTTAGCAAAATAATGTTTAGCAACAAAATCAATATCGGTGGCCAGGAAGCGCGTGGAAGCGTGGTCTGTGAAAAAACGAGTGCATGTTTTTATAAACTGATGTAGGTTTTTGGTCCGCGGTGGCCTTTAAAGAAACGATGAATAATTAAAGAGGAGAAACCCAAAGCGAGGCTCTCCGATTCCGCCTCGGGCTGTGAGACAGGACGGTGTTCCGTTCGATCAGGTCCAGCTGCGTGACGCTAATAGAGTTATCTGTTTGGGTCACGTGACTTTAACGACGCCCGTGTGAGTAACTCGTGTTCAACGTCAGCTGTTTTTTTTTTAACACAAATGGAGCTGTCGGGTTAAACATGGAGCTGGGCTTGCCATCATAATAGGATTTAGATCAGTGGCGCCTTTCACCTAATTAATGCTGCTATTACAATAAGAGACTGCAGGCACAGACTTACATCAACATATAGCAGAGTTATGCTGTTTAGTGGTGATTAAAACTTCTACTTGAATGACTCGAGGAGAGACGCGGCTGCTATAAAAGCACAGAAGAGCGTCTATGGTATCCCAGAGGAGCAGGAAGTCTAGTGCACGAATAGTGATTATTTTCTGTAGTGTGCAGAAATCAAACTAAGGAAAAACATTGCTGGATTCCGTATTACAGAGCGTGTGGGGAATGGCGGTGTACACTTAGTTCTACCGCGCACCACCGTTGTGTTTTGCTCTTGTTCTGCCATTTTTGAGTTTTAAAACACAAAAATGTTTGCAAGAAATAATAAAATATTTGTAATGCAGGCATAAAAAGTCCTTTTATTATTTTTTGTTTACTGTAATTTTTTTGATTCGTGATAATTTGGTGCTTAAGGCGTAATTGAAATATACTCATCATATTGCCTATTGAACTGCACACAGTAACGCTATTAGGAGCATGCCTGCAGCACTGAGAGACAAAACAAAGCTTTCACTGACTATTTCTAAGCAAACTAGACATTTATTTTGTGTCTCTGTGTTATTTAATCTCTTTTAGGTCAGACGTGAATTAGTTTGAGTTTCAGGTGGATAAATTGAAATTGATCAGATTAGAGGAGGCTGTGTAGACACCATCTGTTGTATTGCAAGCTGAGGTGTCAGCTTACCGTCTCACAGGATCTAATATTTCACAGCTACCGCTAACTCAATCTATCTTTGGCATGCCGATTCCTGACTTAGTTTGTCATTTTACGTCAACGCTGCACGGAAATATAAACTTGATGCACAATGTTGTTTTTGTTATTTTGAGTGACAGAACTGAAGAGGTCGTGCTCTGCTAGCTACAGGTGTGGCAGCACAGGAATGGAGCCGAAGAAGCTGGATGGGAGACGTGGAATATGTGCACATGTTAATTAGATTTGCTTCCCATCTGCTCGGGGAGGTCTAATCCCAGGGTTAACACCAGGATTACAGATTAAAAATTCCAGATGTAGACCAGTAAAAGACAACATTTATCATCAAGATGAATCTTCATGAGAAATGTAAAAATCACCTTTTACTTTCCAGTCCTGCCGCCTTTAGTGCTACCGGGCCTGTAGACGGGTCACATGACTTAACGCTGAGCTGTGATGGACCTTGAGAGGATTTAGCACCCTTCAGGGAAGCTAAGAGCGTAAAATGATTTGTAGGTTACGTAAAACTACCAAACCTTTTCTTTTAATTTTAGCCTCTGTAGAACGTTTCAAAGATTCCTGAAGCCATGAGATGAGTCTGCCTGGTGCTGCTCACACAAGGAGTTCAGCACCTCGGGATGAAAAGGGGACGGGTGGAGTATCTCGATCCGTGTCCGAGTAAGGACACGGCACTCGTTTTTGTTTAACCGCTTCTCTTTTTGATCCATCCTGCAGAATGAAGACATAGAGCAACAGATCATCAGGGAAACCTTCCACTTGGTGTCCAAGAGAGACGAAAACGTCTGCAATTTCCTAGAAGGTGGAATGTGAGTCATGACTGTCGAGTAGGTTTGTGACGTTAGCCGCGCCAGCAGCTTGGGGTGAAAGTCGCAGCGTTGTTGTCTCTTTAGTGCACTCAAAGCCCCCAGGGTATCTGCGGGTCCTTAAAAAGTCTTAAATTAGCTTTTCCAGATTTAAGGCCTTAAAAATCCGTAAAAATGACAAATAATCCTTAAATACAGTTTCCAGAGTTCTTAAATGACCAAAGACCCAATAAACAAGAATCTTTTATTTCTATAAAATTTTCATGAATGTCTAGTTAGTGTTCAGCATTTTTTGTGTACGATGTTGGCGTAAGCGGAACCGTACACGTTCAGTCGGTTGTGAAAGGGGGCTATTTTTAGATGAGCACGTTAGCTGGTTAAGCTAGTGGGAGGTTGCGCCATGGGGAAGTGCAAGTTTAATGGTAACTAGTTGGCTAATCCCACGATCGCGGCGTGGTTGGCACCGGTTCCAGGCAATAGCTGGAAATTATAGCTTAAATGTAATTTTTAAAAATGATAAATGGCCCGCACTGGTATAGCGCCTGTCAGAGTAAGGACTCCAAAGCGCTTTACACTACAGTGTACCATTCATCCATTCACACACTGATGGTGATGAGCTACGATGTTGCCACAGCTGCCCTGGGGCGCACTGACAGATGTGCCGCCGGTCCCTCCGACCACCACCAGCAGGCAAGGTGGGTTACGTGTCTTGCCCAAGGACACAACAGCAGAATTCTCTGTCCGGAGCCGGGATCGAACCTGCAACCTTCCGATTACTGGACTACCCGCTCAACCTGTTGAGCTACTGCTGCCCTGCTTAAATAGCTTAAATCTGGTCAAAGTGGCCTTAAAAAAGGTCTTTAAAAGTCTTAAGTTTGGCTCCATTAAACCTGCAGATACCCTGTCTGACTGACTCGTGCTTGAAGAACCTCTGTGTGCAGCTTCTGTGCACGTTACACTTCCTGTAATAACAGAGACGCAGCCTCAGATTTCTTATCAGCAGCTTTTTATCGGCTTTATCTGGTTTTCTGTCTTCAGCAGCTGAAAACATCCTGTTGTTTCCCCGTTCCTGTTGGTGTCATAACGGTTATTACCAGGTTATTACCAGGCCAGAGGGCAGGGTTCACAGATAAACGTCGGGATTTCAAATGGACTAATCCAACTCCTGGATGAATGAATTTCCTGCTGCTGTTTGACAGCCGCTTTGTTTTTATTTTTGTTTTTTAGGTTGATCGGAGGATCGGACTACAAGCTGATCTACAGGCACTACGCCACGCTGTACTTTGTGTTTTGTGTCGACTCTTCGGAGAGCGAATTAGGAATTTTAGACTTAATCCAGGTGAACTCGCAGGCTCTTCGTTTTCTGTATTTTTATACGTTATGTTTACATTTCCAACTGTTTTTTTGCATTTTCAGGTATTTGTGGAAACGCTGGACAAATGCTTCGAGAACGTCTGTGAGCTTGACTTAATCTTTCATGTGGACAAGGTGGGAAGTTCTTTCATGTGGCTGTGACACTTTGATCCTACGGACCCGTGCAGCGATATCTGAGCCGCTTCTTTGATTATTACCTGATTTATATGCTTTTTTCTGCATCAAACATATTCCGCAAAAATGAAAAATCATGATTATATCAAGTCGTCCTCCGTCACACGACAACAATCAGACATTTTAATATTTATGACAATCGTTTTCAAACGTAGACTACATACATAAGATGGATGGAGTCTCCGTAACGTTACCTGTAAGTTTCTGAAGAACCGGATTGTGGCCAGTTCCCACCACCGCCGTCTTGGCAGCGTCACATGTCTCGTCACGCCTGGAAAATACAAAAATAGGCAAAGAGGTGGAGCAGAGGCGGGGGCTGTGAGGGAGGAGGCAGATGATTGACATCCATCAAACTCTGAGCCGATGTAGCTACGAGCTAACGAAAGCTAACAAAACGTTGGTTGGCGCTTTTATCCATAAAAACTGTAGTGAAGTGACTCGGCTTTGCTCTGCCTTCAAGGTTGTAACACTTTAAACGTGAGGCCGAGGCTAAGGCCTTCCCTGGAGCAAGCAGGAGGCAAGCCGCTAGTGCTAGCGGCTAATGTCAACCCAAAGGACACTGTCCTATTTATCCATAATTTCAAGCTTCAGTTATCTAAACATGAGTTACAAAAACATTCACCCTCTCAGAGTTGTCATGAACTTGACCTTGTTGTTCGTTCATGCCGCTTTGCGCTGTATAACATACGAAAGATCAGACCATACCTAACACAACATGCCACCCAGCTCCTGGTGCAATCTACTGTCATCTCCCGCCTCGATTACTGCAGCGCCCTTCTAACTGGTCTTGCAGGCTGTACTGTGAGACCTCTTCAAATGGTCCAGAACGCAGCGGCGCGTCTGGTCTTCAATCAGCCTAAAAGAGCACACGTCACCCCTCTGTTCATTGAGCTCCACTGGCTACCGCTAGCAGCACGCGTCAAATTCAAACTGCTAACACTAGCATACAAAGTCCGAGATGGTACGGCTCCCATCTACCTGAATCCTCTTGCAAAGGCTTACGTCTCGGCCCGGCCGCTCCGGTCATCACAGGATCGTCGGCTAGCAGTGCCTACACCACGCTCAGGACAATCCAGACTCTTCTCATGCATCGTTCCACAAATGTGGAATGACCTTCCAAGCACTACCAGAACAGCGGCTTCCTTTTCAATTTTCAAGAAACTCCTGAAGACCCTGCTCTTCAGAGAGCATCTTCTAAACTAGCACCCTCCCTGCACCCGTCCCACCTCTCTACCGTCCACTCCTTGTTCCCTCCTCTCCATGATTGATGTCAAGTTGTTGTTGTTGTTAGCCTCAAGGGCAACATGCCGATTATCACTTGTAAGTCGCTTTGGACAAAAGCGTCTGCTAAATACATAAACATTAAGCCTAAAATGTTACCAGGCTGGTAACATGTTGTCAATAAGGACTTGCTCCTCTCTGGAGCAGCCCCTAGTGGAAGAGGGAGGAACTACAATCAGTCACTTCCACGTTGGCTTTGCTTTTGGCGGCCGGAGTTTCCTCCGTGTTTTTAATCAAATCTAACAAACCTGACGTCTTTACGGTCCCGTAGCTTCCTGTGAAAGGTGTTGCTACCTTTTTGTTTTGTTCCAAATTTGCCTAAACTGCCTTACATAGTCAAATCTGAAACTATTCCACTCTTCCAAACATTAAAATATGATACTGTAATTTCTTTGTTCAGTAAGCATGTGACTCTGGAACCGGGGCTAGAGGTTAGTAGAAGTGTAAAAGGAGGATGTTTTGCTCGTAAAAGTTAATTTTTCTCAAATTATGACTTTATACGACATGATTAGAAGTCATGGAGGGCATCAGTTCCTGTGCAGATATCTGAAGGAACAACAGATTAATAAATAACCCTAATGGCAGCAATGTTCAGTGTTTTTGTTCAGAGGGACAACATTTAACTTGGTTCTGTATGAAGACTGAAAATGTGTTTTATTTCTGAATTACTGCATGATGAAGCTGTTTTAGTGTTAAAATAAACATTTAAAGAAATAACTGTTGGTAAAGACAGCTAGTTGCATTCACACATCTGTGCAAACAGGAAGTGTGTTTGAGCAACACGTCGTGCTGAGCCTGACGGTTTTCTGATGGAAAACAGGTCAAATGAACTTGTTAGACATGAAGGAAAGGAAATTTAAAAGCTGTTTTCCACAAAATTCTGGCATTTGTAGGAAATTATATTAATGAATTAATTGAAATAAGAAACAAAAAATAACTATTTTTAATTTCCGGTGATGCTGCATCGTTATGTGAAGAAGTATGGCTACTTGTACCATAGTACATTTTATTATTCACAGAAATGCAGTTTTTGTGTTAAAAAGAAAAAAAAACTGATTTAAGAAAAAAAAACACGTTTTTAATTATTAGTTAATTTTTTTATTATAAGAAAGGTTTAAGCGTTGTTACGACCCCGACAGGAGGTGTTAAATTGTGAAGGAGGGGGTAACATATAAACACGACAGTAGATTAAAAATGACGGCCGTAACACATTTAATTATTTTTTGAGCCACTACTTGTTAAAACAGAGATTTTAACCCTCTGGGGTCCGTGGACGCGTATCCGCGTCTTCTGAACAGGTCTGATTTGGGACGCTGTAGCAGCAAGACTCCGCCTCCCTGAGTTTCGGTTTCAATTCAGCTTTAAAAAGGAGATTATAAAGTAAACCCCAGTTTTTAAGTTGTGTTAATAGGCGACGTAAAAGCGGAGTTATACTAAACTAAAAAACGACCTATTTTTAGACAATCTGATAACTTGTCAAAACAGCAGTTTAGTGATCCGTGAGAGGGAATGTGCTTGTGAACATAAAAACCCACAAAAACACGAGATCCTTTTGCTGTTGGTGGAAGTCTCACGTATTCAGCTGATAAAAAGCATCATTATGTAGCTGAGAGAGAGAGGAAGGCCGCACGAGTAACGAGATGTGCGCAAAAAGGAGCCGCTTGGCGGGGAAAGGAGTGGCGCGAACGGAGTAACAACAAACATTTAGACAGATATTGACGGTAAACTTCATATTTTGGAGCGATCCGGACAGATATATCGTCTCTGCAGTTTAGTAGGCTTTTATTAGGCTTATATAAAGGATGATGAGAAGGATAAATGTCCACCAGGCAGTCCAGATAGTACGGCTGTTTTTTGAACCGGAAGCAGAGGAAGTGGGCGGAGACTCACAGCCGGAGTCTGAGGCAAATAGCGAGGATGTTGATGACGATGTGGCGGATCCATCCTTCCTCATAGAAGAGTTGGGTCATGATGAGGCAGAGGATGAAGGCAGAGATGCAGCTCCTCGGAGATCCAACAAGAGGAGTGGGCGGCGCAGCGCAGCTGTCAGACTCGATCTCCGTAGCGTGAGACAGAGCCACTCCCCACTCCAAAATGCATGTACATTATTGCCAAATTAATAAAAATAAATATAAATTCAGATAGTCCAGGTTGTCCTGAAAAAATGATACCCCATAAGGCAAACTTTATCGTTTTTATTAGAAAAACCAAAATGAGTCAAAAATGCCGATTTACACCCTGGACCCCAGAGGGCTAATAATTTACTTTTTAATTAATTATTTGCTATATTTATTCATATTTTTTTTTATAAATGTACAGTCTAGATTACCATTCTAAATTATAAAAAACATTCGTCATAAATGTTTGTTGGTTTCACAGTAAAATAAACAACTTTTTTCCAGTTCGGATTTTATGTTTTTGAGTGATTTACGGTCTAATATGCTACTCATTTATGTCCAAATATAAAAAAATAAGTATAAATTCATAAAGTCCAGGTTGTGCTGAAAAGATTGATACCACATAAGGCAGTGGTGATGGTTTTTATTTTGGAAATACAAAGGAAAACTAAATTAGTCAAAAACGGCAAATTACACCCTGGATCCCAGAGGGTTTTAACGTTTATGAGGTCCCACTAATCCCAAATAGCCGGAAAAACTAAAGTACAACAAAAACAAAATTCCAGGGTCCTCGTTCATCAACCATACTTACGAACAGACCTGTGTGTAGGAACGGTTTTACGCATCGTGTGGTTTGTCATTTTGTTTCTGTGTGTGAAAATGTTTCTAAATATGAGAAAAGCTCAGACCACGAGTACAAACAGCATCTAGTTGTAGAACGGGGGAACTGCAGTACTGAAGGTCTCAGTCGTACACACACGTTCCTCATCCATAAATTATTTTACCCAATAAATAATTATGTGAGTGGAAAAACAGCTTTTTCACGTAATTGTTGCTAAAACCAATAAAAGGCACACGTGACCGACGGGAATCTGACATCATATCAACTATGAGAACTAGGGATGCACCGATACCGATACTGGTATCGGTATCGGTAAAAGTTAACCGATACCAGGAACCGATACCAATGCAGTTGCTTGAAAATGACTTCACTGTAACTTGTCATTTCTGTTCACCTAATATTTTAATTTAGTGATCATTTATATTAACATATTTTACTTTTTATCTACCTCACAGTCTTTTCCTGTTGAAAACAGAAGAAAATAAAATCTGTATTCCAATTAATTGCATTTTTTTGTGTGGTAGAAGTATTGGTATCGGTAATCTGTATCGACAAGTACCCAAATCCAAGTATCGGTATTGTATTGGTTTGGAAAAAAGTGGTATCGTTGCATCCCTAACGAGAACCCCCCAGAACCTCCTCTGCTCCCCGATCATACGTGTTGCCAAGGTAACCAGCTCAGAAGGGGCTTCACTCTCGGACAACATTTCCACATAAACTCTAAACAGAACAACACCTTAAATGTAAAATGTAAATGACAACCCGTTACTTTACAATTGATCATATTCAATATTTATTCATTCCTGAAAGGAACCTCTCCTCTGTCCCGACCGCGTTTATAACCCCTGCAGCTGATTTGGTTCTTTTGCACTGGCCAGTGTCTCGTTCTCTCGGTCAATAAAGTTTCATTTTATTTTTTTGGGAAATACCCAGGGAATTCCCTCATGAGCTGAGGGCTTAGCGTGACCAAATATGGTTAATTGAGGGTGTTTCTATGTGTAAATGACTGAGAACGGACACGAGCACCTGGTTACGCACAGGTGGGATTTATCATCAGAGGGTTGCGGAGGAACGTGCGTACGAGAGGCCGGCGCGTGTTTCATAAATCCGGTTTTTGACTCTTCGTACACACATTCAGAATGTCATTCACGGGAAAGAAGATAGGACAGTTCCTGCGAGCGTTTGATAAATGAGAGCCCGGGTCTCAGGAGGTCACCTCTAGCTGTCATAACTCAACGAATGTTTGATAATCTTCGTTTGTGATGTGGATGTCTCCATCAGGTCCACCACATTCTGGCGGAGATGGTGATGGGCGGGATGGTCCTGGAGACCAACATGAACGAAATCATCACACAGGTGGACCTCCAGAACAAGATGGAGAAGTCCGAGGTAAGCGTGTCCCTGCACCCTTCCACCTCAGGTTGTGTGTACAGTATGCAGGCATGTGTGTATGCTGCACCCCGCATGCCTCTGTCCGGTAACTCCGGATGCTCCGGACCTACTCTTGAGTGTTTGTGCTCTTCTCGGTGCCGCCTCCTGCCGCTGAGCTGCTCTCAGATCAAGATGAGGTGTTTTCTAAACTCGCACGCCACCTACAGTTTTATATCCATCACATCTGCACCAATTCGACAGCGCCATCGTCCAACGCATCAGAGTCTGTCACCATGAAACCTCACACCCTGTAAAATTAACACGGACTTCTTCAGAAGAATGTGAGTTTTAGATGCTTTTCAAATGTTGTTTTGGTGTCGGCTCAACGCAAACACGCTGCTTTGTTTTCCACACAGCTTCTGCTAGCAGATAAATGTTCATTTGCATAGCAAAAAGTGAAAGTCCGACACAAAGCAGAGCTGGTTCTGTTAACTTATTCTTTTCTTTGTCTAAATGACTCGATGAACCGATCATTCTTCGTATTTGAAATATGAATCCCTAAAGAATGTTTTTTATAACACCTGAGCTCTTTTATTTGCTTTTAACCAAACAGAATCTCGTTTGATTGGCATTTTCTAGCAACTTTTTGAATTGTTCTTGTCATCGGAGCTGTTCTGTCCCTTCCCTCTTGGACCTATCGTAAACCACAGTTTCTGCTTCACACCGAGCTAAGTGAAATGGACACTGCTCATTTCTGAAACGGTGTCCGCTAAAGAAGAAACACCAACATTGGTCTTCATTTACAAAACATCAGGGTATCTGCAGGTTTAAGGGAGCCAAATTTAAGACTTTTTAAGGACCCGCGGATACCCTGAAACATGCATCCTTTAAACGATCAAACGAATGATTAAATTAACACTTAATTGCAATTAATACCACTTTAACTGCACGTGTGGTGTACTATAGGTCCTTTCACTATCTGTGGAGATGAACTGTAATTACTTTAATCTGCTTTAACATTCCTCATTCCTCTTTTTCCTGACCCTGCCCAGTTCTTTCCATTCTTCTCTCTCTTTACAGACGTTTATCTTTCAGTCTACCAGGCAGGACAGGTAGACACAGGTACTGCTAAATTTACCACCAAATACTGTAACTGAAGTTTACGTCCCCCTTTGAGTCTCTCCACACGGCCCCTTCATGTCTTAGGAAACTGACAACACTAACATACAGCAAGAGTCTTTGATGGCAGACCCACAAATATCGCCCGTTGTGTGTTCACACTGCAGGGAAAATACTAAATACTTCAAGTATCCGGTACTGTAATCAGTATCATTAGATTGGATTGTCTTTCTTGCGCTTGAAAAGGGAATCTTTCACCAGCCAAAGTGTTTCCTGATGCAATAAAGTCAGATTTGTTTTCTTACCCCCAAATTCCACTAGCTCCGCTCCGCTCCGCTCCGCTCCGCTCCACCCCCGCCTTCCGCAGCCACTCGCTTCCGAAGTCTATTTTTCTTGGTACCCGCTCTACAACGGCTCCGCTCCGGTGCGGAGACCTGAGGGGGGCAAACAAGCATGCGCGGGACTTTCGAGATCTTGCGATACAGTCCGAGCAATAAACGCGGAAGTTAGATCCAAACAGCCGTTGTGTGGGAGAAGCATCGGCATGAGCTGTTTAATCTGCCCATCATTTGTGTTGACAGATCAGCAGTGTTTGGATCAACAAAGTGTGACTGCTTTGATAGTAGAAACTGTATTTATGGCTTACTTTTGTGCATTTAAACTTCAGCCGCCATTGATAGTTGTTAAAAGTTGTTAAACCTGTGCATATGAAACAAAAAACGCCTTTTGTTTATCGATTTATTGTGAAAAACGGAAGTTGTGCTTGCACCTTTTCCTGTTGGGCGTTGGTTATTTTTGTCCATTTACTGCGGAGGTGCTCCGGCGTCCGGCGAAAATAGGATCGATTCTATTTTTGCCGTATGCCGGAACAGAGGGCGGCGCATGGCGCCGCACTACCGGAGCACGGCTGCAGTAGTGGAATTGCTCTGGTTGACTACAACGGGACCGATTTTGCTCCGGCGTTCGTGTCGGAGCGGAGCAGAGGTAGTGGAATTTGGGGGTTACACTTTTAGTAGTGGTCATCGCCCCCTGCTGACTGGTAGGAAGAATGCAGCAGTAAAGCCACCACGGCTGTGACGGTCTTGTGTACGTTTGTGGTTTAGACAGTTGGGAGATTACAGCTGTGGCCAAAGTTTTGGGAAAAGACAAAAGTATTACTCATCACAACGTTTGCTGCCTCAGCTTTTCTGATTTGCACAAACTAATTAATTGGCCTCTTTTTCACGAAGATGAATTTAATAAGAAGGTTTCAAGATGCCCAAGAAAGTCCAGCAAGCACCAGGACCTTGTCCTACGTTTGATTTGCCTGTGGGATCTGGGCTCTGCTGGTGCAGAGCTTGCTAAGTAATGGTAGCAGACAGGTGACTTTTGGACAGTAGCCTGCTGACGAGCCACTTTCCTCCGAGAAAAACCTCGAGAGCGAAGGCTAAAGTGAAAACTAAGTGATTCAGAAAGCAAAACCCCCATTAAGTGTGTGTGGTTGTTCGTCAGGAGACCAGTGGACAAGAACCCTCTTTCTCCAATCACTGGTTATGAAGAATGAACTGCTATCAGTTTGGGTTTATTCTAGAAGATGATTGAAAGCACATCAGGAGGAACCGTGAAGGTCTTGAAAAACAAGGACCAACACTACAAATGAAGATGGAAGCCACTTTTGATCGAAATCCAGTGGCGGTTTTATCATTAGGCATAGGTCGGTGGCCGTCTGCGGACCCCTTATGTTGGGGGGGGGGGCCCCTAGCCCTGACCGCCGCCACCCCTCTGTTAATGCCACAATGGACTATTCCTTTAAGACGCCGATGCACAAACAGGAGGTGATTGGTAGTCATTCCACTCCAATCCAGTTGTTGGTGGTAATGCACCAAATGGTTGTCTGCCAAGTGCCAAAAGACCACAAATAAGAAGAAGAGAAAGCAGAAGAAGAGAGGCGGGAGCGTTTGTAACAAACTCAAAGCGGTAGTCAAAACCTGAAGCATGAAATGGAGTTATCCTAGTGGTTCCAATAAGAGAAAGAAGCAGCTTGCTTCAAAACAGCTTTTCTCTTCACTTCCGACAGTGACGTCGTTTTTCAATGTAAACATCAAAAAGAAGCAGAAAGGAAAGACAGTGGAACATGTTTAAAAGGAGGAAAACATCGACCGAAGTGGAAAATGGAAGAAAAAAAACAAAGGCAAAAGACCAGGAGCACTGTCCGGAAAAAGAAAGAGCAAATTTTGAAAAGCGCTCAAAGGGAGAGAAAGACAGGAAAAGGGCGGAGGACTAATAAAAAGGGAAAATAAGTCGTGGCAGAAGAGGGGAGAGTTTTGCAAATCCAGTTAAACACAAGATTGTCGAGAATTTAGTGTAAGGGGGCCCCATGTCTGTGTTCGCCTTGGGCCCCCAAATTGCTAAATCCGCCACTGTCGAAATCACCAAACGTTATTTTGTGTTACAACCCAGACGTCTAGCTGCAGCATGAAGGATGATTCCGACTGTTCCCAGTTTGTTTTTTAGTCAGAACTAAAGGAGGAGGAGGTGGTAATGGTTTCAGGGTGAAGCAAATGTCTAAAATAACAAACTAAAAGCAACCGTCTGATGTTAATCAGCTGGCCCATCAAGAGTAAACCAAACAACAAGAGCTTACCTCCCTAACTGAGAAAAACAGGAGAAGATGCGGACATAAAATAAACGGCTGTTCACGTCTACAATCTCCTCTCACTTACATTCACACACAAAGTTCTGTACAAACAAAGATGTGGCTGATCGGAGTGAGCAGACAGAACGAGGGTTCACGGCATCGTCCCTTCATAAAGTCACGTCCTCTCGGTCAGCCAGTCCAGATGTTCCGTCCTCCCGTCAGTCATGGACGGCCGCCTGCACGCTAAAAGCTGCACAACATTAATATGCAACAAATTCAAGGCGTAGTTCCGTGAAAAAACATTTTTAATTATTACTTCTGATTATAAATGATGAATCATAATCAGTCACTGAGTTTGCCGTGCAGGCTAATCATGAAAATAGTCTCCTACACCTGTCTCCTGCATTAGCTTCTGATAGAAAACAGACGGTGAAACTCTAGGATTTGAAAACTCTGACAGATCTATGTCACACTTTCACATAACATTCATGGACTCACCCATGTTGACTCACAACGGGGAAGGCTGTTGTATTTTTAGCTTCCAGGAAACGGCAGATAATGTTTTGGCTAGCAGATGCTAACATTAGCATTAGCAGTTCCACCACACAGCAGAACTCCTCCAGGTTTGTGTTGTTTGTGGAGATAAAATGTCCACGTTGCAAGTCAGCGGTAGAGTCGTGTTGCTGTTAGCCAATCAGAGGTGAGATGTCCAAATATCAGAAAATAAGACTCCAAATCCCGCCGTCTGAGTCTCAGCTCTGATGTGGCTCAATTCGAGGTCTCGAAACGGGCGCACTGGAGCTTTTTTTTTACTCAAAATGATAAATGACCCGCACATGTATAGCGCCTCTCAGAGTACGGACTCCAAAGCGCTTTAAACTATCATTCATCCATTCACACACACACGTTCACACACTGATGGTGATGAGCTACAATGTAGCCACAGCTGCCCTGGGGGTGCACTGACAGAGGGGAGTTGCTCAGAGAGCAACGTACAATGCATTCATTTCTATTATAGACCACTGCAAATGTTTTGATTAAATGTGTGAACCAGATCTTTAAGACCACAGTTGTTTCATTTGATTGATGTCAATAATAAGAAACATTTTTGGAAAATTCCTAAAAATTAATTTATCTGTTTTTTTTTTCAAATGAACTCTTCAGATATTTTTTGCATAAACTCAATCTAATCATCAATAAAAGCGTTTTGAACCTATGAAGTCCTCAATTCTCCTTCTGTTTGCATCACAACAGACTAAAAGGTGCAAAAACGCAGCAGCAGCAGCAGCACTTGTGTCGTTCTTAAGTGTTTTGGCCACGGCTGTAAATGAATCATGTATTGTGATTAAAGCGAAGCTCAAACTAACTTACTGCCTTCTCTTTAATGATATGTTCGCATTAGGTCACACGGAGTGAAACTGCATGTAGTTTCAGTCACGATTGGTTTTAAAGCCGTTTCTGCGACGCACCACTGACTCGTGCTGCGTCAGCATTCCTCCTGTTTAGTGACTCGGCCGTCGTCCCATCCAACCCAGGTCTCCTTGATTCCTGGCAAAGGAAGGAATTTCCTTTAGACAAACAGCCCATTGAAACAACCTTGTGGGAAAGGGAAGCGGATTTATCTGCATGCCAAACATACTTTGCATCACGCTGTGATTTTAATTTCTGCGTCGCTCTTAGGCTGCAAACACACTCCGCCATATTTTGGGTCTGCCTGCTAAAGATTCCTTTTGGGGGTTTCTCTAACATCAGTGATTCTCAAACGTCTGCATTTAATGCTTGAGACTAAAACTTCTAACTGACCTTTTGCCCCAAATACTCAACAAGCTTTGCCTAAAACTGAAAATTCCCATCGAGTTTTACTGTGAAGAGCCTCCTCTGCCCTGAGAATAGATCTTGCGTTGTAGTTTAGCACCCAGGCTAACAAGCTTCTAATTTTGCTAACACAGATGCGCACATGACGCGAAGTACTCACCCTCTACTCACAAACGTGAATTCAGACAGATTCATTGTAGGGATGCACCGATACCGGTGCCGATACAGATGCCGATACCAGTGTCGGTATTGGTAAAAGTTAACAGATACTGATACCAACGCAGTTGCTTAAAAGTGACTTCACTGTAACTTGTCATTTCTGTTCACCTAATATTTTAATTTTGTGATCATTTATATTAACATATTTTACTTTTTATCTACCTCACAGTCTTTTCCTGTTGAAAACAGAAGAAAATAAAACCTGTATTCCAATTCATTGCATTTTTTTGTGTGGTAGAAGTATCGGTAATCGGTATCGGCGAGTACTCAGATCCAAGTATCGGTATCGTATCGGTTTGGAAAAAAGTGGTATTGTTGCATCCCTAATTCATTGTAGCTACCGACGTGTGTAGGCTCTTCAGCAGTAGCAGCACATGAGGGGTATAGTATCACCTGCGGTTTTGCTGCTAAAGCTTTAATACACACGTTCTGTACACACACACACACACACACACCCATCTATCCAAGCATCACTCGCGTCTTCGTATCCATTTTTCTCCCCCTGCGTTCTTCCCCTTATTGGTCCTCAAGAGTCCGCTGGGTCCACCTTCCAAGCAATGCTGCCTTTTGTCCATTTGTCTAGTTTTTGGCTCAGAACATTAGAATTAGTGAACGAGTAGTCTAGCACAGTGTGTCCTCACAGTTGACTCCTCTAATTGGCTCTGGTTGTGACGTTCATTTTAGAAGTAGTTAGTGCATGTGCATATGAAGCTAACAAGGCATCTGAATGTTCAGCATCTGTTGTGTGTCTCGGTGCTTTTGCATTTTGTCAGCAGTTTACTGTTTTCGGTTTAGCGTTCTGTGTTTTTGTGTGTGCGCTGGTCATTGTATTTTATTTATTTATTTTTTTTGCTGCACAGATTGTTGTTTTTTTTGTGTTTTCTTCACTGGCTCATATCTTATCAACTCTTGTGTTTTGTGTGTGTGTGTGTGTGTGTTGGTGTGTGCAGGCCGGTATTGCAGGAGCACCTGCTCGTGCCGTATCAGCTGTAAAGAACATGAACCTCCCGGAAATGCCCAGAAACATCAACATAGGCGACATAAGCATAAAAGTGCCAAATTTACCTTCCTTCAAGTAGCGACTGCGAGATCCTGAGCCTGCGGATGTCAGCCCATGTTTACCCGATGCAGTCCGTTTACCACATGGCTAACTTTTACCTAAACTAAATCTTGAAGGTACTGTGGGATTTGACACTCCCATGTTGTGGCGTTTATCTTTTCGATTGGTCTGTTAAAAGTTTCATTTTTTCTTTGTTTGTTTGAAGGAAATAATGAAGTATTTATTTATCGTTGGTACATTCCTTTACTGGAGGTTGGCTTGTGATGTAAAGCTCCTCCTCTCAAAGATCTGTAGCAGCTTCTTTAGTTACTGAAACCATTTCAGTTACAAGTGTTAACTTCAAAGCATGACCCGCAGAGACGTTTTTGGGACATTTTCACTGATTTGGTTATTCCAACTTGAAGAAATCATTTAAAGAAGAAAGAAAGGTGAAATGATTACGGTTCCAGAATGGAAACAGATCTGCTACGGTGTTACAAAAGACGATGTTGCATTACAGATACTCAGAAATATAAACATATCTAAGTGCTGATTTTCTTTTTCTTACTTGTATGCAAAACATTTTAAAGATGTATCTTGTTTTATTAGATTATTCTTTAATTTTTCATCTGTGCATGATTTTATTTCTCTGCTTTTTCAACAATAAACAGTTTAAAACAACTTCTGTTATCATTTTTGAATCAACCAATGTCTTAAAATAACAGAATGTTTGATACACTAAAATGTACCATTCTTCATTTCGCTGGCTATCCATGGTTCTTTTGCTGTGTTATTTATTACAAGATGTAACAGGTTTACCAAGTAGAATGGGAATTTGTAAGTATGAAAACATGTTGGCTCCTCCTTGAACCGTCACCTTATCTTGGTGGAGGAGTTTTGAGTGCCCTAATGATCCTAGGAGTTATGTTGTCTGGGGCACTTTGTGCCCCTGGTAAGGTCTCCCATGACAAATTGGTCATAGGTGAAGGGTGAGACAGAACGGTTCAGAAGGTCTTTCATGGATGTAAATTCAAAGAGTCTGAGTACCCGGCCCGGAGGGTTACCGGGGAAGGAGCAGGAGCTTGTGGCAGAGGTTGAGCGGTACCGGCTAGATATAGTCGGACTCACCTTGACACATAGCATTGGCTCTGGAACCCAAGTCCTTGAGAGGGGTTGGACACTCTCCTTTGCTGGAGTTGCTCCGGGTGAGAGGCGGAGGGCTGGGGTTGGATTTTTGTTAGCCCCAAAACTCTGCCTGTGTGTTGGGGTTTACCCCGGGGGACGAGAGGGTAGCTTCCCTGCGCCTTTGGGTTGGGGAACGGGTCCTGACTGTTGTTTGTGCTTATGGGCCAAATATCAGTTCAGAGTACCCACCCTTTTTGGAGTCCCTGGGACGAGTGCTAGATAGTGCTCCATCAGGGGACTCCATTGTCCTGCTGGGGGACTTCAATGCTCACGTGGGCAATGACATCTTGACCTGGAGGGGTGTGATTGGGAGGAACGGCCCGCCTGATCTGAACTCGAGTGGTGTTTCGTCATTGGACTTCTTTGCAAGCCGCAGTTTGGCCATAACGAACACCATGTTCGAACATAAGGATGCCCATCGGTACACTTGGTACCAGGGCAGCCTAGGTCGCAGATCGATGATAGACTTTGTAGTCGTTTCATCTCATACGAAACATCGATAGTTGAATACCATACCAACTTTATTCATAAAGCACATTTAAAAACGGCATGGCAGCCAACCAAAGTGCTGTACAGAATAAAATGTAAAAACACAATATAAAACAATACACGGTCAACAATAAAATACACAACAAAGCAGATAATCACAGCCAATAACAGGACACAGTAAAATAATAAAAGTCAGGGATTTAAAAATCCCTGGTCATAAAAGTGAGCCTTAAGTAGCGTCTTGAAAGGAGGAGGAGGAAGGTGCCAGCCTCACTGAAAGAGGAAGAGCATTCCAGAGTGTCGGAATCTCAGATTGAGGAGGAGCAATGTGGTTTTCGTCCTGGCCGTGGAACTGTGGACCAGCTCTATACCCTTGCAAGGGTGATGGAGGGGGCATGGGAGTTTGCCCAACCAATCCACGTGTGCTTTGTGGATTTGGAGAAGGCTTATGACCGTGTCCCCAGGGGCACCCTGTGGGGGACGCTCCAGGAGTATGGGGTGGGTGGCTTTCTGTTAAGGGCCTTTCAGTCCCTTTACCAGAGGAGCGTGAGTTTGGTCCGCATAGCCGGTAGGAAGTCGGACCTGTTCCCAGTGAGGGTTGGACTCCGCCAGGGCTGCCCTTTTTCACCGGTTTTGTTCATCACTTTTATGGACAGAATTTCTAGGCGCAGCCGTGGTGTGGAGTGTGTCGAGTTTGGTGGCAGGAGAATCTCGTCTCTGCTTTTTGCGGATGATGTGGTCCTCCTAGCTTCATCCAGCTCTGACCTTCAGCTCTTGCTGGGTAGGTTCGCGGCAGTGTGTGAAGCAGCTGGGATGAGGATCAGCACCTCCAAATCTGAGACCATGGTTTTCGACCGGAAAAGGGTGGCTTACTAACTCCGGGTCGGGGGAGAGGTCCTACCTCAAGTGGAGGAGTTTAAGTATCTCGAGGTCTTGTTCACGAGTGAGGGTAGGAGGGATCGGGAGATCGATTGGTTCGGCGTCTGCAGTGATGCGGACGCTGAGCCGATCTGTCGTGGTGAAGAGGGAGCTGAGCCAGAAAGCCAGGCTCTCGATTTACCGGTCGATCTACGTCCCAATCCTTACCTATGGTCATGAGCTTTGGGTAATGACCGAAAGAACGAGATCGCGGATACAAGCGGCCGAAATGAGTTTCCTCCGTAGGGTGGCCGGGCTCAGCCTTAGAGATAGGGTGAGGAGCTCGGACATTTGGGAGGGACTCGGAGTAGAACCGCTGCTCCTCCGGATCGAGAGGAGCCAGTTGAGGTGGTTTGGGCATCTGGTCAGGACGCCTCCTGGATGCTTCCCTGGGGAGGTGTTTCGGGCATGTCCTGCCGGCAGGAGGCCCCCGGGTCGACCCAGGACACGTTGGAGAGGTTACATCTCCAATCTGGTCCGGTAACGCCTTGGAGTCCTGCCGGAGGAGCTGGTGGAGGTGGCCGGGGAGAGGACGGTCTGGAGCTCCCTAGTTGGGATGCTGCCCCCGCGGCCCGGACCCGGATAAGCGGAGGAGGAGGACGATGACGACGAAAACATGTTGGTAAGTTTTATCTAATCTTTGTTCATATAAAAATGTAATTTGTATTAAGTAAATTTTGCTGAAACATAAACCATGAAACGGCCACGGTCAGTCTCCATGAATGGAAGGCCAATAATATTGTAAAAAAAGATCTTTTTGTGACTTTTAAAATATTTCCTTTCTAAATACAGATAAACAGTACATTGGTATATATTTTTTAAAATTAATGCTGAACATACCAAAACCTAGTCTTTGCCCAACAGCCAGGTTGAGGAAAAGGCAACGTTTAGGTTGACTGAGTGGTCAAAACTCAAACCTGAAATATTTTCTAATAAATTGTTATGATAAATGGCCACAGAATACTGGAAGACGTGCATTTTTTTAATCGTTAAGGAATACACGACTTAATCCCGTTTCTTTTGACCTCTGCGCATTTGTTTTAAAGTTACATTTTTGTACAACGCCCTTTACGTAGTAACGCGCATTCTTTTATATACTTTATTAAAACGCTAAAATGCTGCCACATTTGGATAAAAGTTACATAAATGAAAGTAAAATTAAAAAAATTTATCTTGTTCCGTACAACTGCAGCTTCACTGCGCATCGTCACCACGCACGGTCGACTGTCACGTGATCCGTCTCGTGACAACCGGAAGAAGGAATATCAACAGTGAGGATGATGTGACATGTATCAAGTCTTCATTTAGAAAAATAATGACTTCCATCATAAAAGAAACACAGAGGTGACAATTTCTTCTTTATCCAAGGACAACGAGTCTTAGGCTGGCTAACGTTAGCATTTAGCTTCCTGACAGTAGTTTATTAAACATCGTTACGGATTTATTTGTACAATTTCCAGTTTTCTCTTTGAATGAATACATTTTAGTGTTTGTCTGGAGTTTCTTGTCATTTCGGTAAAAACGCTCAATAGTAATTGATGTTTATTCGATTGAAACGTCGTCGTGAGCCTATTTGAGTATTTAAACGTGATTTCTAGATGTTTCATGAATTGAAACTAAGCAGTAAAGCACCACATAACTCACTGATTCTGACGATCAAAAGTTTAAATCTACACTTAGAGCATTTTCCACAATAGAGCTGGTTTACTTTGAAGGAGCAAACTACCTTGGATAAGTACGCACCTCACCCCCAAGTTTGTTTTATGTTTATTGTCAACGTTTTAAAGCTCCGTCCATATAAACTCTTTATTTACTGTATCTGTGACAACATTCGGCTCCGTTTCTGTGTCTCCCTTTTGAAATTTGAGCATCGTCTGCATTTGTGACTCTTCTTTTCCAACAGCATCAAAGAAGCTGTGACTTTTATCAATGAGATCGATGCCAACAAATTCCCCAGGCTGATCTCTCGAATCATTCAGAAGCTTCATTTGAAGGTAGGGAAGCTGCATCCTGCCTTCTGAGGCCTGCAAAGCTGCTGCAGTGACTCTGCAGCATTAGTCAGACTCTGCTCTAATATGTTCACCTTCCTTCCTTCTCGGCTTTTGTTTTCATCATTAAACAGCATTAATTTGCCTTGTTTGAAGCATTTTTTCTGAAGTGTGATCACTATGACGTTATAGTTTATGAAGCAACAAATCCATATTAATGAGCCAAAAATGTAATACACTAGGGCTGGGCGATATGGCCTCAAATCTAAATTGCGATGTAATCTGAAGCATGTGCGGTAACGATATATGTTGCAATATATTTTTTCCTCTGTTTATATGTCAAAATGACATGCCTTTAAATATCCTCATGTGGCAAATATGTGCCACTTGAGGCATATAGGCCTCCTCCTCCGCCCACTCCATGCTTGCAGTCACTGTCATTCTGTTGTCCCAATGTCAGCAGGGTGCACATCTTAGGCCCTGTCCACACGTAGCCGGGGATCTGCCAAAACGTAGATATTTTTCTACGTTTTGGCCTGTTATCCACACGAAAACGGAGTTTTTTCACACGAAAACGGATCTTTTTAAAAACTCCGGCCAAAGTGAAGATCTGCGTTTTCTCCGTTTTGGGTGTCTGTGTGTGGACAGACAAAACCGGAGTTTTAAGGTCCGCAACGCCACTTTCCACGACAAAAAAATGCTGACATCACGTGTGCGACCTGTGTTTACACTAGCCGACAGCATGGATGCCCTCAGAGCTGCGCTCGCTTTATCAGCTGTCCAAGCGCTTTCTGCTTGTTTGTTTTTGCAAGCGGAATTACGTTCCTTGCGGAAGACCACAGACGAAGGACGAGGTTAAGAACGAGGGAAGTACTGCCACCTACAGGTCTGGCATGTCCTTAACAACGTATTTATCCGGGTACGTGTGGACAGAGTTTTTTTTAAAACGAGGTGGTGTGGATGCAAGTTTTTGGAGGGGGCGGATATTCGTTTTTAAAAAAAAAACCCGGCTACGTGTGGACTAGGCCTTAGTGATGTCATGTGTTATCGCTATATCGCGGTATTGCGATATAGCCAAAAACTCTTTCATTACCCAGTTTTATATCGTTTCTACCTTATATCGTTTATATTGCCCGCCCCTATAATACACCACATAAAACTTTGTGAAAGCTAACTCTGACGTTATTAGCTTGCCGAGCAGAAAAAGTCACAGATGTTTTCACATTTACACAGTTTTTATTTCTTCCTTGCAGGGAGAGAGAACGTTCAGCGAAGAAGAGGAGCAAAAACTCCGAGCTGCTCTGTCTTTAGATAAACGTGCTCTTAACCTGGTCCTGGAAACCTCTGCCTTTATTCTAGAGCAGGTGTGTGTCTGTCGTCTTTACTGACATTATTTAGAGGATTGAGTTCATATTTATTCGTTTGCTGTATCATGTCGTTGACAGTGTTGATGGAAGAAAATTAAGGAACATTTTTTAATGCTTTTTTATAATTATGACTTTAATCTCAGCAGTTATGTTTCAGTGTCGACAGACTTGTCTTTTTTAAAGGTTACTATATTTAAATTCTTTTACATTATTTTTCATAAAAATCCACACAAAACTACAAATCTACAAGATAAACTGTATTTGGATACAGCTAAAACAGGGTGGGACTCGTTTCAGAAGTTTCTGCATTCGTTTTCCTGCAACTCACAAGAAATGTGATGATTAAATTAGCATAATTATCAAAACAGCAACAGATAAGATCTCTTGTTTCTCCAGCTGGTGTCACTGTTGTGTTTCTGATCATATTTTCTTGTACGTATCTAACTCTGTAGGCTGTGTATCACAACATAAAGCCAGCCGCTCTGCAGCAGCAGCTGGAGGTGATCCATCTAAACCCAGAAAAAGCAGAGGTGTTCTCCCAAAGCTGGGCCGCTGCCGGACCTGAGCTCGTAGAGAAGCTGAAGCGTAATATCTTTGCCCCTAAGAAGGTAGGCAAAGATCCAGCCGCTGTTTATTAAGTGTTATAAATAAACTTTATTTATATAGTGCCAACTTTACAAAGCAAAATAAATCTAATTTAACTTACTTATCAGTGCATTGAGTTCAGGTCATTATTTCAGTCAGTGAAAAGTTTTCCATCTGAGAAAATCCAGCAGACTGCATCGAGTCGGCGACTTGTTGTGTTAGAGTTTTTACAGCGATCTCCATACCAAGCAAGAATGTAACAACAGTGGAGAGGAAAACTCCTAGCTTAGAAATGTAGACAGACAGCAGCAGAAGCAAAAGGATTTGGCTTTGCATGTTGGTCTAGCCACCCAGTCCGACCAGTCTTTGCCTTGCCAGTCACAGTGGTTTGGTGGGCAGAAAGTTGCTGCAGCTGAGTGAAAAACAAAGATGGTGACGGCTTATTTGTAATGGCTTTGGCATTGACTTTAGGGCTGCAGCTACCGAATATTTTTGTAATCGAGTACTCTATCGAATATTTTATCGATTAATCGAGTACTCTAATAAATTACCCTTTTGCGTTTGTAAACCATTATATCAAATAGCATGTTATAAAATATGAAAGACCTCTTAAAATGAGCAAGCAATTGCCAGTTATTCTTCAAGTTTTATTCAAAATTAGTTTTCAAAACTTCAGCATTTCAACTTTACTTTGCAGTAAACAAATGCGAGCGGCTGCGGCCCAAACGGCACCAGAACCGCTCACGGCGCATGCACAAACATGGCTCGCCAGCTATTTCCCTGTTAACACACGTCCGTTTTAATTTCTACACTTTTTTTCTCACACTAACAAGGATTGTCAAGAAAGCATGTTTGCCGTGGTTATGTCCAATTATACTGATCGCAAAACATTTATTTACTTTCTTTCGTTTTCCTCCCTAACTCATAAATACCTGTGTCCTCCTGCAGCAATCCCGAGGGACAACACACGTCAATAACAACACAGTAAAAACTCCGACGTGTTGTAAAAACTGCTATTTTTAGCACATTTTAAGTCCGACGTGTTGCTACCAGACGTACGGTGTGAGCTGAAACTAAGTGCTACAAACGAAAAAGTTGCACAGTGTCTGCAGAATATATAGAAATACAGGCTAAAATGCATTATCTTGTAGAGGCTCCGAGTCCGCTTGCAGAAGTGACATTTACATGTGGATGTTTCCTGGTCAGGTGCTGCAGCATGGAGGATGTGGTGTTGTTGTAGGCTACATCCAATTTACAGTATTTACACTGGACTACGTTTTCCGCCTTACGACGTGAAAAATGGTCCCACGCCTTTGACAATTTCTGTCTTTTTCACACTCCACCGGGGTCCACGTTGTCCACCATGGTTTAAGAGAAAGTTAAGTTACATTCGCTACTCGTGTGTGCATTCAGTGCAGTATGTATGTGCGTCACTTATTTCGGTCCGGGTGAAACATGACCCTGGGTGATTGCAAAGCCATGAATTAATTAAACATGAATTAAACGAAGCCTCGAGGCAGAGGATTTGACTCGAGGATTTTTTGTACTCGAGTTATTCGAGGTACTCGAGGAATCGTTTCAGCCCTAATTGACTTTGAGTGGAGAACAGATAGAGGTACTTAAGTCCTTTTTCTAGAAAACGGATGTATTTGCGTCTTTGGTGATGCGTGGCAGACTTCCCCGTTGACTGACATCTGTATTGGTGAGTACATCAAGTTGTTCCTTGTCCAACTTCGTACGGAGATAGTTTGAAAAGACATCCGCCGATTCCGCCACACAACCGAGCCCTCTCTATGAGTTGTGGCCAGACTATATATTCACATATGTAGGATGGCTTGCCAGGCTAGAAATCTCATTAACTCATTCACTGCCAGCCGTTTCCTGATCAGAAAAGCCCTTTGCTGCCAGCGTTTTTCAGCGTTTTCACTGTTTTTTGTAAGAGTCACAGAATGTTGCGCGCTAAGATGATATCAACACCAAAACTACCAAAACAAAAAGTAGATTCTCCTCTTACATCAGGAAGAATCCGCGCGTTTTGAGTGTTGTACGTCCATTGTCGAATTGTGATGGGCAGAAGCTTTTCCGGTTCGCGCCTCACTTTTATTTACAGCAGCGGCCCAAAACGATCTCCTAACACATGGATTCTCTGCTTCCTGATCACGTGACGCGTGACGTATGCGGATGAAGATCGGCTTTAGAGCTGGGGTGTTTGTTCTCACGGTGCGGGGGCTCGTTCCGACGCCCACACAGTAAAAAAATGCAAATGACGACTTTAGTCGTCAATGGCAGTGAACGAGTTATCAGGAAGAAACTTCCATCAGAACCGGGCTCAGTACGAGCAGCTGTCAGCCACAACTGACTGGCGGTTTGACAAGGCAGAGCAGACACACACACACACACACACACACACACACATGCACGCACGCACTCGCGCGCACGTACACACACATGCACAAATAAATAAATAATCCAATAAATCTTTACACCATCTGATGCTTTAGGGAAATTAAGCTAACGTTACGGTATTTGTATAGAATTCCAAAGGCTCATCCACACATCCCGCATTGAAAATTGAAAATGTTTGGTGTGTCACACAGAAAAATCAAATCAAATCACTTTTATTGTCACGTCACATGTGCAGGTACACTGGTACAGTACATGCGAGTGAAATTCTTGTGTGCGAGCTTCACAGCAACAGAGTTATGCAAAAATACAGTAACGTAAAAACACGCAAAATGTAAAAATGGCTAATCTAAGTAATAATATGTATACGTTGTAATGTATATACATTACTAAATGTTAATGCAAGTATATTATTATTTTTTTTAATATATTGTTCTACGTGTGAGTGTGTGAGTGTGTGTATAGTGTGTATATACGTGTTTTACAAATGAATAAAGTAAACAATAAGATAAGAGATATAAAATATACAGAGGCTGGTATGTGCAAAACAGTGGCATTAATGTACAGTATGGAGTGTGTAATGTTGGAGTTTCAGTAGTGAGGGTGAGGTGTCTGCGCCGTGTTCAGCAGTCTGATGGCCTGATGAAAAAAGCTGTCTCTCAGTCTGCTGGTTCTGGACCGGATGCTGCAGAACCTCCTTCCTGATGGAAGTAGTCTGAACAGTTTATGGCTGGGGTGACTTGAGTCCTTGATGATCCTCCCCGCTTTCCTCAGGCACCGCTTCCTGTAGATGTCCTGGAGGGAGGGAAGCTCACCTCCTATAATCCTTTCTGCACACCGCACTACTCTCTGGAGAGCTTTGCGGTTGTAAGCGGTGCTGTTGCCATACCAGGCGGAGATGCATCCAGTGAGGATGCTCTCAATGGCACAGCGATAGAAGGTCCTGAGGATGCGGCGGCTCATGCCAAATCTTTTCAGTCTAATTTGTGTTCTAATTCAGATTGACCTGCTTCTGGATTCATTCTGACCAATCCTTGCATCACAAATCTGTATTTTCATAAATCGTTTTTCTGTTTCTAACTTTTCACAAGAGTGACACTTCAAACGGTATACCTTTCAGAGAACAAATCTAACAAAGGGTAGATATACGGCATGTTCACGTTACGCTGGAGTTCAGATATCCCGCCTGCCTCTGCCTCATAAATCATTTTTCCCTCCCACATGAAGTAGTAAGGGGATGTGGTGACAGCCCGCCATTCTCTTGGGACCATCTGCTGCTGCTTTTGGCTTTAAGCTAAATATTTACCTTTATGATGCATTCAGTCGCTAAACAACATGTTTATGCTTTTCCTCACTTTGAATTCAGAGCAGCTTCTTGACTGTAAGCTACGTTCGACACCAGATTGTTGGTAACAATAAAGATATCATTAAATTACCATCTGTAAACATGTTTTTGCCATCTTTGTATTCACATAAGCTGTGAAGCGTTTTATCATTATTTAATGATGCTAATAGATAATTGGGTTTGCTACAAACTGACCATTAGCTTTGATAATCAAGCAAATTGTTTCAAGACACAAACATGCATTTGTTGTTTTGTCAGTGAAGACGTCATAATGATAAAGTAAATCAAACCTCCCATGATGCATAGCGTCAATAACCATTATGCCTCAGATGGAAAATGACAGAGGAGAAAGCTCATAACTGTTTTTTATATAAAAAAAACAAACTAAGTCTAAATAAATAAAAAACACTTTATTATATATATATATATATATATATTTAGCTTTCTCCTGTGCCGACGGGGTGTGCATCTTTCACTGTCACCTCTTGCTTGCACAAATGACCTCATCAGTTTTTACCGGCTCTCCTTTTAAGTTTGCTTAGAACCCAAAAAAAAACAGAAGTTGTGTTCTTTTTAGACACCAAGTCAGCTGGTGCGCGAGCTGCCATTTTTCTTTCGGTGCGCCGTCTCGGCGCTGTCACGTAACGACATCATAAACTTCATAAACTTCATAAACTTTACGGAACGTCTCTAAAATTTGGACCAAATTTTTTTTTTAACTATTTCAGTAAATCTGAAAATTAAACCACACATCTGTTTTATACATGAAATGACTTTTATTTATCTTTTGTATATTTAAAACATTTTTTAAATCCTCGTCACCTACGTGCGCCGTTTTTTTCACGACGGAATTGGAACGGACACTGTTGCTATTTTTTAACACCAGCCGTATACGGTAATACCGCCTAAGCCTATAGAGCAAGGATAGAGAAGAAGAAGAAAAACGGGGTGAGACTTTATTACGGATAAGAAATGTGTTTTTGTGTTTGTTGAAATAAATGACGTTTATTTTTATGCCTTTAAATTAGGGATGCAACGATACCACTTTTTTCCAAACCGATACGACACCAATACTTGGATCTGACTACTCGCCGATACCGATTACCGATACCGATTCTTCTACTGCACAAAAAAATGCAATGATTTGGAATACAGATTTTATTTTCTTCTCTGCTTTCAACAGGAAAAGACTGTGAGGTAGATAAAAAGTAAAATATATGAATAGAAATCATCTCTAAACTAAAATATTAGGTGAACAGAAATGACAAGTTACAGTGAAGCCATTTTCAAGCAACTGCATTGGTATCGGTTCCTGGTATCGGTTAACTTTTACCGATACTGGTATTGGTATCTGTATCGGCACCGATACCGATACCAGTATCGTATCGGTGCCTCCCTACTTTAAGTCAGTTCACTTGGATATACTGTAATGAAAATGGAAAACAAAACAACACTGTGATGCTTCAGTCATGAATATTGTAGACGTTCTTTTCCTCGCCCTGCATCTATCTTCTGATGCTGCAGAAGCGTCCAGACACCTTCATTCGCTCATGGTTTATTATTATGGCCTCTGTCTGCATCATTAAACACTTAACTGACCTGCCTTGACTCAGTGCTGCTAATCTATCACACTGTTGCAGCTGTCTGATGGAGTATTTCTCTGTAAATCAGCCAGAGCAGGTAGGGAGAAGGGATCGCTATGAGGAAAGACTATTTCAAAGGCTAAAGTTTCAAATCAACCATCTTTTTTTCCCATGAGTTATAAAGTTTCATCCTGCAGCGTGAATGCATGTAATTTAAGTGAAAAATAAGTTTAATAGTTGTAATTAACAGAAATGATCTCTTGATACTACAAGCGGCCGAAATGAGTTTCCTCCGTAGGGTGGCCGGGCTCAGCCTTAGAGATAGGGTGAGGAGCTCGAACATTCGGGAGGGACTCAGAGTAGAACCGCTGCTCCTCCGGATCGAAAGGATTCAGTTGAGGTGGTTTGGGCATCTGGTCAGGATGCCTCCTGGACGCTTCCCTGGGGAGGTGTTTCGGGCATGTCCTGCTGGCAGGAGGCCCCCGGGTCGACCCAGGACACGTTGGAGAGGTTACATCTCCAATCTGGTCCGGGAACTCCTTGGGGTCCTGCCGGAGGAGCTGGTGGAGGTGGCCGGGGAGAGGACGGTCTGGAGCTCCCTAGTTGAGATGCTGCCCCCGCAACCCGGACCCGGATAAGCGGAGGAAGACGACGACGGTCTCTGATACAAATACTACTAATGGAGTCTCTTAATGATACAGATTATTAGGTTATTTTAGTGACTTCCGTTTCTTTGAATATTTTGCTGCTTAAATAAAAAAAAAACTGCTCAATAAAATAAAAACTAAATGAATAGGTGAAGCAACATTAAAGTTGCAGTTCACTGAGAAACTATTTTTTAATGATTTTTTTTCTGATTATAATCGGTCACTCTGAGTTTTTCATGCAGGCTGAACATGAAAATAGTCTCCTACACCTATCTCCTGCATCAGATTCTGATGGAAAATAAACAGTGAAACTAGGATTTCAAAAGCCTGACAGATCTACGTCACACTGTCGCGTAACATTCACGGACTCACCCATCTTGACTCACAACGGGGAAGGCTGTTGTTGGTTTAGCGTCCAGGAAACAGCAGAGAATATTTTGGCTATTAGAAGCTAATCGTTAGCATTAGCAACTCCACCACACAGCTGAACTCCATCAGGGTTTATGTTTATGTGCTTAGCAGACGCTTTTACCCAAAGCGACGTACAATTTTTTTTTAACCTATAGGGCATGTTGTGATCTGTGGGGGAAACCGGAGTACCCGGAGAATACCCACGCATGCATGGGGAGAACACGCAACTCCACGCGGAAAGGCCGCAGCCGAGTTTCGAACCTGTGGCCTTCGTGTTGCGAGGCAACAGTGCTAACCACTGCGCCACCATGCAGCAGGGTTGTATTATTTGTGGAGATAAAACATCAACGTTGCAGAGCAAACCGAGTCAGTGGTAGAACTGTGTTGCTGTTAGCCAATCGGAGGCGAGATGTCAGAATATCAGGAAATAAGACTCCAAATCCTGCCGTCTGAAGCTCAGCTCTCACAAGGCATTCATTCCTACGCGTTTGAAAATCACATGAATTCATTAGTTTCCAAAGTCAAGTCAAGAGTTGGGTTTCTATACAGCAATAGGTCATCCATTACTCGTTCTGCAAAGCAAACCTTGGTCAAAATGAATCCTTCCCATCTTAGATCATGGTGATTTAATTTATAGAACTGCTTCCCAAAAACGTCTTCATAAACTCAATGTCATTTATGACTCAGCAATCTGTTTCATCACTGCTGCCCCTTTCACCATCATTGTGATCTGTACTCACTCGTTAACTGGCCATCACGCCATTCCCACATGCTACATCGGTATCGGTTCATTTACAAAACAATCACTGGTAGAACACCGTCATATCTTCGTTCATTACTCATCACTTCCAACAGCCATCTCAATTTACGTTCCAGTAACTTAATCTCTATGGTTATTCCCAAAGCTCTCACCCCCTCTGGCCGCTCCTCATTCCAATTTCCAACGACTGGAATGAGCTGCAAAAGTCACCAAAGCTCACTACCTACATAACATTATCTACCTTCAATAATTAATTGCAATCAATAATTTCTGATGAATGCGCCTGCTTCTGATTACTTAACCCTCCCACTGTCCTAATGGGTGTGGGTCCATGTGACAGGGGTGAGGAGTGAGCACCACCTCACCCCTGCCACATGGACGTCAAGGGATAAACCATCAATCCTGCACAATGGTCAGTTTTCCTCGCGGGGTCACCCATTAGGACAGTGGGAGGGTTAAAGACAATTATAAGTCTGTTTTGATTGCTTGTACATGTTGTATATGAGAAGTGTCTTTATGTCTAATTGTTTTATCTTATTTTTGTCTCGTAATTATCTGTTTTTCTTTGGTGTGAACTAACTGTAGCTGTTGCTGCTGCCTCTTGGCCAGATCGTCGTTGTAAATGAGGATGAGTTCTCAATCGACTCATCTGGTTAAATAAAATAAATTCATAACTAGAGATCACTGCAAGTGTATTAAAATCTGAGTAAAGTACCGCATATTTACATAAACCAAATATTTTTGGGGAAAGTGTCATCTTAATGAATGTTGGAAGAAAAAAGTGTTAATTATTTATTAATCAGAGGTGTGAAACTGTTCTGTCCCACTTGGTGCTGCAGCTGGAGCATGTTGGCTGGCAGCTGAACCTGCAGATGGCCCAGTCCAGTCAGACCCGACTGAAGTCTCCCAGTGCCGTCCTCCAACTTGGGATCAAAAGTGAAGACTCTGAGGTAGAAACACACAAACACACACTTACTGTAGTTGACCTGATTTTGTTTCCGGTAATCGATGCTGATCCCAAATCTGTCTCTCTCGACCCAGAGGAGGACCGACATCTGGCTTTAAAAAAAAACTGATCTCTGATTCTTATCGAAAACCTACAGGGTCTTTTTGTTCTCCTGAAACCCTAACAAGGAGGCTAAAACAAAACAATATGAGTATGTAATGAAATAGATTACGTGTTATTTAATGAGCCATAAGGTGTAGGATTCCATAGGAAATATGAAATCCACCTTACGGATCTGGGAAGTTATTTAAACCAGAAGATTGGGTCTTTTTATTGCAGGGATTAGATAAAAGCTTCATATTCACTCAGAGACAACAGAAGAGAGAGAGTCAAGTTTTAAAGTTAATAATTTTATTACTAACAAATTAAACTAGACTGACTTCAAAACTAAATGTATGGTGTAACTAATGTGGATGAGGCGGTGAATGGATGATGTGTGATGTTGCTCAGAACCAGCAAATCCAAAGAAGCGATTAGCTCTGACGGGAACTGAAGGTGATGTCTTCACATTAAGCTTTGATCAGGAGGTTCAGAAACACATGGAAATCCCCTGTAGATCCGGAATGTCGAGGTCTAGCTTGACCTTCTCTGGAACCGTGCCGATAGGAAAAGCAGCGGTTCCGACCAGTCCAGTCTGAGTTACTTCCGGGTACACGACAAGTTGTTTGCGTCTGGTGAGACCCAAGCCTGGGTCGTGATGGTTCAGCTTTTGTTCTGAAAGGATCTGTTTCCGCAGTTGGTATAGCAACGAAATTTTCTTTTCAGCTTTTATTGGTTCTTTCGGTTAAAGAGTTAAAAGATCAGGATTGGCCACTCCGTCACTTTCTCTGGAACGCTTTGAACTGGTGTTAGAGATGACGTGGCATAGTTTTATACTTCGGATGTTATGGTTTTTGGTCGAATGAATAATGACCAAACACCATCAAAACCACGCCTCCGTCAGATCTGGCAGATTCTGATTGGATCAGTGAAAGTAATGTGTCATGTCTTTTAACGCTACGTGAGATCAGTCCTGTTGGAACATTTAAAGTCATAGTACCTTATATTCTATAGGATTATAATAAAGTTATTAATATTTTAATTCCACAGGTCGGTCACATTTTATTTATTGACTAACACTTTGATGGATTAGCTTTATTAAAATAGAGTTCTTTGATTAATTTAAAGAAAAGAGTTCATTCTTCGTTCTTCTGTTGAGCTGAAAATAAGCAGGTTAGAAGGAATGCGTGAGACCTTGAGTTATATCTCATGCAGACTAGTCTTGTGCAAAGAAGGGAAAAACACAGTCTTTTCATTCCGTTACAAGTATAATATTTAGTCTAGATGTCTGCCTCATAGCATGCATTAGTTATGATTAGTTTTTCTGCTGTTCTTGAGTTAGTTGTTAGATGCATAAATCAAAACACGCACGTCCTAATGAGGCCTGGATCTAAATCCTGTTTCTGTTTTGGTGCGGTGTGATCAGTTTGGATGCTCTACTAATTGCCAGTTTCACGTGAGCCTCCTTCATTTTACCTTTCCTTTGGGAGGCCTGCTAATCTGCAGCTGCGGCAAAAGCAACACAAACTGAAAAAAAAAGCTTATTTGTCACATTTAATTACAAATTTTCTACTGTCCCAATGCTTTGATTTGTCTAACAACCTTGAAAATGATCATATGCAAGGAATAGTGTCACGGATAAAGAAATGTTCAGTTTTAGTCTGAAATGAGAGCGGCTGATTATCCTCCAGCCCGGATAGTGCAACTGTTCCAGCTGAATAGTCCGGAGTCTTTTCCACGCGCTGCTTTGTGTTCAGCCTCTAGAGAATGCCGTCTCAGCCTGAACGTGAAATTACTTCTAATGAATTCATATTTCTGCCGTCTGAAACGCGAAGCTGTAAGTAAAGATTACATCCGTTTTTCTTTATTAAACCAACCGCTGTCGGAAAGTTTGGCTTCCGGCCCTTTTCTGTTGTTTATCTGATGCTTGAGGAAGAGGAATTAATTTATTTAAATGCACTTGCATATTATTTCCCCTGTGGGGGTGGATCTGAGGGCTAAAACCCTAAATAAATGAACTTGACTTATGTACACCTCCTATGTTGACCTGCAGGGGGCAGTGTTGTCTCACAGTTGTGGTGCAGCAAAGCCAGAGATGAAGAGTTTCTGTAACTTTCTTCTAAAGCAGCTGGAGTTAACTCTTTTTTTAATATAATTTAACCTCTGCCGGCGTTTTCTGATTAAACTTTCCCATCAGTAGGTGTGTCTTTATTTATTTATTTTAGTCAGAAATATTTTTTCCACTATTTTCTAGCAGCTTCTGGGATGTTAAAAGGATTGCGATGGCTGCAAAATCCAGCTGCAAGTGAAAAAATAATTACAGCTTCGGTTTGAAACACCTCGGCTGCTGCTAAGCGTCTGAAAGAGGAAGGAGGAAACCGCTAATTACAGGAAATAGAACATTAAGAGGTGAGGACGACAGATGTGGTGAGACAGGAGGGTGAAAGGGGAGGTGAAAACAAATAAAAGGGTGACAAAGGTTATATAATAATGAAGAGGATGGACGAAATAAAATTATCAATAAGGAGTGGAAGGCTAGGGTAGCACTCTGTTTTTATTGATTGCTTGGAACCCAAGTGGAGAGTTAGACTCCCACGTCTAACCAGCCTCCTGCTTTATTAGAACTCTCCCTGAAGAGGAGGCGGAGGAGGAGGAGGAGGACTGCCATGGAGCCTCATATCTCTTTCTCTAATCAATTTGTGACATGCAGTGTATCTGCTGTGGAGTGGATAAGGTGTAAGAAGAAGTACTACTATTAGAACTAGATTGGATTTTAGGACATTTATATGCGATTGTTGGTGAAATGGGTAGAACATCTGCACACAGGGACACCGAGATCATTCAAATGCAGTCAGAAAGATGAGTAGAAACAGTGTTTGTGTGCAATAATGGCACAAGACCTGTTGGGTATCTCAACATCCTAAAGAAAGAGTCAGAGAAGAAACGTTAGTGAGGAATCGGATACGAGCTGAAGGAGGAGGTCAAAGAAAACGGTGATGGAAGGTTAGAGAATGAAAACAAATTATTAAATGTGGGTAAAGATGAGGAAAAGTGAGGATTTGTTGTGATATTTCCTTTTTTGGGTGCCTGAAAAGTTTCTGACAATAAAGTATTTTGCCTTTCAGCTATTCGTGATATGCAGAGTTTACTATTCATCATAGCACAACAATAAACCAGTTGTTTTATCTGTATTATAGCAGCTTTTTGACATGAATTTGAATAGCCAGACTGCAGAAAGCTTGGATTTTATTTTTTATTAACCTCACAGACCTTGCTGCTGCAACTGTTGTTTTAATTTATTTTTATTTATTTATTTTTTTCAAGCTTGGTGATGTTTGGTCACAAAGACTACTAACAGTATTTTGCCTTTATGCATGTGTATCTCACTTAGGGATGGGTACCTTTGACATTTGAATCGATACTGTGTCAATTCCCGGTACCTACGAATCGATACCGGTACTTAACGGTACCAATTTCTACACGTCTACACAGATTTTTCCACCAGAAGATTTCAGTGAAGCTTAACGGAAGCTGATCACACTAAATACCCCAACCTTCAGGAGTTGAACATGAAAAAAACTGGGTTCTACTTTATGACTTAATTCTGACATGTCCTATTTGAGTTGTTGTTATTTGAATCAATTCAACGGGAAATTCAGTCAGAATTTGTAAGTAGGATCCAATGACTTTTCTTGTCCTGGCTTGGATCTCCGCTTTGGTCACCTTAGACTTCAAAAACACAAGTCAGCCTCCAAGTTATGTTGGTTTTGTTTCTACAGCAAATCAGAATTTACCTCAGGGTTTCTTTTTTTATAATGCTTACAGCGTATAGCGCTCTATATCCTAAGGCCTCTGTGCTGATGAGGATAAACTTCCTATCCTTGATAAAAAAAAATTCCCACCAAAAAAAGAGGACAAATAACATCCTGAGGAGGATTCACAGGGACAAAAAGCAGTGGATACCGTCGAGGATAATATGATCCTCCAAAACCTTTAAAAAAATAAACTTCCAGGTGTTGTGACAGAGATAGGACTTAAGCCAGAGCATCTCCACTCCAGCATGAAGAGATGACACCAAACACACACGGCTCAAACACAAAGACGCATCATCTCTTGACATGTGGAGAAGCAAACATCCTGAAACCTTAGATTTTTTTTCTTTTTTCGGTTCTCTCAATCAAAGGGCATAAGAAATAATTCTAATTCCATTTTTTAAAGGTGCGTCATGAAACAATGAAGTAAGATTCACATCTTGTGGTCAAATTTGGGTACTGCAGTCCATTTTTCTGAATGAAATGGGTCATTCCCATCTGTACCGGGTCGGCCCGGGCCGGGTAGCCCCAGTCGGCCCGGTTGATTCCACACATCCTTGCCTTAAGCCCATGTGTGCTGATTCTACCCACCAATCAGAGGCTTGCTCTAATGGAAGGTGTGGATTTGCTGTCAGCAGTGGGTGTGTTGGCCCTGGTCGGCCTGAAGCAGACCCCCTCGAGAAGAGGGCTGAGAATGAGCCTTGGTTGGCCCGGAAAAATACCAGGCCACCCAGATATGTAAACAACCTACGCTACCCGGCCCGGGCCGACCCGGTACAGATGGGAATGGCCCAAAAGTGACCATCTCAGTACCGTTCCATGAGTTATGTTAGCTTAGTGTTAGCCCCTAGCCTGCTTCACCTGATATTTGAGTGAAATAAAAACATACCAGGGTTTCTTAGGGATACAAGAAATAACTTCTGGGTCGCTCCTGTTTACCAGCTTTGGTTCTTTATACGACTCTGGAGTTTTTTGCCAGTCAGTTTCAGATTCTAATTGCTGGCACTGAACCCTGCAGGTTCACAGATTGTAAACAAAAACTAAGTCCCTCTTTGGCCATTTCAAAAGGAGATGAACATGAAATCCTTTTAAT